CCCCCCCCCCCAATGACCAAGAGTGATCTAAACATGTGACCCAGATGTGGGCATGCGAAAAGTGTACAGTGATATATACAAAAATGGTTGTAAATGTTCAAGGAGAAGAAAAACAAAACGCCGTAGATCTTAATGTGTCGTATCCTGTATGTTGATTTGATCATGACTCGACCAGTGTGCTCCCGAGGTATCATATCCCGTAAATGCTAAACCATTCGTTAAAAAATTCTGCCATCGACCAGCTTAGGCGGAACGGAAGCGAAGGGAGCGCTGGCGGAGAGCACGCTTGCGGCCATTTCGGGTCACAACCATGCTGAGGTCGGAGCTGATGCCAGTAGTGCAAGAGGTGCCGCCGGCAAGGGCCTGGACAGCCGACCAAGTACCGCTGGCGCAGCGCTGGAAGGAGCTGCCTCCGACACAGTTCCAAGCACCCTCATCAGTGCAGGCGGCGCCGACAGTCTGGACACCGGCGCCGGCGGTAGGAGTCCCAGTGCCGTTGCCGCTGCCAGTACCAGACGAAGGGGCGGCGGGGGGAGCGGCGGGGGGAGCGGCGGAAGGGGCAGCGCTGGGAGTGACCGCAGGTGCATTGGGAGCAGAGGCCGAGGCAGTGGGAGTGGCAGAGGCGCCACCGTTGGCGGGAACAGTGATAAAAACACCGCCCGGTAGGGAGGCGTTGCCGGTCGGCTTCGAGGCAGAGGGCTGGGGTGAGGCCGGGGTAGAGGTGGGAGCAGAGCTGGGGGCGGGAGAGCCGCCGCCGGAACCACCACCAGCCTTGAGCGCATTGCACGCGGCGTTGTCCGGGAGCTCAGTAAGTTTGCCGGAAGCGAAAATATCAACAGATGAGCCGGGGTTGGGGAACTTGAGGTCGGTGCTGTCGGTGACCTTGCAATCGTTGATGTTGGCAACGAGCATGTTGGGAAGGGCCTCGTAGGCAGCTTGAGAGCCAGCAGATCCGGTAATGGTAACGGGTCCGCAGTTCATGTACATCTCGCGGTTGCCAATCTTGTTGAACCAAGTCCAAGCGATAGTACCATTGCCCGCAGGAATGTCTGAAGGGATGGTGAAGTCGTAAGTGTCCTTCCCTTGCTGGTTGGCATTGTCGCCGAGGTTGCCTGCAGTGTTCTTGGCTGGACAGCCTCCCTCAATTGACTTGATAACCTTCCAGACGCTGTTCTTGTTTGGCTTAGCGTCGTAGGTGATAGAAACCTGGCAAGATCCACCGCCGTGGACGGCAGAACCGATGAAAGCCAGCTCGCCCTTAGCACCCTGGGCATAGACGTTCGAGGCACCGGCGGCGTTGTAGCTGCTAGCCTTGCAAGGAAAGTTGCTGCCGTCGCCCAGCAAAGGGCTGTTGTCGAGGTTGGCGGCGTCGTAGGGGACGGGCGAGCTCATCTTCATGTGGGCACTGGCGAGGGTGGCCAGGCCGAAGGTGATGATGGCGTTGGTGAACATTTTGAGTAATGCGAGTGGTGAAGTTAAGAATCTAAAACGTTCCAGACGTAAGAATCTCGGTATCGGGTGACTGTCGTTGTGACTGTGAGCTGAAAAGTGTGGTTTCCGAAGGATGAGTACCTTTATAAAGCATGTTAGTCCTCGACTCAACCTGGGCATTACACAAGATCTAGGATCTTCGACAGCGCGTCGGTTCTCCAACAGGCCCGACTCGAAGCAACCAGCCACGGCCGTGATAGTCTCGATGTGACGGGTCAATCGATCCTCTCAAGAATGGCATTGTTTGTGACACAGCGCGGGCCGCGATGCCGGACAAAGCCATCACATCGGGCCAAGGATGGCCAAGACCGCGTGCCGTCCCTTTGAAGAGAATACCCCAGCATTCCAGGTACTTACAATGTCTTCTCGCTTTGTCTGCTAGGAAGCTTGGACGATGCGGGATGTTTCAACAAAAAGTGTTGGAGTGAAGGTTGCGAATCGGAGGTTTATCGAAGGGTCTCGAAGTTTCGGTTTCGTTTGTGTTCGTTTGTTCCGGAAAGGATGGTATTTGCACCAGGCGAGTTGGATATGTTGATGGAAGTTGTGAAAAGAATAAGGACTAGCCTTGTTGAATGAGAAGTGAGAGAAGGTGAGATGTCGAAACGACAAAGTCTTTCCAAGCCCAAAGAATGCGAGAAGACTTGATGGTCCGAGAGGATGAGGAGTAGTAGAAAGCGATTGTGAGGTCGGACAAGGCCAGGTCTTATAAGACCGGAAACAGACCAAAAGGGATGGTGGGCTAAAAGAGTAGTGACGGTGACTGACAGGGCCCCACGGACAGAATATGCCGGGCTTAGAGAGTGACCAAAGTGACTAGGGAATGGATACGGAGAGAAGAGGCAAAAAAGCAACGAGCGCGGCTGCAGCAGAGAACGGCGGTAATCCTTGAAGGACTGGAGAACGATGGACTGGAGGTCGGACCGGAGGATGAGTAGCTGAACAAGATCGGTCCACTTGGGACGGGAAAGACATGGCGTTCTTTTTAGACAGGCGTTGGGCAAATGGGCCAGTCAAGACCAGACATGGGCATCAGATCAAGGGGATTCGAAGCATGGTGGATCGACCGAGTGGTACAGGGGCAGGCCGTTGAAGAAGGAGAGGAATGGCTTTGAGGCTATGATAGGCCGGAGACATGCCCCTCGGCTTGTTTCGACGTGGCTCAAAAAGACCGGACTAAACATTCTTGTGAGTGTGCAGGGGTGGGAGAAGAGAGGGGGGGAAATAGTAGGTTAGAGGGTGATCGGATGTGGGCGCCATCTGGAGCTCGAGCTGCGGCTGTCGTCTGCCTGTCGACTTTGACCCATGGTCTCGCGGCAGAGACCAAGACGGTAAGACCATGCCATGTTCCTGGGAAAGACAGATGGTGGTCGACGTGGGTGGGACATGGAGGGACGGGGACCTTGCAGCAAGGCGCGCCATGTCGCGTTGCGGGTTACGCTGCGCTCTTTTCGCGCGGCGGATGCCCCTGACTAGACTTGTCTAGGGAGAAGCCAAGGACAGCCAAAGGCGGGGGAGGAAGGAGGGCTGTCCTGCGGTGCATCTGTGGACCAGAGTCGAAGTGGTGTAGACTATAGGGGAGGAATTGGTGAGGAGTTTTTCGAGCTGTCGTTGCTGGCGAGGATCGAATGGCTGGGACGAGGTAGAAAGAGAGACAAGTGACACCGAGGAGAGTGCGCTAGTGGAGGGTAGGTCCGGGATTGGCGACAGGGAGCAGGGAGCAACGACGCAGGGAGCATGGGTACATGTTGTGGATTCTAGATTCCAATGACCCACCGGACAACGCAGTACGTACCCTTACCACTCCCGTCTAGAGACGACGCCCTATTGGGTGCTCGGCACCCGCTAACGGAGCTTGAGAGCACGTTCCTTGCTTCTTTGGGTACGTAGTCTTTCGGTACCTACCTAAAGGTTCCTCAGTAGAAACGTACCTTTTATACACTAAAGTACGTGCCTCACTTGGGGAAGGACGGCGGGACGGTGGTAGGCACGGGAATACCTAGGGAGGATCGCATAGGTGCAACCACATGTTTGCATCTAGTGCCTAGATGGCAACCCTCGAGTTACTCTAGAAGAGCGGTAGGAACACTGAAGCGCTTGAGGTGCAGCTTTCAAGACAGGAGATGCACCAGAAAACGGCGGAGGCTACTGCAAGGCACCATCTGTGAGATGATCACAGCATGCAGTAGCAGCAAAGTGTTCCTAGTGACAAGAGTCACAAACAGGCACCTCTGCCACTCCAAGATAGGTGTCAGCCATACCACACCCAATCCTCTGGTATTCTTGGTTCACGTCCTATTCTTGTTACTAAATGCATTCATCCAGACTATCTTAGTCTGCTTGAATGTAGAGTAGAAGGGGCGCGTGGCGATGCAAGTCAGTCATCCCGTCCGGTATGCACCTTACCTTGGACGATTAAAGAGGCGAGTTGCCTTCGCCTCGCCAAGCCCCAAGGATTAGTCTAGTATACCTGGGCGGGAAGTTGTTCTTCAACAGACTTTCCCTGGTACGCAAACAGACAGCGCGGCACGGTAGCGCGGCTGTTTGCTGACTGACGGCACACGATCCAGCTCGACCGTATTATGCACTGACTAGGCTGAAAGTCAAGATCGTCAGAAACTCGGAAGGCGACGCAGTCCAGTTCATTCCAGGCTTTTCCGAAGTCGTCTCCCTTTCTTTTTCGAGACAACGGGCGGCCTCCAATCAGGACATGTCAAACCTTGGGTTCGGAGACTTGGAGTGGTGATCCATCGGCCGTCTTTTGCGGCCCTCGCTGGCCCAAGGCCTCGGTGGCGGCCACTCAGATCCCTCGCATACCCTCACGACGGGTATACGTCACGGTGTGGTGTAACCCTGCCTGATCGCATTGGCTACGCCGCTCTCCAGGAGTCCAGCCTGCACCTGCAGGGCCTCTTTTTCGGACGCTCACCTCGTGAGTCCAGTGCCAGAGCCTTGGTGTGGCAGAGAACTAGGTAGTCCTTCCCCCCCTGTCGTCGATTCTAAGTGTAGGGGTGAGAGCGCAGTCATTCCTGATGAAGACTAACGCGAAAGAGGGACGGGCAAGGGGGCTTCAAGACCAAGACCTGCAACGACTGGGGACTGGACTTCCATGGTGTCGCCGCCGTTGTCGCGCAGCGAGCCTCTCCCGCACACCTAGCCCAATGAGCTTGGTGCACACACGACGCGGGTGACGGGAGACATGGAGGACGTGATAAAGAGAGGAAGAGAAATAGCAGGATCAGGGATCGGAGAGGTGGTCGGAAAGGAAAAGGCAAGTAAAAAAAAAAAAAAAAAAACACTGAGGGGCGAGGGGGGGGGGGGGGGGGGGACCCCGGGGGGGGGGGGGGGGGGGGGGGGGGGGGGGGGAGGGGGGGGGGGGGGGGAAAAAAAAAAGAAAAAAAAAAAAAAAAAAAAAAAAAAAGTCCACAGTGACAGGGGGTTCCGCTGAACCACGGCTTTCGGCAAGGGCTCGTGAGCAAGGGGGTACATGAGGACAAGAAAGGGGCAGATGATATCCAAAATCTGGTTCGACGATGGAGCTGGTTCCGCGATTTCCATGTCATTCCTTTTTGCAGAGACTATGGATAGACGAGGGGCATCGACCACTGGCCAACACCTGAACTTCTGGGCCCGACTATCGTCAAGTCCACCCGTTTGTCAAAATGTCTTACTCTATACCAAGGTAAAGAAGAACTAAAAAAGACCAGGACCTGGCATGCCAGGGGAAAGCGAGACATGCAACGGGGCATCTCGGGGCACACCTGGTTGCGAATTCAGCTCACCTTCACACCGAGAGACACACCTCCACATCTAGTGCACTGAGTGAGGGAGCAATGCGCGGAATGCAGTGTATCAGTCAGGCCCCATCCCTCCATCTATTGTGCGCATTGTCGCCTCGACAAGCTAAAAGCCAAGACCCGATATGAATAGAGTCGCGTTGATCGACAAGATTCTCCCGAGTCAGTGATGGATGATCCCCGTTGAAGGAAAAAAATTAGAGACTCGTGGGACTCAGCACGTAAATTGAGAGCGCTGAATTGCAATTCATTGGATGGTCCCGACTTAATCTGCTCCGTCTCGACCTCGGTATGACTTTCCGGCCCCGGCCCTTGGCGGCAAGGCGTATTTAGAGTGCACGTTTTGACTTGTGGATAATAATGGGAAAGCATAATCTATCTTGGTACAGTGTAGAGGGAGAAATTAAAAAGGCATGTGGGAGGGAGCACCGCTGTAAAATCTGCGCAACCGTTTATTGCGGCTGTTCTACCTTGCTGCCCACCGCAAGTCTTAACACGTCATAAGTTGTTCCCCGGTGATGCCGTGGTGGCGGTGTACCTTGTCTCCCATCATTGGCCTGATAGTGGAGACTGTATCCGTATCCGTACACGCGTATCCGAAAGGTAAGGTACCTTAGACCACCTAAGACATGGAGACAGATTCATTCGTGCATACCGGTTGTGGCGGTCCAGTTGCTTAAACAATCAACGGCCCGGGAGTCTCCTCACCGATGACAGGAAAATAAGGAACGGTGAGCGACTCACGACAGCCACTCGTTTTCACTCTCCTTTCCACACTTGCTTCTTCTTCTCCTGTCTCTCTCTAGTGCATCCGTACATCCCAGTGCCGAGACCTCCCATGTTGACATGCAAAGTACAGGCCGAAATCCCCTGACATTGCGACCTGCCCATCTGGTTGTTCCCCGCTAAATCGGATAGTAGGCGGGGGCAGGCGAGCAGATCCTCCTGCGCAAGTGCAAGGTTGGGAAAAAACGATGTTGGCAATGGCAGGGGGATGTTTTCTCGCTTCTGAAGTTCTGTGCATTTTTTGGATCAGGGGTTCACGTACCCCCGGGCTGGGAGTCCTCTTCCTGTCCACACATCTGAGGCCTTTTCCGCTCTCTCGTTAATCGTGTCCACTTCGCCCGAAGAAGGCCAATTGTGTACTCCTCCCCCGTCGTACTCTGGGACACCATATCCGTAGTCTCTGGATAACTGGTAGGCTAATCGGTCGTCACACATGCTACGTTGTAGTGGACGCAGGGTGTCGTCGTAGGGGGGTTTCCTCCAAAATGTCTAGGGAGGAGACGAGACATGCTGGAGCGCAAGAGCCCCCCCAACCAACCCCAACCCTAAACCCCTGCGCAGAAGCGAGGATGTGAAACGAAGCCAGTTTCACGACCCCGCGTTCGCCTCTTCTCCTTTCGGACATTTGAACCTATGCCTGCGAACCGCTGACAGCGAATCAATGCGATATTAACACCCATCTGTTAATGGGAACAATTGTGCGGTATCATACTGAAATGGTTCCTGCGGCCTTGAATCTTTCCAAGCTAAGCTTTTTTAAACGTTTGTTTCTTCAGACCAGTCAGTCAGTCAGTGACTTCACAGGCCATCGCGGACCGCGGGAAGCGGGTTGGTATCGCATGGCATCTGCAATCCAGTCTTGGCACGCCGGGGCCAGTCGTTTCTCCATTGTCCATCGAGAAACGTCGTCAGAACGACCATCCCCCTAATCCATCGCGTTTGGGGTAAGCGCTCTGGGAAACGAACCGCGTCGTTCGTTAGCTGGTCACCTGTCACGGCCTGTCAGCCTAAGGTGGCTTCACCCTCGGGTTGCTCTGACGTTGGCCAGTCCTTTGACAGCAACGGGACGACGACGACCAAGTATCGCGCGCCGAAGCTGTCAGGCCTAAGCATCTCATGCTCTCCCCTTAGCTGCCCTTCCTGAGACCATCTACGCAGCCCGTCGTTCGGCTGTCACTCTGGCACGTTCATGGTTCCTCAAGCGGAAGCCCCAGAGCCCAAAGCGACCACAGTCCATCAACCTGAACCCTGCAGGTTCTACTCTGTACACTGCAATAGTAGTTGTACGTATCGGATACGTAGGTACTCGTGTCCCGGCCTTTGCCCGACCACAGTGGGACATTTCACCGGCTGGTGTCCACTGTCACGTTGCTGATCGCCACCCCGTGGTCCACCGTCCAATTCCCGGATGGTGGTGGCCCGAAATCCACGGCCGAGTGGATTCGACAGGGAACGCTCGCGAGAAAGACAAGAGACTCGTTCACGAGAGAGGGGAGGGTGTCACTGAGAGAAACAGAAGACGGATACGGATATCTCGGTCGGTTTGTTGCGCGCGGCGCAGTACGTAATTCTTTGTCCATGCGTCGACGCATCCTCATCTATCATCTACACAGTAGCTCTGGCCCTCTCGAGTCTGGTACGCTATTGCCCCAGGTTGGGGGTTCCGTCGTCTGATGATTTGGACAAAATTCCTCCTTCATCTTGGCTCATCCACGTCCGTGTTGCTGCCTCCCCTGAACATCGCAGCCAGTTGGGCATTGAGTAGAAAGAGCCCAGCCTCGACCAGCGCCGTCTGGACAGACGATCCGAGTACGGGAGGGGGAGGGAGCCAGGGCCCACGGGAGCTGAGAAGGCAGTCAGCGCTGGGAGGCCCGTCTTCTCTCAACTTCTCCTTCATGTTCGGACGATCTGGTTGAACCGTGTCTCGTACTTGTGACACTGATCGCCCGCCAGCGCACACAGCCTGGTGCTGTACCGGTTACGAAATGGCACCTACTCCCACGCACGCATGAATTCCCCGACATGGCCTTTACCACCTGACGGCCCCTTGCCAATACCATATCACTCCCGTGCTGCTTTGGGCAGTCGAGCGGCCATCAGCTTCAGTCATGGGCAACGGCACATTTCAGTCTCTGGAGGGGGGATCCCTGGCGAACACCATTTCGAGTGCCGCCTCGGCATGAAGATCGCCTCTGAGCCACATCTTCACGAGGAGATCCGAATAGTTCCCAGGTAACGCCACCGCGGTCAGCCACCCCTGTACGGTGCCACTTTGCGAGCAACGGCTTGTGGCGTTGTGTGGCTCCCCTGTCTGCCGGAGCCATAGATCTCTCGTAGAACATGGCCCCTGTGGCTCGTACCTCGTGCTTCCCGAAAAAGGGACCAGCTCGCTTCGCTTCCTGTGCCACAAGAGTACAGCTTAGAGATACCGGTATAGTACGGATATAGCATTCTTCATCGGATGCCTCTGGACTATCCGTACATCCTTGTGTAGCTGGAATTCGGCACTCTGGAGTCAGCCGCGACCAGCATACCCTGGATTTACAAAGTGGCTCGACAGCGGGCCTGCATAGCTCACGAGTTGGCATTTTACACGCATTTTCACGACGTGTCGGCGCCTGTTTCTGAGCCAGTATCCAAGCTGGCTATGGCTCGTTTTGCCATGCCGTGATTTCAGCCGCTCAACAAAAACCCCGGCTTGCATGCCGGCTCAGCAAGCTTGCATAAGCGTGGACCACTCAGACGCTGCTCTCTGGTCAGCGAATATTGGGCGACTTTTCGTCAAGGGCGTTGCTAGAATTGAATGCCCCCCCGGTTTGAATGGTTGCATTGCCGCCCGAATTCAGCCAAAGGACGACGACGACAGCCACAACATCACTTCACACCACATCGCATCACGTGGGGCACACTGTCATGCACTGGAGTCCTGGGCGCCGAGGCTGGCGGCAGTCGTCGACTCGCTCATCGGGCATGACTGGTAAACAGAACGTCATCCGCTGTTTGCTGATATCGCGTCCTGGTTTCATTTATCCGTCACATCGTAATTGCCCATGTGCCTTGCGCGGGCAGCGGCGCTCAACTGTCTCCAATGCCGTGAGCCGGTGCTGACTTGTCCGCCTCACACCGCCCTACTGGCCTAGTAGCAGACCTGCGTCGGGCGCCTGCCGTAAGAGCCCATCAAATAATGCCGTTTGCCGCCATGCGAAAAACAAGGGCCTGAAGAAAAAAAAGCCATGCTGAACCAAATCCTTGGGCTCAGCACCGCTCTACTTGGGCATATCATGCTTCTTGTCGTGACCTTGTGCATCTTCCTGCTCTGTCTTCTCAAACTCCGCATAGTCATCGCAGCCTAGGTGTGATTTGCCAATGTTAGCGACAAATTGAACCCAAACCCGACGGCGGCCCCCTCGGCCAGCCAGCCCCCTCGGCCAGCCAGCCCAACCGCCCTCCATCGTCAGAAGGGATGTGGCCGAAGTCTCACCTTCAAAGACATGGCTCTCGCGCGTCCAGACGTGCATCTTATCCTTGCGGAACTCCTCAAACGACCACTCCACGCGCTCCAAGCCCTCCGGGCGCATGTAGATGTAAGCCATGGCCTCCTTTTTCTCTTCCTTCTCCTCCCCACCGCCATTCTCGCCGCGGAGCTCGACGCTGACAATCTTCTTCTTGTACTCGGAGCCCTCAAAGAAGTCGAGCTTGAGAATGTTGGCGTCCGTGAGGCCCGTCGCATAGATGCCGAGGACAGAGCCGCCCGCCTCGGAGATCATGCCCGGGTAGTCGGCAAACTGGACCCGGTGTCGGGTGTAGTCGTGCAGAATGGCCGGAGTGAACGTGTAGAGATCCTTGATCGCCTGGGATGGGTTGCCATTTCCTTGGACGACTGTGAAGAAGACCTTGGGCTCCATCTTGGGGGGATGTTAGTGATATGAGATGCTCAGAAGTTTGCTGAGGGTGAGATGAATGACTGACCAGAGTGCCTGTCAATGTTGTTAGCCTGTGGCCATCAGATACGATTGTGAGACTTACCATAGAAGAAGGCAGTATGCGGTCCACTCATCTTGAATGTGTTGATTTGGTGTTGGACAGAAGCAGGTTGTGTGCTATTGAGGCGATTCTGTGAGAGTTCGAAGTTAACCAAAGAAGAGTTGTGACTTCAGATTCGACGAAAGAAAAGCAGTCGAGAAGGATTCAATGCGCAAGAATCTAGCGTTCTTAATTACGCTTGGATCTCAAACGCGACTGGTGACTCAGTCATGCCTCCCACTCAAAACTTCTGATTGTTGATCTACCTAGTTTAAGGTAAGTGGTAAGGTAGGTAGGTACCAACAAAACCCAGCAGGAAGACTGATTTTCTGTGCTTCTCTGTGCTTCTCTGTGCTTCTCTTTGCTTCTCTCTGCGGGTTCTAGACAAACCTGTAAGACAAAGAAACGGGAAAAAAGTCGTTTGAGAACATAACAGGCAGGCAAGCAAGAACTGGTGTAAGGTGGCACAAAAATAACCGAAGAGTGAGGTAGAATCCCGGCCAGTCTCCGGACAACGATTCAGCGGCGCACCGGAGCTCTTATCGCTCTCCAGATTGAAAGATAAGGCGTGGAGTGAACAGCACCCCTGTTCCCCAGAGGCGGCCCGGCAGGCAGTCCGGGTGGAGCATTTATGGAGCCCGAGCAACGGATCAATATTCTTCAGCCCCCTAGCGTCAAATGATTTGGCGGCTGGTTCCCCCAGCTTCGCGACTGCCTTTGGAAATTTGAGAGCTCACGTCGAGCCTGGGCCATCAAATCCATTTAACCAAGCCGCGCGACCTTGAGCGATTGGGAACTACTGAGGCATCCCCATAACCAAGGCACGCGAAGACAACCGTATTTGTGACTTACTTTCGGTCTTTCAATTCCTTTTCATCACGAGCAGCCTTTTTCTCTTTCCATCATCTACGAGATACCCCTCCAACTCCAACGCGCGCCTTCGTCCGCAACCTCCACCTATCAGCCTCGCTGCGACACAACCCAACCTACAATACCCTCCCCTCCCACGCATGGGAACGAATCACGCGTCCCCCGAGGGCCATTGAAGCCGCCATGTCGGGCACCACAATTGACGATGTCGTGAAGCGACTCAGCAGTCCGGACACGGGTATGGAACGACCCCTCGTGCGATGCGATCCCTCGAACCTATAACCCCGCCGTGGTGTAGGCGCATCACTTTTCGTCATGGTCTTGCTGACATGTGCGTGGTACAGATGCAAGAGTCAAGTTGGATGCGGCGACGACCTTGCGCGACAGCTTAGATCACTACACTACAGGAAACATATATCCCCCCTTCCTGAAGCGAATGGTACCGATCTTCCTCGCCATCCTGAGAGGACCATGCATATTCCAGAGCCACTCCCCGGAGCAGGTGAGCTCCCCAGCATCGATATGGATAGTGATAGTGCGTCGCTGACAAGTTAACGACAGAAACTGCGAAACTGCATCCTCGAGGTCCTCAACCGATTGCCAGCGACAGCGTCCCCGACCGAACCCTTCGAACCCTACGCGGAAGAGGTTGTTGATCTGCTGATGCAACTGGTCCGGACGGACAATGAAGAGAATGCGACGCTCTGTGTCAAGATCATCTCGGATGTCATGCGTCATCAACACAAAGTCCTGCAGGGCAAGGTGCAGGCATTCTTGAACCTGATCCAGGAGCTTTTCGAGCAGATGGAGAAGGTCGTTCGGGAACAGCTGGACAACACGTCACTTTCGACTGCATCAAACTCTGGCGCACCATCTACGCCAGGCAGCTCCCAGACGAACTTCCAGTCGCCTAGACCAGGTTCTCCCGTAGCGTCGGTCACAGATCTCGGCCCGGATCCCCAACAACAGAATCGGTTGCTGCTGAAGGGCATGCAGTCTTTCAAAGTCCTCTCGGAATGTCCTATAATAGTGGTGTCAGTCTTCCAGGTCTATCGAAATACTGTTGCGTCCAACGTCAAGGCTTTCGTCCCTCTCATCAAGGGGTTCCTCTGCCTCCAAGCCAGCGCGCAGAAGCAGGCCCATGCCGATGCCAAGGCCAGGGGACAGATCTTCACGGGCGTGAGTCCGTTGATCAAGAATCGTGCTGCTTTTGGCGAATTCATTACAGCTCAGGTTAAGACGATGAGCTTTCTGGCTTACCTGCTGCGTCAATACTCTCAGCAGCTGACGGATTTCTTACCAACGCTTCCCGAGATTGTGGTTCGACTCCTGCAGGACTGCCCGAGAGAGAAGTCGAGTGCGCGAAAGGAGCTACTCGTTGCAATTAGGCATATCATCAACTTTAACTTCCGCAAGATTTTCTTGCCCAAGATTGATGAGCTCCTCGATGAGAAGACACTGATCGGCGACGGCCTCACGGTGTACGAGACGATGAGACCGCTGGCGTACAGTATGCTTGCCGATCTCATTCACCACGTTCGCGACAGTCTCACCCCAGAGCAAATTCGCAAGACGGTCGAGGTCTACACCAAAAATCTCCAGGATAACTTCCCAGGAACGAGTTTCCAGACCATGAGCGCCAAACTCCTCCTTAACATGGCAGAATGCATCGCCAAGATGCCAAACAAGGTCGACGCGCGGCACTATCTGATCATGATCCTTAACGCTATTGGCGACAAGTTCGTGGCCATGAACAGACAATATCCAAACGCAGTGAAGCTCTCGAAACTATACGCCCAGCAAGCCCTGGACGGAACCCAGGATAGCTACCTTGCGGATAAGGATCATCCGCCTGACTGGGATGAGACCGACATCTTCACTGCTATGCCGATCAAGACATCAAACCCAAGGGACAGAGGCGCAGACCCCGTTGTGGACAACAAGTTCCTGTTCAAGAATCTGATGAACGGCTTGAAGAACACTTTCTATCAGCTGAGAACATGCAATGTCAACAACGTCATTGACGTGCAAAATGCCCCGGCACACTGGCAGGATGTTGCCTATGGTTTCACAGCAGAGGAGGTCAACGTCGTCGTGAAGCTGTTCAGAGAGGGCGCCTACGTTTTCCGCTACTACGAAATTGAGAAGCCCGCGACCGAGTCTCAGTACATGTCACCCGTAGAGTACATGGCCAACTTTTACATGGTGTCAAGCAGCAAGGAGGAGAAGGAACTTCTTGAGACGTTTGCAACTGTTTTCCATTGCATTGACCCGGCGACATTTCATGAAGTCTTCCAGCAAGAGATCCCTCACCTATACGACATGATATTTGAGCACACGGGATTGCTACACATCCCCCAATTCTTCCTTGCGAGTGAAGCTACCTCACCAAGCTTTTGCGGCATGTTGCTGCGCTTCTTGATGGAGAGAATTGACCAAGTTGGCTCTGCGGATGTCAAGAAATCGTCAATTTTGCTCAGGTTATTCAAGTTGGCCTTCATGGCAGTCACGCTTTTCGCCAACCAAAACGAACAGGTCCTGCTTCCTCACGTCGTGGACATCGTCACCAAGTCAATTGAACTGTCGACAAAAGCCGAGGAGCCCATGAATTACTTTCTGCTTCTTCGATCGTTGTTCAGAAGCATCGGCGGCGGCAAGTTTGAGCATCTCTACAAGCAGATTCTGCCTCTGCTTGAAATGCTGCTGGATGTGCTCAACAACCTGCTCATGGCAGCAAGAAAACCTGCCGAGCGGGATCTCTACGTAGAGCTGTGCTTGACGGTGCCGGCACGTCTCAGCAACCTGCTGCCCCATCTCAGCTTCCTGATGCGTCCACTAGTAGTCGCCTTGCGCGCCAACACAGATCTAGTTGGCCAAGGACTGCGGACTCTGGAGCTCTGTGTCGATAACCTGACCGCCGACTACCTGGACCCTATCATGGCTCCGGTTATTGACGAGTTGATGACGGCGCTGTTCGACCATCTTAAACCCCATCCCTACAGTCACTTCCACGCTCACACGACGATGCGTATCCTAGGAAAGCTTGGAGGCCGTAACCGAAAGTTCATGACTGACGCGCAACCCCTCAACTATAAGGACTACGCCGACGACCCGACAAGCTTTGATCTCCGCTTGATTGGCTCCAAAAAAGAAAGAGCTTTCCCTGCAGAGACGGGTGTCGACTTCGCCATCAGAAAATTGATGGAACAGCCAAAGGCCGGCAAGGGAAATCAGTCGCGTCAATATGATGGGTACTACAAGAAGCAGTCCTTCCACTTCATCAAGTCCCAGCTGAAGATGCGGATCGGCTTCGAGAACTTGCCCGACGACTTGCCCCGACTTCTGCGCCTCCAGGCTCAAGACCTAGCCGCCCGAAAAATCGACTTTGACTTCTCTGTGTTTGAAACACACGACAGAGAGCGATCCATTCCTAAGAAGGATGAGCAAGATGACCTTGTCAAGCGTTTGCTCAAGGCAGTCATGTTCGCTGAGTCTTTGCCTGATTTCAAGGAAGAAGCGCAGGCATTCCTCATGAATCTCTGCAAACATTTTACGATCATCGAGGTCGGCCGAGCCTTGGTCGACGTCAAGCGAGCTTACAACGCATTCGATCCCAATGCCGGAGAAGGCCCACTCTTTATTGATACCCGGGTGCTCTCTGATGCCATTGTGGAATCATTGGCATCGGATCATCCAGAAGTGCGGGAATCTGCGCAGCGCGCGATACGAGAGGTGTATGACTCTGCTGTCACAATCATGGGCAACGAGCAGAATGTTGCTAGGCTACCCTTATTTAACAACTTGAGCACCACATTCTGCCACGGCTGCTACGAAGAGGAGTGGTTCACCAAAACGGGTGGCTCTCTCGGGATCAACTTCCTCCTCAACGAGCTTGACCTTGGTGACCAGTGGGTCGCGGGAAAGCAGATAGAGTTCATTCGCTCCCTTATGTACGTCATCAAAGACATGCCCCAGGATCTCCCTGAGAAGACCAGAAGATCTGCCCAGGTCACCTTGGAGACTTTGTTGCAAAGAATCACAAAGAACATCAAGAAGGAGGATGCCATGCCACAACAAAACCCGGGTCAGCCGCCACAACAGAGGTCCCGCCTCGCACAGATTTGCATGCAGTTCAACACGGAGTTGGCGCACATGAATCGTCACGTTCGCGAGACTGCGAAGCGATCACTCGAACTCATCGCCAAGGCGGCCAACTGTGCCGTTTGGGAGTTGATTGAACCCTACAAGGAGCGATTCCTTCAACCGATCTACTCTAAACCCCTTCGCGCCTTGCCGTTCCCCATCCAGATCGGCTACATCGACGCAATGACTTACCACATGACCTTGCGGAAGGAATGGGTTACTTTCGACGACAACCTGACCAGATTACTTATGGAGTCTTTGGCCTTGGCTGATGCAAGCGATGAGTCTCTGGCCAACAAGCCAGGAGAGTTTAGGACGCATGAGTATATTGTCAATCTCAGGGTAGCGTGTATCAACATCCTCAGCACCGCCACCAGTTTCGAAGAGTTTGCGCCGCTCAAGCAAGGCAGCCATCCCACTCGTTCCAAGATTGTCTCGGTGTTTTTCAAGTGCCTGTACTCGGACTCGAAGGCCACAATCGACGCGGCAAACAGTGCCCTCAAGAATACCCTCGAGGCCCATCAGAAGCTTCCGAAGGACCTGCTCCAGGGTGGCTTGAGACCGGTTCTTGCCAGTCTTCAAGACCCTAAGAAGCTCACGACCCATGGCTTGGACAACCTCGGTCGACTGTTGAAGCTGCTCACTACGTACTTCAAAGTCGAAATCGGAGCGCGCCTGCTCGACCATGTCAAGGTGCTTGCAGAGCCCAGCAGCCTCCAACAGCTCTCCTTCACCTTCTTTGAGCAGAACGCTCCGATGAAGGTGATTGCTGCTGTCTTCAATATCTTTCACCTTTTGCCGCCACAGGCCGAGGGCTTCAAGCAACGTCTCATTGATCTGGCATTGGAGCTGGAGGAAAAGCTGCGCCGGACCCATGAAAGCCCCTTCCGAGCACCTTTATATAAGTTCATCAACCGATACCCCAACGAGGTTTGGAACTTCATTCTGCCGAAGCTTGAAGATCTCAAGTATGGACGCTTCATCTCACAAGTGATCCGCAACCCGGAGAGCGGCCCCCTCAGAGAAACTGTGTCTTCCAACGTTCAGGCCCTGATTGACTTCTGCAACACCCTTATTTCGCAAAACAAGGACACCAAGCTCGTTGCCGTTGTCAATGCCGTTCACATTCTTTACTCCCTCACTCTGTCGCCTGGAACAGACACTTGGCTGGAGAAGAAGGAGCATCTGACCTGGTTGAAGCAAGTCGGCAAAGAATTGGAGAAGCAGATGCGGGCCCATACACTTGCGCCCAATCTGAGACTTCCGGCGTGCCAGGCGTCAGACCAGTTGATGTCAATCTTCATCAAGTCTTTGGAACGCAGCCCCAAAGACCTTGAGTCGCTCTTCAGCCTGGTGGACTCGGTCACGATTGACGACTTCCGTGCCTCACAGCCTCTGATCGCTTACATCTACAAAAACATCGTCAGCAGCGACTCGCCTGAGTTCTGGAAGGTGACGATTCTCAGATGTCTTGACGCCTACCCCCAAAAGAACGTTTCTCAGAAAATGAAGTGTTTCTTGTTGCACTACATTGTCAACCCGATCGTTGCCATGGATGTGCAGCGCCACTGGAACCAGCCGCCGCAGACTAAGGGTCGCTTCATGGACAAGACCATCATCGATGCTGTCAACACGAAGATATGGAAGATGCACCAAGACACCAGCCAGCATGACACTGACGATCTCATGCAGCCGGGTATCGATCACACCAAGTTCGAGGTTCTCCAGCTGTCGGCTATGCTGGTGAAGTACCACTCCGTCATTTTCCAAGAGGCCCGAAAGGATATCATTAAGAGTTGCTGGACCTTTATCCGACTGGACGATGTCATCAACAAGCACGCTGCTTACGTTGTGATCGGCTACTTCATCGCGCTATATGAGACGCCGGTGAAGATCGTCACCCAGGTGTACCTCTCACTATTGAGAGCAAACCAGAACGAGGGACGGGCCTTGGTCACACAGGCTCTAGAGCTAATAGCTCCCGTTCTTCCCAAACGCCTCGGCACACAACCCCATGATCGCAACGCCGGATGGGCGCTGGCTCCTAGAAAGATCCTCGCCGATGAAGGCCAAAACGTTCAGCAAATGACCAGCATCTTCCACTTCTTGGTTAGACATCCTAACCTGTTTTACGAGTCGAGAGACAAGTACGCTATGCTTATCATCTCGTCTCTGAGGAAAGTTGCTGCGCCACCCAACCCTTCGAACGAGTCTAAGAAGCTCGCTCTGAATATGATGTGGCTCATTTGGCTGTGGGAGCAACGGCGTGTTGACGGCAAGGGAGACGCAGTGTCTCGTTCCATCTCCGAGTCACCGACATCTAAGAAGCGCAAGTTGGACAACGGCGACCAGCCCATGTCGTCACCTCCTACCGCCAGGCTAAACCTGGAACGTGGAGAGTATGCCATCCCGCCAATTGCGCGCCAGAGAATGATCAAGTACCTGGTGGAGTTCATTGCCCAACTGAATGAGCGGTATCAATTGCCGTCCACAAAGGCAAGAGACAATGCTTCCACAAACGGTCCCGCCATGCCGCCCACGTCTACCGAGTTGTGCAAGAAGGCCATGAGTCTGTTTTACAACCTTGTTCAACCCCAATACTGGGGTGATATGGACATTGATCTCTATCCCAACGTCACCGACGTGGTTCTGGCTAGCGACAAGACTCAGAACATCCTCTCAGCGGATCCCTCTGACGAGAAGTTTGATGAGAAGTTCATCACAAACATCATCAATACTCTTCAGGTTGTTCGCATCATCTTGAATTCCAAGTCAGATGAATGGATTGCCAAGAACATGACGTCGGTCCAGAAAGTCCTTGATAAGTGTCTTAAAAGCGAGAACCCCGAGCTGCAGGATTGCTTACACCTTGCCGATAAGAAGTACGATGATGACCGCGATTTGAAGGCAATCATCCAGAGAGTACTCGATGCTGTTCCTGAGGACGTGCCGATGGAGGATGCCGACGGTGAGGGTGAGACGGAGTCACAAAACTCTGAGATTATCAACTCTCTGTCATCGATTGCCGGCGAGGCTATGGCAGCAGGACACTATGGATCTGGAGTCAATATTCTGTGGTCCTTGGGCAACCGCAAGCCCTCCGTCATTGACCAGCACATTGCAGTCCTCATGAAGGCCCTGCAGAGCAAGTTGGCGCGCGAACATGTCCAGCATTACACGGCCGTCGCCAACCACCAGGCCGGGCAGCCTCGAACCCAGGATGCAAACACGCCAACGGGCGAAATGTCTGCGTACGACCTTGAGGTTTCAACTGCTCTCATGACCAAGGCTATCCAGGTCGTTGCGCTGCGAATGGAAGTTCTGGGTGATAACCGACGACCGTTCCTCAGTGTTCTTGCGACACTGGTAGAGAAGTCTATGCACATTCCTCTTTGTGAGGAGATCCTCAACATGGTGGAAGGCTGGGTGTTCCGTTCCGAAGGCACCTGGCCTACCCTCAAGGAAAAGACTGCAGTCCTCCACAAGATGCTATCCTTTGAGCATCGTCAAGACTCCACCATGTTGACGAAATTCCTCGAACTTGTCATTCGCATCTACGAGGATCCCAAGATCACCCGCACCGAGTTGACTGTTCGCATGGAGCATGCGTTCCTGATCGGCACACGCGCTCAGGACGTGGACATGCGCAACCGCTTCATGGCCATCTTCGACAAGAGTCTTTCAAAGACTGCCAGTGCCCGCCTTGCCTATGTTCTCACCTCTCAGAATTGGGACACTCTGGCTGACAGCTTCTGGCTAGCGCAAGCATCGCACCTTCTCCTTGGCGCAGTCGAACTGAACAACCCGATTCAGCTGCATCACGAAGACTTCAAGACAATGCCACTCACTCAGCTTTTCTCGATCCACGCCAAAGACAACAGAGACCCCACCAGCATGTCGGACGATAAGCTTGACACTTTGGTAACTGCCCACCGACGTTTCATGAGCGAGCTTGGTGAGGTCAAGGTTCGAGATCTGATTGAGCCTCTTGTCCAACTGCAGCATGTCGACTCTACCCTTGCTCACCAGCTTTGGTCTGCCTTGTTCCCCATTTACTGGTCTGCGACGATGAAGGAAGAACGCACCGACCTCGAACGTGGCATGGTTGCCCTCCTCACCAAGGACTATCACAGCCGCCAGATCGACAAGCGACCGAATGTGGTCCAGTCTCTTCTAGAGGGTGCAGCCAAGGCCTGGCCTGATTGCAAGATCCCGCCGCACGTTCTCAAGTACGAGGCAAAGACTTACGATTCGTGGTACACCGCACTCGTCCAGCTTGAGAACGCGGCCATCAAGCCAGAGATCGAGTCGGCAACTGTTCGCGAGAGCAACCTTGATGCACTTGTTGAGTTGTATGCTTCTCTACAAGAAGACGACCTGTTTTACGGCACGTGGCGCAGACGATGCCAATTTGTGGAGACGAATGCTGCATTGTCTTATGAGCAAAATGGAATGTGGGACAAGGCTCAAAAAATGTATGAGGCCGCTCAGATCAAGGCTCGGACGGGTGTCATTCCCTTCTCTCAAGGGGAATACGTATTGTGGGAAGACCACTGGGTTTTGTGCGCGCAGAAGCTGCAGCAATGGGAGATTCTCCAAGATTTCGCCAAGCACGAGAACTTCCAGGACTTGCTTCTGGAATGCGCTTGGAGGAACAACACAGAGATGTGGCAGACACAGGAACATCGCGAGGCGCTGGACAACCTCATCAAGGGCGTTATGGACGCACCGACGCCTCGACGTGCCTTCTTCCAGGCCTTCATGTCGCTTCTCAAGTTTTACAACAAGCAAGAGACGCCCCAGGACTTTGCCAAGTCGTGTGACGAGGCCATTCAACTCTCTATACGGAAGTGGCATCAGCTGCCGAAGCAGCTGACCAAGGCACATATTCCTCTGCTGCAGAACTTCCAGCAATTGGTCGAGCTCCACGACGCGAGCGTGATCTGCAACAGCTTGGCCAGCACCAACCAGTCCAACTTGGATGTCAAGTCTGGAGAACTCAAGCTCCTGCTCGGTGCATGGCGCGATCGTCTGCCCAACGTCTGGGACGATATCACTGCCTGGCAAGATTTGGTGACTTGGCGCCAGCACATCTTTGGCCTCATCAATCAGACCTACCTCCAGCTTCTCCCTCAAGGAGGCGGACAGAATGCCAGTGGTGCCTCATTTGCCTACCGTGGATACCACGAGACTGCCTGGATCATCAATCGCTTCGCACACGTCGCTCGTAAACACAGCCTGCCGGAGGTTTGCATTACACAACTGAGCAGAATCTACACGCTTCCTAATATCGAGATTCAAGAAGCCTTTCTCAAGTTGCGGGAGCAGGCCAAGTGCCACTATGAGAACCCAGAGGAGCTTACGAGCGGATTGGACGTGATCAACAATACCAATCTCAACTATTTCAACCCGCCTCAGAAAGCTGAGTTCTACACCTTGAAGGGCATGTTCCTCGAGAAGCTCAAGCAGAAGGAAGAGGCGGACTCTGCCTACGGCACAGCCCTGTACTTTGACATTACCGCCGCAAAAGCCTGGGCTGAATGGGGCTATTTCAACGAGCGCAAATACAAGGAGGACCCAACTGATATTAACTCGGCGCGCCAAGCACTGACGTCGTACCTGCAAGCTGCCGGTAGTTACAAGAACGCGAAGTCCCGCAAGCTCATTGCTCGCATCTTGTGGCTGCTCAGTCTGGACGATGCGAACGGCTCTATTGCAGCTGGTTTTGATGACTTCAAGGGCGAGACTCCTGTCTGGTACTGGATCACCTACATTCCTCAGCTCATCACTGGTCTTGGCCACAAGGAAGCACCGAGGGTCCATCAGATCCTGGTCAAGATCGCCAGGTCCTATCCTCAAGCATTGTACTTCCAGCTGCGAACCAACAGGGAAGACATGCTTGTCATCAAGAAGAACCAGGAAGCCAAGGAGAAGGCCCGCCAGCGTGCCCAGTCGACAGTGTCCAACGGCAAGCCTAGCGCTTCGCCTCAACAGCCCAAGCAAGAAGGTGTCCCGAAGCCGGATGCTTCTGGTTCAAGGCCTGGCACTGCGAGTGGCGGCGACGCGAATGCCTCTGTTAAGACCGAGGCAAATGACGCCACTGGCACCCCGGCTGCTCAGGCCAATGGCACCGCTGCTGGCGCAGACCAATCAACCGTTGGCCAGAAGAAGCCTCCATGGGAACTTACCGAGGAGATTATGAGTGCTCTGAAGACCGCTTTCCCTCTACTCGCGTTATCGATGGAGACCATGGTAGACCAAATCCAGAAGCACTTCAAGTGCCCTCCCGATGAAGATGCGTACCGTCTTATCGTTGCTCTGCTCAATGACGCGCTAGCGTACGTCAGCCGCATGCCTTCATCATTCGCCAAGGATGTCAAGCTTCCCTCCGCCACGGAGACCAACATTACTCGCTTCGCCGAGACGATTCTTCCAGCTCACATCAAGAAGTCGTTCGAGGCCGATTTCGTTACTGTCAAACCGACAATGTACGAGTACATCCATAAGCTCCGACGCTGGCGAAATAAGTTTGAGGAGAAACTGGATCGTAGAACGACCCGCGTCTCTCTGGAAGCATTCTCGCCGCACCTCTCCGAATTCCGTTACCAGAGGTTCGATGATGTCGAGATCCCTGGCCAGTACTTGCAGCACAAGGACAAGAATCAAGATTTCATCCGCATTGAGCGCTTCCTGCCCAATGTTGACCTGGTACGGTCGATCAGTGCCTCGTACCGTCGTCTCCAGATGCGCGGTCACGATGGAAGCATTCACTCGTGGGCTGTTCAGCATCCGGCAGCGAGACACTGCCGCCGTGAGGAGCGCATCCTGCAGCTCTTCAGACAACTTAATCAGACTCTGGGCAGAAGAAAGGAGAGTCGTCGCCGAGACCTCCAGTTCACTCTGCCATTGATGGTTCCTCTGGCACCTCACATTCGTATTGTGCAGGAAGATACTTCTTACATCACCCTCCAGAGCGTTTATGAGGACCACTGCCGACGCCACGGCATGTCCAAGGACGATCCTGTGCTGTTCACCATGGAGAAGTTGCGCGGCGCTCTTGACACGAAGAACTCGGTAAGTAATGTCCTTGGGAAGCAAATGACAGAGCCTAACGATTCGCTACAGAAACATGCTGAGCAGAGCGCAACCGCTCGACTCGAGGTGTTCCACGCCATCCAGGAGAAGTGGGTGCCACAAAACTTGGCCCTGGACTATTTCCAGAAGGCTTTCCCCGACTTTACCGAGTTCTGGCTGTTCCGCAGACAATTCTCGTACCAGCTTGCGTCGCTCACTTTTATGACGTACATTTTGTACATGCACAATCGTTACCCGCAAAAGATCAATATTGCTCGTGGATCCGGCAACATCTGGGGTTCGGAGCTCATGGCGTACATGAGTGCCGCGAAGCCCTTCTTTCACAACCCGGAGCCGGTGCCGTTCCGTCTTACGCCCAACCTCCAGACGCTCATGGGGCCATTGGCGACGGAAGGTATCTTTAGCTGCGCTCTCATGGCGATTGCGCGCTGCCTCACGGAGCCCGAGTACGAGCTCGAGCACGCCCTTACGCTCTTTGTGCGCGATGAGATGATTTTCTGGTTCACGAGCTCCCACCGGACGGTGCAAATGACGGAGAACCAGCTCCGCGAATCAGTGCAAGTGAACAGCGACTCAGTGGTCAAACGGGCTGTGAGCCTGGCACAGAGCCCCGTCGGTAATTTGCCTGCCAACCAGACGGTCATTGACCTCGTCGCGAAGGCCGTCAACCCTATGAACCTGGCGCAGTGCGATGCGCTGTGGATGCCGTACTTGTAAGGAGATACGCGAGGAGGATAAGAAGATCACAGATGGATTGGGGGGGATACGTGTGTTTGTCTCAGGAGGCTTCCTGCTGTATGATTCTAGCAAGGCGTTTTGGGATGCAAAAGAGGTTCAGAAGCCCAAAAGGCATACATGATTATTCGGAGGGAGAACAAGGGGGGAAATGAATGGTCAGAGATGATGAGTTCTGTTGTACTTGTACGGCCGTCTAGCATTGAAGGTCTCCTTCACATTAGCTAGCTGCAGCTATCGATGTTGGGGCAAAATACAGCTTCATGATAATCAGATTGTGGTGTTCACAAAGATATCGATGGAAGTTCAATTTGCGTGTTTTTAAACTTTGCGCGGTGGCACAGGACGGCTGAAGGGAGTTAACGAATCGAGCGTGAACCTTGGGACGTTGAGTTTCGGGAGATTGGTCGAACGCCGCGCGTGGGGAGAGCTGGGGTCGACCCGGCTCGCTAGCCGAGACCCTTGCCCAAGCCTCCCTGACGCCGACACCAAGGCACCAGTAGCCCGAACTCGCTTGGGAACTTCTTGCCACCCCTTTCTCTCCCTTCCTTTGTAGGTACCTACAATGTATGGTCCAGACTTCAGGGACTACGTACCCCTATCCACTCACTCACCGTGGAGAGCCACCCTGCGAGTCGGGTACGCCCTTGGCCTTATCAACAAGTATTCTTCAGCTTCCTTATCGGGGCACTCACACAACTCCACGTTCAAAGATGGATGACGATTTGTAATCCTGGGGTGAGGAACCGCCCGGCGGGGGGGGGACTGGGGGCAAGCGGCGGACACGGAGGTGTCACTTTCTACTCGCGGTTCTCGGTATCTATTTGCCTACCTACTTCTCAACACTTCTTATCTCTCGAGTTCTATCCCCTCTTCCCCTCTTGGCTTCTGGTTCAAAGTCTTGCTGGCGAATTCACCGGCTTCTGTGTGCCTCTTTTAAACTCAATCATCATCAATCATCAACATTGAGTTCTTCAGCGCAGATACTCCGTGGGATCGTATAAACCTTATCTACAGCGAGGCACGCGACAGCTAGCAACATCACCATTACGATCTCATCGCCAGACCGACGCCAATCATCATGTCCGCCGTCGCCATGGACAACTCGTCCAAGAAGGCGCCCTTGAGCCTGGAGCATCACTTCTCCGAGGTCACCAAGAGGCGGGAGCCTAGCAAGATGAAGGAGTATTACAAGTACTTTGAGATTCCTGGTATTGGGAACATAGCTGGAGGTTAGTATCAAAAAGATATTCAAGTTCAACCCCTGTACTCCCTCAACTCTGCATCTCAATTCAACCCAAGCTTTTTTTTGTTCCATCTCTCTCTCTCTCTGTCTTTTTCTTCTCAATGGTGGTTGCAAGGCATCCATGGGGTTGGTTTGGACGGGACATTCTGTTCCTCTTTTCCCGCGGGACGGGAAGAATGCCGCAATATATGCCGTAATGTGCACCTTGCGTTGCGTGCTCACCGTTACATCTGTGCGGGAACGCACGACAACGCTCCAATGATATTCGCAATTCCGATCTCGGCCAAATAGGTTCCAGGGGACAAGAGCATTAGGTGCTGACACTTTTCGAAACCTTGCCTACAGGCCTTCCGCATTCGAGCCTTTTCCCTTTCGATACCCTCGAAGCGCAAGCGGCGAAGCCCGAAAGATGGGAGCCTTCTCCGATCCCCGATGACGGCACCACGGGCACGGGCACGGGCACGGGCACGGGCACCACCACCACCACGCTCCCGATCCGGAGCACCGCGGGCGCGGACCGGGATAAAGGAAAGGATGTCAAGGCGTCCCGGCACGTCACCGTCCCCGGCACCGCCGATGACAGCGACCCGCTCCGACGCATCGACGTCGCGACCGCTCTGCAGTACGGCACGGCCGAGGGGTATCCGCCCCTGCGGTCCTTCGTCCGCCAATTCACGCGGGACCACCTCCACCCGAACGTCCCGTACCTCGGCGGGCCCGAGGTGATCCTCAGCTGCGGCGCGACCGATGGCTTCGCCAAGACGCTGGAGCTCATCACGAATCCCTGGAGCCCCACCCGGGACGCGCTCGTGGATCGCCCGGGTATGCTGTGCGAGGTCTTTGTGTACAGCCAGGTCCTGTCGCAGGTGCTGCCGCGGGGGGTGCAGGTCGTGCCGGTCGAGATGGACGACGGCGGTATGATTGCCAACGGACCTGGCGGTTTGGAGGAGGTTCTGGCCGGCTGGGATGAGAAGAATGGCAAGAGGCCGCATTTCATGTACAGTGTGACGTGAGTGTTCATTTTTCCGTTACCCTTTCTCTATTTCCCTTTTTGGGGTTGAATCGCTGCTCTGAAAGGGTAAGTAAGACACAGCATAGCTAACACGTGGCGGGGGTGCTTGTAGGATGGGCCACAACCCGACGAGCGGAATTGTGTCCGTTGAAAGACGCAAGGAGATTTATGCCATCGCCAGCAAGTACGATGTCATCATTGTCGAGGACGACCCGTACTGGTACTTGCAGTACCCTTCTGCGGTCGTGGGGGAGGCCAAGTCCCGAGGCCTGGAGGTTCCTCCTACGCCGACTTACAAGCCCATCAAGTCTTCCGGCTACCAGTATCTGGACTCGTTGACCCCTTCATTCCTCAGCGTCGACACCGACGGCAGGGTCATCCGCATCGACACTTTTTCCAAGACCATCGCGCCGGGATGCCGCATGGGCTGGATCACGGCGCAGCCGGCCGTGATTGAGCGTCTACTGAGGTATGAACTTGATCTAGCCACACTGTCGCACTCATTGAACGATTCCCGCGTGTCCCTTCGAAACTAACACTCTCTTTTCTCAGACTCACCGAGGTCACCACGCAGCAGCCTTCCGGCTTCGTGCAATCCACCGTGGCGGAGCTCATCATGGGCGAGCAGCCCGCCGCCGCCCGCTCCGCCTTCGCCGCCCTCACCTCGCGCCAGAAGCAGACCTTTGAGGGCTGGAAGATGGATGGCTGGGTCCGCTGGCTCTCTGGTCTCCGCGGCGTCTACGAGCGCCGCATGAACCGCATGTGCACCATCCTCGACGAAGGCTCCATCCAGCTGAAGCAGTCGACCCCGCGCAGCGCCGACGACGCCGACTGGGGCGTCGTGAGCAAGACGCAGCTGTACGAGTTCGCGTGGCCGCGGGGCGGCATGTTCATCTGGCTCAAGCTCCGCCTCGAGACGCACCCCTTGTGGATGGCGACGGGCGGCGAGAAGATTCCCCTACTCGACGGCGAGAGGCTGTCGACGGCGCTCATGTTCCTTGCGACCAAGCAGCCGTACCGCGTACTTGTTACTCCTGGGCTCATCTTTAGTGCTACGCCGGCGATCCGGGCTGAGAGGGGATGGGCTTACTACCGGCTGTGTTTTGCGGCCGAGACGGAGGAGAATGTAGACCTGTGCGCCCAACGGTTGGCGGATGCGATTCAGAGGTTCTGGAGGATCAAGAAGGTGGAGGAGATTGAGGAATTGCTTGGGGATTTTTTCCTGGCTCAGGGTGAGGAAGAGGGACTTGAGGGGTTGGGCAACTTGGGTAGTCTGATGGGATGCTGAGTGAGTGAGGGCTTTCCTTCTTAGATACGAACGATGAACGAAGTTGACGAAGGACAAATCGTTTGCACAATCATGGGTCACATCCGAATTGCGCACCATGGAGTGTAGAAAACTTTTTGTAGCTGCCTTACAGTCACTACGTAAAAGAGAGAAAAAGTACAAAAACAAAAGAGGAAAGTCATAATCACGTGGAATAGAGTCGTCACGGTCCAGGGCAGACCAAATACACCTAGACTTTTTTGTGTGTGTGAATTCAAGGGAATCATTTGTCCATTGATGAATTGAGGTCAACATTTCCTAGTTGCCATTACGCCTCAAGCACAAACCATGCTAAAATGTAGCCCCGTCCGATTCAGAACCCTGCATTTCCACCACCGTCGTCAGACACCCGTCAGAGAGAAATTTGCTTATTTCTTCTGAGCAGCCTCCTTGGCGAATACCGAGGCGTAGGGGTTCAGGCGGAGCATGACCTGCTTGTTCTTGAGGGGGTTCTTCTTCTGGACCGCGGAGCGGCGGGTGACGGCGTAACCCTTGGGCTCGTTCAGGGCGGACTGGGTTTCCGAGCTGTTGATCAGACGGGTCAGGTCGCTCTGGGAGACGATGTTGGAGGGCAGAAGGAAGTCCTTCTTGAGGGCGGAGGGCTGGGTGGTGGTGCCGTAGATGGTGTCCAGGGACTTGAAGGCGGCGGAGGTCCAGATGACGAAGCGGCCGAGGTGGCCACCGGGGGCGAGCTGGAGGAGGTTGAGGGCGGTGACGGGGGAGGTCTCGACACCGGGGACGTTGCGGAACGCGGTGACGAGCTCCTTGCCGTCGACCTCGGGGTCGTAGATGACCAAGGGGCCGCGGCGCTGGCGGTGGCGGCGGCCACGAAGCTTACCCTTACCGGCGCGGAGCTTCTTGGACTTCTTGACCTTCTCGACGTCATCGGCGGCGCCGACGGTCTTCAGGAGAGAGATGGCAGCAGAGGTGCGGGCGACGGCGGCGTTCTCGAAGAGAGCAGAGTCGACGACCAGGGGGACCTCGGGGACGTTGGAGACCTGGTGACCGCGGGCCTGGAGGAGGGGGGCAACGCCGGAGGCGGCGATGGCGGAAACGGTAGCGTAACGTCTGTAAAATACGCATGTTAGGAACGCTGCTCTTTGGATCATATCAACGGACCCCCCGCAGTGGGGGGAAAGGTATTCAGAGGGGGGAAAAAATCTCACCTCTGGCCCTGGTTGACCTTGACGTGCCACTTGCGCCAGGTCTTGGTAGGGGCGAACATGCGACCGGAACGGCACATGTTACCGAAGGCGGCCTGACCGGCACGGTGAGTACCACCACCGGAGACACGGGGGATACGGGCAACAGCGCGACCTGTGGTGTTTCTGTCAGCACAATTATTCACTTCTGACAGTGACCTCTTCCGTAGAGTCCTCTCTCTTCTAGCCGTTGCGGATCCTGCAATTCGTCGAGAAAGTTTTCGCTTGGTTCCCTCGGGCATCCACCTTGTGGCAAGTGTGTCGTAACTCCCTTCCCAGATGTCTGCTCGAGGTCCCGTTCGCGTCCCTTCCCCGATGAATTTTGGTCGTCCCGCTCCAACTAGAAGAAAGATTTCCCTGCTCGCATGCCTCGCTCCGGATAGGTGTCGACTAACCAGTTCCCCAAGACTCGGCAGAGGTCTGGTGACCGGCCTTCTCGCTGACGGAGTAGGGCTGGCGCTTGTTCTTGGCCAGGCCCTTGTGAACCTCCTGGACGATATCGGGACGGATAGGGCTCAGGAAGACAGCCGGCAGGGTGTGGGTGCTGCCGGAGGACTTGCCATCCTTGCCGATGATGGTGACGGTAGGTCTCGAAGCCATTGTGTTGATCGTTGATTGACCCTGCGAAGGAGAAAAAAGACAAACGGTTAGTTGTTGGTAATGGACAAGGAAAGAAATTGAGATGCCGGGACGCCTTGCTTGAATATGGAGAATTCCGATTTTTTCGTCCAAGCAAGTAATAGGAACAAATCGAGCTTACCTGGGACAACGGTGGGCTTCAGTGGCTGCTGGTTAGTGACGGGGTTGAAGTTTGCACTTTGGCTTCGCGATCAATTTCACACGACAATGTGAGAAAAAAATTGGTGTGGGCGGCGGAGACCCTAGGTACCTAGGTACCCAGGTGCCACTTAGCGAAGCCCGGCTCGAATCACGTGAGCTTCCAGAGCCACAGTGCTTGTTAAATTGACTCTGACACAGTACATGCCCCACTTCCCATGAACCAATACCTAGTACTTCCGGCGCGGGAGGTTCACATTTCTCCAGACCTCGGAAAAGTTGGTATTATCGATGTCGCATCATTAAATGCAACTCCACTTGACGAGGTATCGAAGAATAGGTTTGTACAGATATACTCGGTTGCTCCATAGTATTTTCCTCTGGTTTCTTCTCTATACCTTCATCGTAGTATTTACAAGACCAAGAAGGGCGGCAGAGATAACAGCGACGAAATGAGTATCTACCTAATGTGAGGTATTCTACGCTGGAGACTGCACCAAGACATTTTCGCGCGCCTCCCTGGCGGTGGCCGATCGACTAGAGCTCATCAACTATTGCAAGACAACAGAACTCATTTCGACTTTCAGCTTTGTTTCTGTTTGGTTCACCATGAAATATTTCACGGGTAGAACCAAATCAGACAGCTTAGATCTCAGGCACCCGCCCGTAACGGCTTTTCCTTCCCATTGACAAGGAAAAGATTTCAGCAATTCATGCGTCTGGTCACGGTCCGCGATGCCGAGCATCGCTATCGTGCCTGTTCACAGCTTCCGCAGGCAGGAAAGTCAGGAGTTGGTCTAATGATCAGGTGCTTACTTGGACTATAAGTGTCTGACCGGCACACTAGGTGAGAGCGGAAAGTGGCAGTGTCTTTCTTACAAAGCATGTCACTTTGCAACATTTCATAAAGCTCTGGGAACTGATTTTGACTGACAACAACACCCACAATATCTCATAATCTCATTCATTTCAATTGATCCCTATGACCTAATCAGCAGTAAGTTGCATGCAGCAAGAAAAAGACTTCATGAGTGAAAGCGCATCATTGCCACACACCAAGTCGGCACAACCCAAGGGCAAGCCGCAACGACAGTATCTCTTTGACACAATTTACCATGTTCAAACAGACAATTTCTTCAGTGAAGAAAAAAGATTAGGCCCTAACCAGGATTCGAACCTGGGACCTCTCCCAGCCACAGTAGTGGAAACTACCCTAAGGGAGAATCATACCGCTAGACCATCAGGGCTGATAAGGTATTTGTTCGTTGGTGAAGGTCAGCTGAGTATTTGCATCCATATTCCTCTTCTCTTCTCTCTTGATCTTTAGACTTTTAGTTCAAGAATCAAGAACCAAATTCATGTCTTTCTCTGCCTCTCCGTGTGTGTGTGTGTGTGTGACTGTTGCAATTCGCACATCAAGAGTTTGTACCGTGTCGAGGCTCACAAGTAATTTCACTTTTGATTTTCCGCCAGTGAGGAAGAAGAGCAGCCGGATCTGATTAGATGGACTGCAGAATGCAGTTGCTTTCCGAAGCCATGCTATCAGATACGGCGCAAAGATCCCTGTTAACCGCTCCAGAGATAAGGTAAAACGCTACAGGTCCTGTGTCGCAATCGACCTGGATCTTTTGCTCAGAGTCGGCATCCGAGCCTATTCTTTATACCCGAGCTCACCTACGGATGCTTTTACGCTAGACTTGTCTTCCCTCACAAGCCCTCCTGATTTCGTACATGTAGTTGAAAAAGCGGGAAAGACTGAACCAATAGACGCAAGATCAAGCTTCTGGGATTACACTACTCAACTCGCATGGATTCCCAAGGGACGTTGTTTAGACTCACCTTCTTCGGCTCTAAGCTGAGTAACTGAAAAGTAACCTTCTCCGACGATGGCGGACCCCCTCCCCATCGACGAAACCTCGCCGTTTCTCCAACGTTCCCCGGCACCAGCTAGATCCCGCGATGCCTCCCCGGCAGCGGCGGCGTCGGCAGGCAAACTCACCCTCTTCAACGGCCTCGCAATTGTCATCAGCCTGCAGATCGGCTCGGGCATCTTCAGCGTCCCCTCGCAAATCAGCCAATTCGTCACGGCGCCGGGCTACGGCCTGCTGGCCTGGCTCTTTGGCGGTCTCCTCGTTTGGACGGGCGCCGCCTCCTTCATCGAGCTCGGGTTGCGCATCCCCAACAATGGCGGTATCCAGGAGTACCTGCGGGCCTGCTACGGCGAATTCGCCGGGTTCCTGTTCACGTGGGTCTGGTGCACCATTATTAAGCCCGCGGCGAACTCGATGATTGCGACGATTTTTTCGGATTACCTCACCGAGGCCTTCGTTGCGGACCAAGAGACGCTGCCACCTTGGATTTCAAAGGTGGTAGCGGCGAGCTGCATCGTGATCATGACCCTGGTCAACTGCCTGGGCGCGACCGCGGGTGCAAAGGCGGCCAACTTGTTTCTCTTTCTGAAGATAGCGGCCCTGACTACCATCATCATCCTCGGCTGTGGCGTCTGGGCCTTTGGCCACGGAGAGGGCGTCCCCTCGTCCGAGTATGGGTGGTTTGGTCAGGCTCCTGAGCAGCGCCAAATCGGACTTTGGGAGTGGCTCGGAGACTTTGGGACGGCGACGTTTGGAGCTTTGTGGTGCTATGCAGGCTGGGAAATGGTGAGTTTGACTGCCCGCCCGACTTGGTAGTGGACAGGAACTGAAAATCCGGCAGGTCGGCTTTGTCTTGGGAGATATGAAGAACCCAAGGAGAGATCTGCCCCTCGTGATCAATGGCTCCATGATTGTCGTGATCATCGGATTCATGCTGATGAATGCAGCTCTATACGTCTGCCTGCCCATGAGCGTCATGCGGACAAGCAGCACTGTTGCGGTGGTAAGCGCCTGCAAGTGAGCAAGATGAGCATTACGATCAGGCTGACTTTCGAGAATAGGAGTTCGCGAACAGGATTCTTGGAACCTGGGCTGGGCTACTCTTCTGCGTAATCGTGTCCATCTCGGCAATGGGTGCTTTGAACTCCAACGTTTTTGCGACTGCCAAGCTCGTCGTGGTTGCTGGTCAGAGGGGATATTTCCCTCCGATCCTGGCGAATCTGCATTGCGGTCACGAAAAGGATGAGGCTGCGTGGGTCGACGAGTATCTGACATCTACGCCGAGACTAGTCCGAGCACCCATCAAGGGTTTCTTGTCATGGACTCAAAATCGTCGATGGAGAAGAAACGTGCCATTACTTCCCCTGATGCTGAATTGTGCCTTGTCCATCGTGTACGTGGCCGTTGGAAGCTTCAACGGGCTCGTCACTTTTATCGGTGAGCCGCTCCGTTTTGATGGAGATCGCAAAGAATTGGCAACTGACACAGTCTAGGACTGGCGGCGTACATGATTTTCTTCTCATCAGCCGTCGGACTTATCCTTCTCCGCTGGAGAGATGGCCACATACCGGGGGCGAAAGCTGCCGAGTACAGTACTTGGCTCGTCAATCCTGTTATCTTCAGCGCCATCAGTGGCCTGTTGGTAGTCAGAGGAGTCATCTCAGAGCCTCTGCAGGGAGGGGCCATTCTCTTGGTCGCCTTGTTTGGCGTCGGCTTTTTCACGTTCAGGTTTGGTTTACGCGGCTTCACCCACACAGAGACTGGATAGGACGCGCCCAGCCATCCATGTTTCCGTTGTGATCGTGCGGCGTCTGCAATCCCCCCACGGCCGAAGCAGTCATACTCGGCTGACCTGGCCGCTCCGGAGCTTGGACTGTCCTCCCAAGCATGTTTGCCAGTCAACCCCGGTTCTCATAAGTCTGTGACGCGATGCAGGCTTGCTAAAGCTGCTTTTGCAGAATGGCCTCGCAGAAAAGAACGTCACACCTATCGATGGCCATGAGTTTGGCCTGCTTCCCCACAGCTGGCCAAGTCGCAGTCGGATGTCAGCGGTAAATCGACAGGCGTTGGGCACGTGGAGAGCCGGAAGCGGAGAGGTCTGTGGAACTTTGGGCAATGATACGGTCCGTGTTGGGCCTGACTGCCTCCTTATTCCCAAGCAAGCGAGCGGGAAGGCGTCGTGAAACTGTAGCTAAGTTGATGCTATTCCGAGACGCCCGGGAAAGGTCCTTGGCCCAAAGATAGGCTTGCGGCCACGCTAGAAGATTTAAAATGCACGGTGTCTGAAGAGCTTGGATGACCACAGGTAGGGGCCACGGCATTTAGTTTCGGCACAATTTACTCTAGATCCAAAAGTGATTGGCAACGTTAAAGTCATCAAGATTCGAGCTTTTGATCATATCGAAATGGGCCCCGTCGTAGTGGCGTGAGGTATGTTGCAACGGAATCCCACCGCTCTTTCTCGGTGCAGATCATCGGACGTGAAGGGTGTCGAGGGCAGTCTGAATGACGAGCTGGCGTAAATAGCTGCAGTTCTAAGACGTCGGAGACTTTGGGTGTTCTAGAAAGCGTAGACTTTTGCTGTCCACCACCCGCGGCAGCTAGCCGTGTGCATGACCACGTTGTGGGATGGAGGGGGGGAAGAAGAGGCGAGTCTTAAAGCTTAAAGGTGGGTGGGGGTGGATAGGACGGCGTCTGACATGGACGCAGCATCTCTGCTAACTTTCCAAAGGGATACGTAAGGCGGCCTGGAATGCTGCATCTGCTCTGTCATAAATGAGTGCCAGAGACGCGAGATAAGGAATGATGTGCTTCGCTTCACGTTGTTCGCGAAACTGCCTGGTACAATTTGGCAAGCGGATACGAGACATTTTGCGAGGCGTCTTTGCTCCGTCTTATTGCCAACATGCGAATTGAATGTCTTCCGGAGGCCAGAGGAAGAGAAAGAAAGCGTAGGGTGGTGACCTCCGCTCGTTGCATCGTAAAACAGACAGGTCGGCATCCATCAACCAAAAGGGCGAATCGATACAACCGTGGTGCCGGGCACGGGGATCCAAAGTCGACTAAGCCTCCCTCCTCACCTCTGGGGCAACTAGTCGGCCGTTACTTGACCTCACCAAGAGTACACGGCAACGCCGCGTGGCGCATGCTGCTGTCGCTCTTGGCCAATGGCAGATGGACCGTTGGAGTCTCGTTCGCAGAGCCCTCGTAACCGTACGGTTAGCTTGCCCTAGCCGCCGAACAATCTTGGTCGGCCACAACCAACCAAAGACGGCAAGTTCGTCTTCACATTCAGGGTTAGTCGGCTTCTTTACCTGGAAGGCGTGCAAAGATTAGGTCGGGCCCCGTCAGGGCAATCCGTGCAACCGTGAAAAATCGAAATGCAGGCCAGGACGGCAGGCTGTCGTGGTACCGTGCTAGGCCTCATTGTAGGTCGATGGGCGAATCGACAGCGTCAGTTGCCCTAAACAGGTTCCCAGCATATGCATTACTTTATGACCTAGGTAGGCCGGACATGAGAGCCGGCTGGAAAGTGGATACGAGTCGATGCCGATGCACTTTGACCTTGGGCCGTCCGCACGCTCGAACGTCGTTAGGCTTTGACCTTGGACATTGGAAGGGGGGGTCCCATCTGCAAGATGCGCCGTAGGCATGGCCATCTTGCCATCAGTCGTATGCAGGTCAGGGAGGGCGAGTAGCAATGGCGGAAGATACTGGGGAAACGCTGCCTCTCGGATCGAGTCATCGCCACCCTCCATCCATTCCGAAAAGTTGAGTAATGATAGATGTTTTCGCGTGATTCGGATTTTCTGGAAGAATATGCATCGACAGATCATCGGTAGGTAGACAACACATCGACTGCATGGCTGCAGGTGGAGAAAACCTGGCGAGGTTTGTTTGTTGTTGTTGGAAAATGGCATTGCCATGGCCTTGCTGGTCTCCCACAGACAAGCAGTCGGTTGGCCGAACAAGACGGGAGGAATACGTGAGGTTGGGGAGCTATAGCTCGGTCTTTGGGGCCCAGAGCGGCAGGTTTGTTGTGATAAGCTGCATAGAATCTTGCCGTGCCCTCAAACTCTGAAATCCAACATCAGAGAGTTGCGTCTTGGGAACGGTATCACCTCGGTGACCGCAGGGCACTGACTGTCAAGCTGGGTTGCTGCCCTGAATGGCGACGGGCGGAAGGCACCAAACAGGCCATCCTGGAAAGGGCCATCCAACGCCCGGGGCAGCTGGAGCACTGGGCTGGAAGACAAGACCAGGAAGGCCCTACCTATGTGCCTATCTCCGGCTGAGGTATCCGTACCTTCCACTGGTGGGACGGCAGGAAATAGAGCAGAAAAACACACGCGTGCAGCGTGCACAGCAGTGGCGTAGGTAATGGTGGGGATACAAATTGACTCTACCTAGCCTGCACCTGCGCCGCACCCCGTCATCATGGAGGGGCACCACAACGACACGCTTTTCCACCCTCAGTGCTCCCCCCGCCCCAACCCACCCCCCTCCTTACCCATCCCCCCTGTCGGCCATGTTCAAATAAGGACTTCCACCTGCGCCGCATCTTCAACGCTTCGCACATCCCACCTTTCCCCTCCCCGCCTGACACCAAACAAAGACGCCTTCTTTAATCTAGCCCGTCGTGCCATCCCCAGCCGTCCTTGGGGATTTCGTGGTGGTAGAGTCTTCTGCACCTCTTAGGTTCCCTTCAACCTTAACATCGACAGCTTACGCCCGTCTGGCCAGTCGGAACGCTTCTCGACTCTTACTCGTTCTTGACTGGGTCTGTCTTCGCTGACGCGACACCGCTACTTATATCTGAATCCGTATTTATCTTACCTTGGACAACAAAGTTTGCCGGCTGCCACAATTACAGCCAGTACGACCACGGCCAAAAAAGACACCTTAGCTGAAGAACCGAAACGTTGCGCAAGGCTGTGACGACCGCCTGAGAGACCGGGGTCTTTCGCTCCCGTCCTCGTCAGCTGCCGAGACACACGATGCCTTCAAAGTCTCGACAACTTGCCTGAATTTCTGTCACCCCTTTTCTGGCTCTCCAATTTTCCGAATATGAGCGAATCACGCAATATAGAAGATCTTTTACAGACGGGCTTCTTTACAACCTCTAGGGCTAAACCTCCCAAGCAGTAAGCCCATTCGTGCTCGCCTCTCTGATGTATATCACGTCTTACACAGGTGACAGACCTAGTACGGATGCTCCGGCTGTTCCTCCTCATGTCTCCAGCATCTCTAACATTACCCGACCGACCTCCAGCCAGGATCCGCTGGTACCAAGGTCCTTCGACCCGCCACTAAGGCTCACCCGTCGCAAACACTTTCCGCCCCCGCCAACCGTCGAAGATGAGTCCGAAGCACTCCGAAAAGAGCACGGCAGCGCTGCATCGCTCATCAGCGACGCCGAGCCTCCATCGCGCGGTGACGCCGATCAATACCCTATCATAATGGAGGTACACGAACACAATCCCGAACGTCGATTCGTCCTGGTGCCAAAGTCCGCGAGCGCTACAGAGGATGAAGATTCCTCTGACGACGCCAAGGCACGCGCTGCCGAAGGTTCGCGTCCTGCAAAACCTGAAGGTCAGGGCGACTACGGCGCAAATTACGAAGCGAACACTGGCCGGAAATACCGGGCGCCTCCCAATGAGGATCTGAACCACCAGAAGCCACCAGATCTTGAAAGGAAGAAGAGCAGACAAGATCTTCCGCGTATCGAGACTGATGTCAAAGACGAGCAAACCCGGCCTCGAAAACCCGAACGAAAAAAGTCTGCGACTCGTGTGGAACAGCAGTCTGGCGATTACTTCTCACCACAAGACGACAAGAGACAGCCCAAGGAGCCACTTCTCTCACCACAGGTGATCAAGCACGCGACAGGTGGTCGCGAAAAAGCGTATTACGACTACTCGCAATCTAGTCGGAATGGTGCACCGCGGCCCCAGAGAAGCCGTTCGAACCTGGCCGATGATGGCAGAAGGTTCGACGACAACTATGCACGTCAAAACTCATCATCGAACGCGCCGCCGACACGCCGCTCAAACACTAACGTTGATTCTCCTCCCAAGGAGTCGAGAATTGCATCCGGCGACAGGGTCGGCGAATCTCCTCGCTATCAGCGAGAACGGGTGGTCCCACGTGGCGAACGGCCACAAAAGAAGGATCCGTCTCCGCCGTATGAACGTTTAGACCGTGAGCGGGAAGGTGGTCCGAAGCGGACATCCGATTTCAAACGTGACACTCCACGACGTAGGGATGATAGTGGCTCCAGCAGCAGCGATTACACGCAAACACCACGGACAGCCAATATCCGACGGAGAAAGTCGATCGTTGATCAAGAAGACAAGGACATATTGCTGAGTCCTGCCCAACTCAGGCCGTCCCAATCGGCTAGGTCGAGATCGCGGCCTCCCCCGCCAGAAGCTGTGATGCCGTCTCCACGAGTTTCCACAAAGTCATTCGCTGACGACATTCCGCCTCCCCCTCCGCCTCGTTCTTCGCAAACATTCCCGGTCACAAGAGAAACCAGGGACAGCGGAGACGCCAAAGAGAAATCCGTGCCTTACCCTGAAGACGACATGTTACCCAGAGTAAGCCGCCTCAGCGTCCGCGATCCAGAGCCGCGTCCTGGGAGAGCGCGTTCACGGTCTCGTGCATCCACCTTCAACAATCCAGTGATAGTTCCAGCGGTCATGCCTGCCATGCCTGCTCCTGCTGGACCACGGAGCCCTACAGAAAAGAGAAGGTCGCCTGAGAGAAGGGCCAATTTGAGTCAAACAATCCCGCCAATGGAGTCGTGGCCACCGGCCAAGTTTGATCCGACGAAGAGTGCGCCGGTCGTGGATGGGCCGAGAGGTAGCTACCGACGGTATTCGCATGATGCAGACCGAGGGGGCGTGTCTGATTTCCCCGACTGCCCTCGAAAGAAGGGCATTGTAGGCAAGGCCGATTGGCTAAGTCTGCCAAGGTGTGACAACTTCAACATTTGTCCCGACTGCTACAATGGGGTATTCCTCAACACCGAGTTTCGCAACGACTTTATGCCCATGTTGTTTCGACCGATGGACAAGCCAGTTGTTTGCGATTTCGGGTCCATTGGATGGTATCACATTGCGTGGCTGTTGACGTTGAAGAATCGCCTGACGGATTTGCGCCTATTTTACCAGGTTGCCAACGTCACCAGCAAGGCGACAAGTAGCATTCAACCATGTTCGGGAGATCGTCGAAATACCCGCGTCTGGTACTCGATCAAGAATCCGTACACACAAACGACGATGCCAGAATTCACCGTCTGCTACGAATGCGCCAAAACCATCGAAGCGCTCCTGCCAAACCTGATAGGCCTGTTCGTCACGCTCCATCCCACGGCGCAGCCTACGAGAAGCGTATGCTCCATACATTTTAACCCCGATCGAAAACGTTTCGTGATGTACTTCGATGCTCTGGAGACGACTTCGGATCTCGCACTCGCAACAACCCAAGCGCCCAATATTGGAAAGCTTGTGACCGACATTGAAAACCTTTCCGTGTTTGCAGAGTGCTCCAAGGACAACCCAGTCTATGATCAAAACTGGCACGCCATGCAGTTTCTTCCCCAGTTCACCGTCTGCGGTGACTGTTTTGACGAGGTGGTCGCTCCTCAATTGAAAGACGGCAACGTCATTGCGAGGAATTTTTATGTGAAGCCACAACGCCTAGAAGAGGCGTCGTGTCAGCTGTATTCTATCAGAATGAGGGCCGCTTTCGACAAGGCCTGCCGCCGTAATGACCCCAAATACCTCGAGACCAAGGTGCTCGAGCGGCAGAAGATTTTTGCGGAGACGTACAAGAGGATGGCCAAACTAGAGCAGGAGAGAACCCAGTGGGCGCGGGAGGAGAGCAAGAAGCTGCTCCAGGAATGGGAAAAATGGGAATGACGAATGCGTATGAATGAAATGAACATGAGAAATGGACGAGTTGTGTGGGAAAGCTGGGAATCAGCTTATACCACGGCCTGGATCGCCGATAGAGCTTCTAGGAAACTTATGAATAAATGGAGAGATGAATCGTCTGTACGAAATTGGAACAGCCGTTGTGATAGTCGTAAAGTCGGGTACAATGTAACACTGTGATCCTTCTCCCCTCTCCCGGGGTTCGGGGTCAATGCAAAGACAGTAGGTTGACACTGAATGTTAGCGATTAGGACTCATTGCTCAAGTAGGGTGTGAATTAAGGTTCCGAAGATAGATTCACGCATGTATGTGAGACACGATGCCTCGGATCAACCTGCAGTCTTTACTGAAGGCAATGTTACTAGGTAAGGTGGTAGGGAAGGCTTTTGGAAGTTCGCTCGGCTGTTTGGGCAGATGCTGTTCGTCAAAGACAGGAATCACACAAGCGAGACGACGGTCCAACAGTCTTCGAAACGGAAGAAATCGCAGATCGGCTGCTGCCACAACTCTGCCGCTTCTTATTACAGCCCCATCAACACGCAGAGATTGGATTGGTTTCGATGACTCGATGACACCTCGTGGACTTTGCGATGCGGACTTTGGTATATTCCAGGAAACGAACAAGGTCGGCCCGCTCGTCCTCAACCAACATGTTCGTAGGTAGATGAAGTAGACCAGTGCCCACATGTCCGGAGCAAAGCAAAAGTAGATCCTCGCAACTCAGGATTCGCGGTCCATGAGCTCAACAGTCGTTTGACTGACCCCGCCTCGTTCGATCCATATCGGAAGGATTAGCGCGGAGAGAGAGGAGGGGGAGGGGGTGTCGAGATAATTGAGATATCTGTCCCCTCCTTTTATGAACCTTGGTGTATTGCGAAAGGGAAAAAACCCTGTATATGAGGTGCAGACTTTTTTTCTTTTCTTGGTAGGTAAGGAAAAGCCACAACCATGGACCATCCCAAAACATTGCCAGACGAAACCGAAAATAGTCATGCGGCGGTTCCCACCGACGGGCGGAAGAGATGCGAGAGGGTGTGACGCACGGGCCAGTCTTTAGGGGGTTTGGTTAAATGGTTCAGATTATCCTCGGCGTGCATGAGTGACAGCCAACTTTGCCGAACGTCAAGAGAATACCTTACCTACTAATTAAGGTACAGCAAGCAACATCGGATTCGCGCCTACACGACTGCAAGTGCATGCAGCTATGCGTCATCCAGTGTATTCCTTCTCGTCTAACCACACCCCAAAGGTCGGATCACAGCCCGCAGAACCTCCAATTTTAGAGCATGAGGAAGATGATCGGTTCTCCATTTCTCTAATACGAATTCTGTATCGTGAACTGCTCATGATGGAGGCCCCAACTCAGGGAACCTTTCTCTCATCCACTGCAAACCACTCCCTCCACCGTGTTCACAGAGATCTAGATCTTCAGAGTCTTGGCAAACGAGACAAAAATGTTCGCTTGTCTCTTTTTTTGCTTTCGGTTACACGTTCTGTGGTCGCAAGGGGGTTCTGCGGCCAATCTTGAGACGGAGAGGCTGCCAAGTTCGAACCGCAACGGTTTCATCTCTCCCAGTACCCGAACGCACAGCCTCGCTCGCCTCGCTCTGCCCACAGTCCCACCTCTATCATCGCTGTCCACGGCACCCGGTCTTTTGAACAGTGATGTCTGTGCAGGTCCCCGGCGGGAGAAGAAGACACAGAGGAGAGGAGTGGAAAAGGGGTGGAGAGTTCATAGCGGTGCGACACGATGGCCAGGGCGCCTGGGGTTCGGAAACGTCGTGTACGGGGGTTGACGCAGCAGAAAGTCGGTCTCGAGGTTCGACGTTCGACGAAGTCGTCCAAACTCAGTCATGGGGGCAGCATCCCCTCCTTTCTTCCAGTCCTCTCCTGTTCTCTTCACCTTGTTCTGGTCTCTTCTCTTTTTTCCCACCCTTTTCGTGCTCCACCTGGGCTTCGTTGACCCGTTCGTCTCTGAAGCATTCCTATCTTTTTTTCGTCAACGCGAGACCGTTGCGAGGACTTGGTTACAGGTCTATTCCATTCTTTACTCCTGGTCGAGTGTCTCTTCGTGTTTGAGTTTTAAAGGCTTTTCTTATTAATTTTCTATCCCTTTGAAGTCCAGGCGACATTTTGAGTAAACGTTGTTTGTTGGTGATTGTCTTTCTGCTATTATTCTTTATTCCTCTATAGCCGACTGAACCAGCCATCTGTCTGTATCAGAGCCAAGATATCGAGCAACAGACATCAACCACGACAGAGCTACCACTGCGGCCTGACATTCCCCAGAGGATCGCAATCTCTACTCCGACGACGACAACTCTACAGCTCGAATTCCATCATGCGGGGGTTCTGGAAGGTTGCTGGCGCGGCATGCCTGCTGGGCCAGCTCACGGACGCGGCTATCAAGATCAACTTCGACCAAGACCAGTCCATCAAGGATGGTGCGAGCACAATAGCCTTCGGCTTGTTGAAGTTCTACACAGGAAATAACACCGGCGACACACCAGGCAACTTACCGGACCCGTACTTTTGTATGTGATTTCATCGACTGAACCTATACCGGAGCTGTTCTAACAAAGCATTAGGGTGGGAGGCTGGAGCCATGTTTGGCACAATGGTGGACTACTGGCGTCTGACGGGAGACGATACATACAACGCGGTGACAACACAAGCACTGCTTCATCAGGCAGGCGATGATGCCGACTTCATGCCAAGAAACCAGACGAGAACGGAAGGAAATGACGATCAGGGATTCTGGGCCATGGCGGCAATGAGCGCGGCGGAAAACAACTTCCCAAACCCTCCATCGGACAAGCCTCAATGGTTGGCGCTCGCCCAGGCTACCTTTAACCAATACGTCAGTCGCTGGGATATGGCGACGTGCGGCGGTGGACTACGATGGCAGATCTTCACGTTCAACAATGGCTTCAACTACAAGAATTCGATTTCAAACGGGTGCTTCTTCAACATTGCGGCTCGACTGGCGCGGTTCACGGGCAACCAAACGTATGCGGACTGGGCGGAGAAGATTTGGGATTGGGAGACGAAGGTCGGCCTGATCACGCCCGACTTCAAGATTTACGATGGCGCCACGGTCGACAATGGCATGAACTGCAAGGAAATCGACACGATCCAGTGGTCGTACAACGCGGGCATCTTCCTCCACGGTACAGCGACAATGTACAACTTGACTCAGGACAAGAAGTGGCTGACGCGGACCGAGGGCGTGCTGACCGAAGCGACGAGCCTATTCTTCAACCAGAGCGCCATGTTCGAGCAGGCCTGTGAGGCCTTCAAGCTGTGCGACCAGGACCAGCAGAGCTTCAAGGGGTACTTGACGAGGTGGTTGGCCGGAACGGCGCAGGTGGTGCCGTCCCTGTTCGACAAGATCATGGGTCTTTTGAGGCCCAGTGCCGAGCTCGCCATTGCCGCGTGCAACGGTTCGCCGGCTACCGGGTACAAAGGTCAGGCCGGCACGGCGTGCGGGTTCCAATGGGTGCCAAAGGGCCACTTTGACGGCCAGGTCGGCGTGGGCGCGCAGATGAACGCGCTCGACGCCGCCATGTACATGCTGGTCAAGAAGGCGGACGTCAAGACGGCGCCGGTGACCGCCGACACCGGCGGCACGTCTGTCGGCAACGCCAATGCCGGAATGAGCTCGCAGCCCAAGATTCCTACGCTGCCGCCGATCGAGACCAAGGATAAGGTGGCTGCTGGGTTCGCTACGACGGCCATCACTCTGAGCATCGTGGCCGGGTGCTTTTTCATCATGAAATGAGAAATGGCATGACAACCTTTTCCCCAGCATTTATCAATACCTATATTCTTGGATGAGACTTTAATCTGGCAATGGCAGGGGATGAGGCGTTTTGGGAAAAGACCTGCTTTGATAGCAGTCTGGCATGACACACTGGAATACAATGGAATTGGTATGTGGCCAGCAACCAATGTACAGACCTCTATCCGAAAGAAGGTTCGGGTTTACGAAATAACCTTCAAATTTTTACATTTACATTTACATATACACATTTTATCTTCATGGTATCGATTCGTTCCCCGATGCTTCGTCACCTTGACTTCCCCCACGGCCAACATGGACAACATATCGGGAGCATACGCACGCAGTCGCTACGCAGGGCACTCGCTAGTAGATAGACGAAGAGCGCCTGCGGTGCGGTGCCAACAAAATCGAAAATCCGAATTAGTGTTGGCTCTAGCACGGTAGCAATTGCTGTCGTGAAGCGCTCAAGTTCGACTCCCTCTCATTTGCTTTAGCCTTGCGGGAGGTTAAAATCTCCCAATTCGTACAGTGCAGAGTAACTGGTACCACCATTGGCGAGACCCCGGGGCGCTTGCGCTTGCCGCATGAGGTGACATTCCCACCCCCGCGCGCCCCGCATACATACACCCGACCCCGCGGCGCGGAGCTGCTGGGAGAGGGCCTGAGAATCAGAACATTGGAGTGAAGGAGTTCGGGTGGGACGTCATGGTCGTCCAATGGCTCGGTCTCTGGGGCCGACTTACATACCTTAGTCTCGGGGTACTCTCCGATACCTTATGAATGAGAAGGATCTCTCTCCTCATCCCCCCTCTACTCTTACCATCCCCTCAAATCCGTGATTCACAGGACAGTTTAGATCATTGGCTTTTTCTCAACTTCATAAGCATCACGTGAACTTTTTGAAGCTCGAGAAAGCTCCCATCTTGTCTGGCATTACATCACATCATCCCTACTCGTCAGGAAGAATCACTCGGCGAAGCATCTTCTAACCAAGAGAATATCCGAAAAAATGTCAGCAAAACACTTCATCAACGACCCAACCAAGCTGGTCAACTCGGCCCTCCACAGCCTGACCCTCACAAACCCGAGTCTGGCCCTCGACAAGCCCAATAAGATCATCTACCGCAGGCCAACGCCCGATGCTAAGAGGCAGGTCTCCGTCGTCTCGGGCGGCGGCTCGGGTCACGAGCCCTCCTTCGCCGCCATGGTCGGCCAAGGTCTCCTCTCGGCCGCCGTCGCGGGTACGATATTTGCCAGCCCGAGCGCCGAGCAGATCCGGACGGCCGTCGCCTCGCGCGTCGACACGTCAAGCGGCGTGCTGGTGACCGTCATGAACTACACGGGCGACGTGCTGAATTTCGGCATGGCCGTGGAGAAAGCCCGCGCCGCGGGGCTCGAGGTCGAGATGGTTGTCGTCGGCGACGACGTCGGCGTCGGGAGGGCGAAGGCCGGCAAGGTCGGAAGGAGGGGCATCGCCGGCACGGTGCTCGTCCACAAGATCGCCGGCGCGCTCGCGGCGCAGGGACGGCCGCTGGCCGAGGTCGCCAAGGTCGCGAGGCTGACGTCGGAGAACCTGGTCAGCGTCGGCGCGAGTCTGGAGCACGTGCATGTCCCCGGCCGCGCGGTCCCCAGCGGAAAGGACGAGGGCGCACTGCAGCTCGGCGAGGCGGAGCTAGGGATGGGTATCCACAACGAGCCCGGGTCCGGCCGGGAGAAGGCGGACCTGCCGGGGCTGGTGGGCAAGATGCTCACGCAGCTGCTAGACCAGGGCGACAAGGATAGGGCATTTTTGAACGTCAACTCGAACGAGGTCGTGCTGTTGATCAATAACCTGGGCGGCGTGAGCGCTCTGGAGCTCGGGGGTATCACGGCCGAGGTCGTGGCGCAGCTGGAGGGCAGCTACGGCATCCACCCCGTTCGCATTCTCAGTGGAACGTACATGACCAGCCTCAACGGCCTCGGCTTCAGCATCTCGCTGCTCAACGTCGTCAACACAGACATTGGCGGGCCGAGCATGATCCAGCTCCTGGATTACCCCACCGAGGCCACCGGCTGGTCGTCGCCCGTCCTCAAGGAGACGTGGGAGGCCAAGAACCAGGCTACGCGGGAGGAGGCGGCCGACGCGGGCCAGGCGACGAAGGCTAGCGATCTCAAGTACGACGCTGCTGCGGCCACCAAGGCTGTCACGGCCGGTTTGCAGAGGGTTATCGCGGCTGAGCCCGAGGTTACTAGGTATGATACCGTTGTCGGTGACGGCGACTGCGGTATCGGTCTGAAGAGGGGAGCTGAAGGTAAGACGGCATAAACTTCCCCTTTCCGTCCAAAGTGTCACAGTACACAGTCCGCTAACGAAATTGATCATTATCAGCCATCCTCAAGCACATCTCAGAGAAGCCCCTCACAGGCGACGCCGTCGTAGACCTCGCCTCCGTGGTCCCCGTCGTCGAGAACACAATGGACGGCACCTCGGGCGCCCTTTACGCAATCTTCCTCAACGCCCTTGTCGGCGCCCTCCGCGGCCTGTCCCCCGGCACCGCGGACGCCAAAACCTGGGCCGCCGCCCTGAAGCAGAGCAGCGACGCCATGTCGCGGTACACGCCCGCTCGCCCGGGCGACCGCACGCTCGTCGACGCGCTGCACCCCTTTGTCGAGGTCCTCGGCGAGACGGGCGACGTGAAGAAGGCGGCCGAGGCGGGGCACAGGGGCGCGGAGAAGACCAAGGGTATGAAGGCGAGCCTGGGGCGGACGGTGTACGTCGGCGGCTCCGGGTTCGAGCAGGTCCCTGACCCCGGCGCATGGGGATTGAGCTGCTTCTTTGCCGGGTTGGCGGGCATTGAGGGTGAGGATGGATGGGAGAAGCTGTAAGGAGAGATGCTGTTGGGTCCAGCTATCCAAGAGGCTTTTCTAAATGTTTAGTAGTAATTTTCCTGGGTTGGTTTGATAGGTGATTCGGGTTTGGGGGGGGGGGATTTGTGGTTGCACAAGGCTTGGAAATCCGGTAAAATGACCCCATAGCGCAAGGGAGAATGAAAGAACCCAAATGATCCATTTTGTCTTCAACGCCTATCTCATCCCATTTTGAAACAAAAACCACTTTACCGTGGGTATTTATGCGAAACTTGTTCCTCCCAAGTTTTTGGTTCGTCCGCTGCTCTATCCCTCTCTCACTCGTGCGTACAGAGGTACAGTGAGCATGCACCAAGTTGCCCCCAAAAGCAAGTGCGTCTCATTCACGGTTCCGATTGATTACTCTCGGAAATATCTCTTCGTTTGGCCGGATAGCGTAGGTCCCAATCCTTCCCCTTTTCTCGACCCAACGCGTTGTGTGCGGTCTCGACGTTTTTCGTAGAGGGCCGTATGACAAGACTAACACGCTGAACGCCTTCACGTTCGCAATCCTTGGAATCGTTCAGCTCAAAAGAACCAGGATGACACTGTCACCGCGGAGGAACCTATGTAGACGTTAGCCTCCGGCTCTTTAGCTGTGGATGCGACGACAGCGTGGACTGACATCTTGCTGATGAAGCGGTCCTTGTTGACGGGACGGCCCTTCTTGCCATTGGCAAGGCGCGGTGTCTCTGTCCACATCTCCTATAGTATTTCCAACGTCAGCCTTGTTCTTCGTTGCTTGTGGCGGTAGACGAAGTAAGAAGGCGTCGCACCTTAACGTTCTCGAGGACCATATTGCAGTGTCTGTCAAAAGCCTTGACGCGCGCGAGGAGCTTGCGGTTGTTTCTGATAGAGATGAGGACTTGGGTATGGCTTCGCACGGCGGTCTGGAGGATGGAGAGGGGTCCAGCGCTGAATTCGTGCTCTTCGAGCTGTGCGATCTCGTACTCGGTCAACTCATTGCGAGACTTGGTGAGGAGCTCTCTGTAGATTCACGTGTTAGTCTCAATAGGGGAGCATAGATACGAGGGGTTAAGAATTGATACGCACTGAATCTTGGGATCGGTCGACATGATGGCGGTATACTGGCGGTAATGGTCGTGAAGAGTGTTGGTGGTGTATGTCGCGACAACGTCTTTGCACGCAGGCTACAGCAAGGCTGAAAGAGTTTGGCGGTCTCGCGGCTTACTGTGATGGCGCTCAGGTGTTCTGATTGGCCAACTAGACCAGTGAAGTCGGCGCTGGAAAATGTGTCCCCGTCCAAAGATACAGGCGAAGCTGCACTGGAAAGCTTGCGGCGAGTCGCAAGGTTTAGTGGGTTTTCCTACCCTGGCGCAGCTTGGTCAGTGCACTGGTAGTTCCCAAATGCCTTACCGGACAGACCCATGGTTATTCTCGGCCTCGAATTTGACGTGGAGAAGAGCTTTGGAAAACCATTCCCGCGACATCACCTAAATCGAAACTCCTTTACCGCACCCCTTCCCCTCCCTCCCGACCTTCTTCCGCAAGTCCGCTATCCCTCAGTCGATGCATCGCTTGTCCTAGACGAGCGCATTGGCAGCTGGCAGTAGACAAATGTTCTCGAGGACGATCGCACTTAGAGCCGGGCCGGCAGCGTTAGCTGCTCCTTGCCGGAGCTGCAGCAAGACCTTCGGTATGCCTCTCAGAGCCAAGATTATCGGCGCGGAGGCCTCTTCACGCGCACAAGTGAGTCTTTAGCACTGTCATTCATGCGCATCTCCAGCGACATTGACTTACATTCCCTCAACAGATGTCGACCAAGATTCCGAAAGAGTTCAAGGAGCAGCGCCACGATGACCCTGACGATGTCATGTTCAACAGCCTTTACGGTCTGAGGACCATTGAGCTCAACCGCCCGAAGAAGCTGAACTCTCTGAACGGGAGCATGATTCGAAAAATTCTGCCGAGATTGGTCGAGTGGGAAAAGTCGGACCTGGCAAACGTGGTGGTCATGAAGGGATCAGGCGAAAAGGCCTTCTGCGCCGGTGGGGACGTCGCTGCACTGGCAAAGTACAACCAGGACCAGGATGGATGGAAGGAGAGTGCAAAATACTTCGAACTCGAGTACAAGCTGGATCACTACATTGCGACCTATAACAAGCCCTATGTGGCCTTCATGGACGGTATCACGATGGGTGGCGGTGTTGGATTGAGCATTCACGCGCCGTTCCGTGTCGCCACTGAGCGCACACTCTTCGCCATGCCCGAGACCACGATTGGTTTCTTCCCCGACGTTGGTGCCTCATTCTTCCTGCCCCGAATGGCTGGCTCTATCGGCACGTACCTCGCCCTGACGAGCGAGAGGCTCAAGGGCGCCAACGTCTACTACTCCGGAGTGGCTACCCACTACCTGCACTCGACTTCTCTGCCACAGGTAGAGTCCCGTCTTGCCGAGATCCGATTCCGCGACCACGACTCACTGGAGAAGCGCCTTCAAATCATCAACCAAACCCTCGAGGAGTATGCTACTGGTCTTCCTCACGATGAGCCCATCCTTCTTGGTGGCGAGCTGCGCAAGGCCATCGACCGTTGCTTTAGCCAGAGCAACCTCGGCGCCATCATCGAGGCTCTTCGGGCTGAAGAGGGTGCAACGAAGCGCTGGGCCAGGAAGACAATCGAGACGCTGCACAAGCGGTCGCCGACCGCTGTCAACGTCGCGCTGAGACAGATGCGCATCGGTAGCAGTTGGTCAATCGCCGAGACTTTCCAGCGCGAGCACAAGATTGCAACCAGGTTCATGCAGCACGGCGACTTCACCGAGGGCGTGACGGCGTTGCTAGTTGAGAAGAGGGCCCCGGTATGGAACCCCGCTACACTGGAGGAAATCACGCCTGAAATGAACGTTACGGAGCCCTTCTTCCAGAGCGACGGAGACGACATGGAGCTGCTGAACGATCGGGACTACCAGGAGTACCCGTACACATACTTTGCTCTGCCGACCGAGGCCGAGGTACGAAGTGTCGTGCTCGAGGGCCAGCACACGCCCAAGGAGGTCGTGAAGAGGATCGCCGCCTTGAAGAACAATCGCCAGGGCGCTGCGGAGGTAGTCAAAGAGATTGTGGAGCGCAAAGTCATCGCGAACGAGGATGGCCGCTCAGTCTGGGTCGACGAAAGCCAATAGATGATGGTATTTCGAGACGTCACCGGGATAATTTCCAGGTGTGTATGATACTGTAGATGCTTTTGCCATGTATCTGAATAAATTTCACGGACTGCGTTGTGATTCATCTTGGAGTTTGACTAATCTGTGTGGTTGGTTGCGTTCTTTGTGAGCTGAGGATCGTGATGCATGGCTTTCAAATGCTTCATCAAATTAATGTAGTTGAGCCTGATTGGCCCAACAAGGTTGACCGAAAGGGAAGCTGGAACCTCGGGTCATAGGAGCTGATGCAGAAAAGTTGGGGTAGCGATGGCTTCATGCTGATAGGCCGGACTTGCTATTGTTGCCTGCACGGCTGTGGTGGGTGCCTGAGCAGTATCGGAGTTAAGATGCGAACGAGCTCAAGTATTCCGTCATCCAGGTGACCATTACAAACCCTCACAATGTAAAAGTATGGCTGTGGCGGATTGCTTGATGGCTTCGCTGTAGTAGTTTGACGGCTACTAGGTGGTTGCCAGATGAAGAGCCAGGTGGGCATCGAGTCACGGATGCAAACACCACGGTGGAACTGAAAAATTCAACACTAGAATGAGAAGGATGGGTCGAGAGTTGGAGGGGGAATGAATGATCAATCTGTCGGTTGGACGGGCAGAGACTTCGACCCTGGTCCGTGAGTTTGATTGTGCAGACAACCCAGGCGAAAGACGGGAAGAGGGAAGAGACCTCAGGCTCAGGCTTCAGCGAGTGGGCAAGTATAAAGAGGGCCCCGGCCCCCCCTTTTCCGTCTTCGGGCAGAGAAGCAAGACCAGCTGCATTTTCCCCTACCGTTTCCCATCATCTTGTTGTAAGTTCCGGTCCTTGGTCCGCCCTGGTCTTGAGTCGCCGGTGTCGAGTCCCGGTTGCAAGCACAAAGTCCGACCAAGAAGAGGAGAAGGAATCGGCTGGTCAGCAGGAGGACGAGGCCCCACCCGCACCCGAGAAACTCAGAAGCGAGAAGAGGGTGACCCACTTACGGCATTCAGTCAGCAACCGCCTACAGGGGGCTCCCATCCGAGATTCCAGCGGCAAAGGTCTCGGTCGCGCACGGACCACTTCCGGAAGCCCTTGAGAGACCTCGCCGCTCCCACCACTCAAGTCACGGACGAAAACGTGCACGGCGTGTTTTTGGCGCGTTCTGGATTCGACGCAAGCTGGTTCGCGCTAAGAAGCTAAGCGGCCTTACCCCTGGTCCAACGTCACAGCACCCCCTGCACATCTAACCCGCTTCGGACGGCCTGTATTGTGACTTTCCTCATTGCGTACCCGCTGTATCTTCACTACACGCGACAAGCCTCACGTCTTTCCTCGTGGTATTGTCCCATCTTGGGTCACGGTTTATTCCCACCTGCGACTTACTGGTGGTAGCTTGTTTCTCCATCAGGACTTTGCAGCATCAGAACTTGATAGTATTCTACACCTTCAACGCAGCACCTTCAAGCGAGGCGTGCGATTGTCTCGGAGCCGCCCTCTAGTCGCGCATGGGCTTTAAGTGGTTTGATCCACTTCCCAAAAACGCGACTTACACCAAAGCCGGGCTCAGGACGCGACTTCCTCCACGACCACGGCCATGATACCCACCCCGCGGTTTCTTACGTGACGCCTGCACTTTACCACTTTAACCACTACAAACACCAATTCGTAACCCACTCTCAACTCAATCCCTCCACTTTGCTTTCCTTTTTTTCCCGCCCTTGGTCACCGCCCTTCAACTCTGTCGGCAACACAAGTCCAGCTCGTCTTTCATATCTACTACTTGTCAACCTATATTCGACCTGGACGAACACTCGAGCCGGAGTCACAGCCTCGCCTACCATGGCGTCGCCTATGCCTGCAGCGCCCATGGGTAATTGGGGAGGTAACGGCCAAGCGAGGCCACCACCGCCGCCTGCTGGCTCAGCAGAGACCGAAGAGAATGGGGTTCAGGTCAAGACGATGGGCCGTGAGTGCTTGCTTCCCGTCTCTTTTCTGTTCTAGCGTTTGCCGGATATGCTGACTGGGGGATGCAGTCAAAGTCACATACGCGTTCGCCGACAGCGGCGAGAGCTTCCTGGCGCGACACCCCGACTTACTCACCGTCCAAACTGTACCAATCGACGAGAAAACCACTGTCGGTATGGTTGACTTGAAATTGTGTGCCCAGGCCGTTGTTAAGTGCAGCCCTGAGCTGCTCAGCGACGCCACCCGCGACTTTGCCGTCTACGCATACGACTACTCGGAACCCGACGAGCCATTAGTCGGACAGGGTTTCCTAGGATGGATTATCAACAACACAGATGGCAAAAGGATCATCGGTCGCACCACCAGAAATCCCCTCTCGGTCTTTAGCGGTGGCGTGAAGGAGATCTTGGAGATCAAGCTGAAGTTGAAGCCTGTAGCCGCCATGATGCAACCGAAATATGAAGCCGAACCCAGACCAGACCATCGACACTCATATCAGCGCTCTGAAAGCCACACGAGCATCGAACTACAACCCACGAGGCCCAACGATGGTGCACTCACGCCGACGAGCCACGCCGAGTGGAACGCCTTGATGCAGTCGAATCCGCAGATGGGCAACCAGCACCAACCCCAACGGGTTGCATCTCCTCACCACCCACCCCAGAACCATAACGATTTTCATCAACAACAACAACCACCACCACAGCAACAACATTTACAGCGAAGCAACTCTTTTGCTTACAATGGGCTCCCGCCGCAGCAACAACACAAAGCGCAACTTCAACAAATCCTCCCTCAACCGCCCACGCAAAATTCTGAAGGGCCTAATCGGGTGGCCCCTACCCCTGTTGACACAGCAACCGAGACCCAAGTGAACCCACCCTCGAGACCATCATCCAGGGCCTCGAACACATCAAAGAGAGCATCGAGAGCTACTGGACGACCTCGTGGTCGCCCTCGGAAGCAACCGAGGGCTGAGAGCCAAGGGAACACTTCGGGTTATGAGGATGGAACCGATGGCGACGATGGCCCCGCTAAGAAGAAGAGGGCCACCATGACCCAGGTTACAGGCAATATCAATGCCCCGTTTGGTGGCGGCCCTGGGCCTCTCCGCGTCACAGCAAGCACGGCTGGCTCCTTGCGAACCTTGCGACCGGCCGGAGTTCCTCAAGACGCTTCTATGGGATCTCACATGCAAGATGTGCCTAGAGCCCCAACACCAGTGCCAGAAAGAGGCCCCTCGGTGCCGCAGGCTGGCAAAGCCACGAAGGGGAGCAAGCTGCGCCGGCAGTCGACCTTGAGCCAAGCCGCGACACCTCCCAGTCAACCTCAGTTTTCCGAGCCACCCTTTGCCCTATCTCCAAGTCAGCAAGATGGTCGCTCTCCAGACTCGGAGGCCGTGTCTCCCAACTTCTCCGAGGACAGCCCTGCAGCCATTGGATCTTCACCGCCTGTTCCTCGTACCACGAGCTTTGTGCGGTCGAGTCCGCCGGCGTCCAGCCCTATACTCCCTCCCATGCGAATGCCAATGCCCCAGCCTGACTCTGGCTTCATGAGCGGTGGCGTTGACGACCTTTTCGATGGCGATGTTCTGAAGCCACTTCCGAAACCCGTTACTACCGCACCGGCACCGGCACCAGCACGGAGAACGAACCGCAATATAACAAAGGAACGGATGAATCGATCGGGTATCCCTATCCAAGTCTTTCAGCTGGTGGCACAGCCTTCTAGCGAAGCGGATAATGCTTCGAAGGTACCGCAGCAACTTGTTGCCCATCCGCCTACTTCGGCGCCGTCGACAGAGTCATCACTGCCTGCTTTACAGCATAGCGTTAGTGACCCAAACATGACAGTGACTCCTCAGCAGCCTGCGGGAAAAGAGCCTTCGCCACAACAAGAGGAGCCGGTTGTGGTGATTAAGCCTGACGTCGATATGGACAGTCAAAGCGCTCCCATTGCTGACGCCCCCCGGTCTGAAGACAGCCTCGACGTGAGACTCGAGCATCTCGTACAAGCTGTGCAGGGTGATGCACCTGATTTAGCGTTGCCAGAGCCTCCGACGGTGGCTCCTATTGCGGCTGAGGTTTTTGCACTTCCTTCCGCACCGCCTTCTCTTTCTCGGTCTACTTCTTCAGGCTTCTCGCTGGCACTACCCACGGTCCCGGCTAGCGACCCGGTTGGTCCTATCGCATTGCCAGCTCTCCCTCTGCCAGACGCCACCTCCTTCTCCGAAGCACCTTGTCCGCCAAGCGATGCATTCCAACCCCCAAGGTCGCCGCCGCAAGCTTCCAAGTCGAACAAGAATTATGTCAAGAAGCAGGCCATCAGAGAAAAGCTATTGCAGGCCATCGAAAGCGGGCAAACTCCGATGTACTGTAACAACTGCGGTGCTATCGAGACTCCTACATGGCGCAAGATATGGTCTCAAGAGCATGAGGGTGTTCCGGAATTTGCAGAGTTTTCAGACAAGCCTGGCAGGATCACCGCCATCCTGGTTTTGGAGCGAGATGATGATGAAAAGGTCACCAAGCACCAGATCATCAAGAAGGGCTTGGCACCAGGTGAGGACAAGTCACAATGGAAAGAGCACATGCTCTGCAATCCTTGCGGCATTTGGTTGTCTAAATGGAAGGCACACCGGCCATCGGAGAAGTGGGAGAAAGACAGATCTCGTCTTAGTCAACAAAGACGGCCTCGGGGTGCTGGACGAGCTCCTAGGGCACCCAGGGTGAAGAAATCAGATTCGGCCAACCCACTGAACCCGACGTCTGAAGCTTATTTCACGGACCCCATCGGGCCTGAAGATCGAGGCATCTCGCCTATAGAGGAGAGCAGATCGCGCGGCATCTCTCAGGTCAGCAATATCAACGAAGCGTCACAGCGATCGGTCTCCCAGCTGTCAATGTCTCAACCGCCCGACTGCCAGGGTTCACGGCCGGCTTCGCCTGGGAATGCCTCCAACCCGGGGTCTACCCACTCTCGGGGAAGCGGTACGGCTAAGAGCCCAATTACTCTTGACAATACCGACGTGCAAGACATGGGTGGTACCCGACGGCTGCTATTCCCTTCGCCTCGAAAGGAAGGCGTTGCCAAGGTCTTGGGCGAGGTTGCCGTTAACATCGTACAGACCGCGCCAGAACTGGACGCATCGGCTCAAGTTGCCCAAAACAAAGACTTGGCCGACAAGAGCTCTAGCAAAGACGAGGCGCGCAAGGAAATAGGGTCCAATAAGGAGAACCTCGCTATTCCTGACGATGATCTCGAAGACCTTTTCAGAAGTCCCATTGCCCGTCCATCGACGCCGCCTCCTCGGGAAAGGCCTGCTAATAATGGACCTTTCAAGACTCCTACTCGACCGACCCCTAGCCACCGACCTATCACTAGAAGCGTCACTAGGAGTGTCTCGCGGTCGTTGAGGTCGGGCGACTTGCTTCGATCTCCCATGGCTACGCGACGCACACCTATGCGGACTCCGCGGTCAGCTAAGGGCCAGATTCGGAGGAGCCCCCGCCTGCACCATGAAGAGTTTTCTCAGATGGAACTAGCCTTGGAAGAATACCTTCAAACTCAGCCTGTCGACCATCAGTATGATTCCGATATGCTAGAGGCTATGAACCGAGCATTGGCGGAGTCTATGAACGCCCCTGGTTCCAGTTTTGACATCACCAGCATGATGCTGGACTCAGACTGTCAGCTCGAATTCGGCGACCTGTTGGATTCGCCATCCAAGCCGACGCCACGACATGCCCGGCAAACGAATGATTACGAGGACTGGGAGACGTGGGAAAAGAACATGCGTGAGCGTCAGGCGGCAGATGATGCTTGACGCGAGTAGATACCCGGTGCGAGGATTGAATGGTTCTGGTACTTGTTATGAGTTATTACAGTGGACGTTTTCCACACGAAAGCGCTGGTCATGGTTTCGAGCGATGCGCATTGCATCATGACGAGTCGTATGATGGTATTTTTATTGGTTTTGATGGGTTTGCATCACAACAGCGCAGGCATGAGATACCTGGGAGATGGCGTTTCGGGATATCACAAAGAGCATGTCCGGAGGACCTAGATTTGTTTACACCGGCCTTGGTGCCGTAGTGACGAGTCGCATACTGCCTCTACTACTGCGTTGACTTGAAAGTTTAAGGAAGAGGCCTTCAGCCTGATAACAGCAATACACTTGTTAATGACACTTTGATCTCCCGTACGCCAATGTTTGCGTTGTGTTGCAACTCTGTGCCAGGGTCCCCCTAGTGACCTTATCAACCATTGAAATGTTGAGGTAGTGTCTCTTCGTCGCATAGCTTTGCTCCTTCATCAGTGGCACCAGCGGGATGCAGGTTTCCGGCATAGACTTTGGTTCAACGTTTGAAGTTGGCCGGACGTGCCTTTCGGAAATTGGTAGTCGATATATGTATATGCGCCAGCGGTAGTATCCGGGGACTCGTGGTAATGCTAGAAGTTTTCGGATCATTGTCCCATTAGAGGCAATGGCTACCCGCAGCAGCAGTATCGTTAGGTCGATAATCTCTCCTAGTACCCTTGCCTCCCAAAAACAGCCATAGAGGGATTAATCGAGTGCACACTTCGAGAGTGTCGGCGTGAGCGCTTAGATTGAGATTCTCATGTGCCTCAACGGATTGTGGTAGATGTGGACCGAGATATTCAACATGTCTCAATCTCTCGGTCACGCAGCTGGTAGTGGAACTCGAGGATGCCCTCGGCACCAAGCGTGACCTTCGCTTGGAAGGGGGCAGAATCTACGGCGGTGAAGGATTGTTCGCGTACGGTGACCTGACACATCGGCGCTGGCATCGATGAGGATGGGGATGACGCCGACTCGGGCTCACCCACACACAGCCTCTCTTTTTCTCTCTCATCACTACTCTTCGCCCTTGTATTCGGGGGAGGGTGATGTTTCGAAAGAGCCGGATGCCAATCTACAATCTTGACTAAGCACTGCCTTCTCCAAGGTTAAGTTACGACCCGCGAGCTTCTCACATCCCTCACGCTAACGACAACATCGACCCTAGCATCAAAGGCGGCCTTGAGCCTTGTACCGACGGCATTGGTAAGGAGAACATTTGGGACGTCTGATGAGTTGCTAAGAATACAAGTAGTGACAGGCGGCATGGACGCTACCGTAATGGGTTTTGCTGAGGGGGCAGGTCGTTATAGTACATAGCTACATGGAATTCCCATACTCTTAGCACTTAAATCTCGTTACATTGCATAGATGGATGAATCAAGCATTATCCATCATACGCATGCAGACCTCTTCTGCCCCCGCATGCTCCCAGTGCCGATGCTCCCCGGAGTAGTTCAAGAGACTCATTGTCTCGGCGCTTACCACACCCACCCCCCCGTCTAGGCGACGCTGCCGCAACAACGACGATGACGATTGCTAGGTTCGTTTCGCAGGCCATTCTTCCACTGTGATGCGAATAGAATCCCTCTGAGCGTTTGCGAGTAAGTAGCCACTTGGCCGAAGCCGCCGCTGCTAGTCGAGAGAGGATTAAGATTGGAAAGAAATACCAGTTTGAGGAGAAGCACAGCACCATCTTCGTTCCCGTACATGTCTCATAACCCCCTTTGCCAAGATATACTGGCAACTTATTCCCAGGTGCCTTCAGCGGCACCAGTGACAGAGCGAGGGTTCCAGAGTTGACAGTAGGTGATCTATAACAACCGCGCAGCCTTGGGACTGCACCCATCTACAGTCAGATGATAGGACATAAAGTACACGTATTCTACACATTTCAACAACACCGCACTTGCTTTCCCCATTTTCGCTTTCAGCTTCCGCTGCGTTACATCCTGGCTCGGTTTGACTGCCTGGATTAACGTGTCCGTCCCCTCTGCCCCAAACACGCACGACTCCTCTACTTCCTCCTGACCAAGCCCTTGGCGTTGGAGTAGCCCTTGATGCGCTTGGTGTACTTCCAAAGGTGCTTGTACTTGGCGGTCTGGCGCTTGGCTTCCCAACCGCGTGCCTTCTTGGGCTCCTTGAGCGAGAAGACGCGCTTCGGGCGGAACTCGATGTCGGCACCCGGCACGCCGGCACGCTCCATCACGCCGGCGGTGTTCTCGTCCCAGATGGTACGGAAGATGTTGAACCCGACGGGCTTGAGGCTGAACTTGTCGCGGAACGACTTGAGGGAGAAGCCGTCGCGGCCCTGGTAGAGTTCCTTGAGCTTGGCGGTGTCGAGCTTCTGGTCGCCCTGCTCGAGGACAAAGATGGAGAGACGGTGGTAAGGGGAGCCCTTTTGCGAGAAGGCGGGCAGGTAGGGGACGGCAAGCTGGGCCTCGTCGCGGACCTTGGAGAGCGGGATGGATGTCGCTGTCGGTGAAACGGGGACGTTGGCGGCGAGGAAGTGGCAGCGCTTGGTGAAGCCGTCGGTTTCGACGGAGGGTATGTCCGAGTCCATGATGACGATGGAAACGAGACGCTCGCCTGCCGTGAAGGGTGTGATGCGCAGACGGGGGGGGACTTCGGAGATGTTGCTGGGGAGAATCTTGCCCGGGGGTACCTTGGAGCGGCGGAAGAAGAGCTGAACGTCGTAGGTCGGCTTCATTTTGGGCAAAATGTCGGGGATGATGTTGAGCTGCTCGATACGCTGCTCAATCATCTTGGCCTCGTAGGAGAGCCACTTGCGCTCGGCAAGGAAGCGGTAGATGGGTTTGCTCATGTCACCTGTTTGAGAAGGCATGTTAGCACTCAATTCGAGATCCCAAGCGCACAAATTTCCTTCATGAATCCGTACCGAGTCCATCCTCGAACCGCCTCTTGACGGCAGGATCGTTGATATCCGCCAGAATCTTCAGTCTCTCGACTTGTTGGCGCAGACTGGACAACCTCATCTGACGCATCCTCTCCCCTCCCTTGACCTGATCACCACTCACGCTCTCCAGCCACTTGATCGTTTCCGTCTCCTTCACGATGGCACGCAGCTTCTCCTCGCGGTCGGCGGCGAGGATCTTGCGCGCCTCCTGGAAGGCCTGGTAGGGCAGCTGCTCAAAGGGAATGTTCGCACTCGTGCGGATGGCGTAACGGCGACGCCTCGAACCGACGGGTGGTGTGCCCGCCTTCCACAGATCCTTCTCGGCCCAGGGCGCAACGGCCGTGTTGGGGTCCAGCTCGACGGCGTCGACGGCCTCGGGGCGCTCGCGCGACACCTTGTACACTTCGGCGGCAGGGGCGGGTGTCGTCGATAGGCTCCTCCGTATCGGCAGGGGCGTGGCGATGCTGTTCAGGCATCGCTGTAGTGGCCGGATGGCCTGCCTACACGACGATGACATTTTGGCTCTGGAAAGGGGGGGTGTGGGTTCGGCGGGTGGTCGTCTGATTCCCGACCAGAGCTTCTGAAGGAGGTTTTTCACTAGAGCTTCGCGAGTCTGCGTTGCGGGTCTCCATAATTATTTTTCCAATTGAACGGCGGAATATCCCGCGCCGGACAGGGGAGGGAGCTCCCATTGACAGCCACGCCACACAGCGTGCGCGCAGCAGGTACGTACCGGCAATTGGCGCCATCTGATTGGCAGCTTGCTTCGACAGGACGGGCCAAATTTTCGTGTTTCCTGCGCAAAGGGTGCTGCTGCTATTCCAACGTAACGAAGGAGCAGTCCATCGAACATCGCAAAACCAAGACGATCGCCGAACCCCATTGCGACGTCCGCACACACAATGGCCGGCAAAGGAGCTAGGAGCCTTGGAGAGGCCATGAGGGGGCTGTCCCTCTCATCAACGTGCAGGAACGCGAGCCCTGCAACCTCATTCATCGGCTCATCCAGCTTTACGAGATCAATGGCCACCGAGGCGCCATTCCCCGGCATCACAACTTCCGCCTATAGAACACCGAAGCCAACGGAGTGGACACCAAGTACGCTCTACAGGAACCACTTGCATTTGTCCTTAAGAAGCACTTGCTAACGCCTTGCTCACAGCCACATCCGTCCCTGTCACAATCCACGCCTTCCCGACTCTCGAGCCCCAAGCCCTCGAGTCCTACTCGACGAAGCACCTCTACCTCCCCCTCCGCCGCGACCTCCTCCATCTCGCCGTCGTCTACGAGGGCGACTCCACCCGCCAGGGCACGGCCAGCACCAAGACCCGTTGGGAGGTCCGCGGCTCGCACAGGAAGCTACACCCGCAAAAGGGAACCGGCCGCGCCCGCGCCGGCACGAAGCAGTCGCCCATCCGCCGCGGCGGAGGTGTTTCTCACGGACCCAAGCCGCGCGACTTTAGCACCTCACTCAACCGCAAGGTCTACGACGTCGCCTGGCGCACCGCCCTCAGCTACCGCTACCGCCGCGGCCAGCTCATCGTCTGTGAGGACGGCATGGAGTTGCCCCTACCAGAGGACTTCATCGCCCTGACCGAGGGAGGCTTCGTGGGACCCAAGATCGCGGAAGAGTACCGCCGCAAGTGGATGATGCAGGTCCTCGAGGCCAACGAATGGGGCAAGGCTCACGGCCGGACTCTGTTCATCACCAACGGGGATAGGCCGAGGCTGAACGAGACTATGGAAACTGCGGGAGACCAGGGCAGGTGCCTGGGTGTTCACGATGTGGACGTCAAGGATCTTCTGGAGGAGGGACGCGTGGTTGTCGAGCGGGCGGCGCTCAATGAGATGATTGAATCGCACCAAAGTGACTTGATCAGCAAGATCTTTATCGGTGGTGCGTTGAAGCGCGGCCCGGCAATCGGTGGGTCCATTATTGCATGAAGCATCAGAGGCGGTCCTACAAGGGGGAAAGGGAGAAGGAGAGAAATCTGTCGATATCTGTAACACCAATCAACGAGGAGATCTTCTGGTAAGAAGGCGCCTCTCCGGCTTGTAGCAATAGAAGGCACAAATTGCCATTCACTCTGTAACCTATACAAAGGAAAGATGCATCTACGGATATGTACGGCAAGGTGTCATAAAACGAGCACAAATGCTTTTTTAAAAAAAATAAGAGGAAGGAGTCACTTCATCTTGATGGCAAAATTATAATTGGGAAGAGTGCCCTAAGGTTCATTTCATTCAATTGGTATGACCTAAGCCTGGCTTGATGCGAATCCAAGCACCCACGTGTCTAGTTACCCAATTTGCGTAAATACATCAAATCCCAAGGTTGCTATAAATATTGTCAAAGGCGACGTGAACAGGAATGCATGTACAAGTTGGATAATTCATATGCTGCGTCTTGTTCAATCCAAAACACTAGTTGCGGAACGTCATATTCATTGCGGTTATTGGGGCCCGCCGACGTCCGACTTGCCTCTATTCGGAAATCTCATACGCCATACTGCGTCACAGGAACCTGGCAGGAACCCCAGGTACATCGCCCCGATTTGAGTCGAACGGAAACCCACACGCACATGCATGCGCTGCCCAGTCAGCCTCCCGGAAGCCGAATAAGACAAGGAGAATGCTCGTCGCGAAAACAACCTGAAAGGAAACAATGCAGCTAAATATTCAGTCTGCAATTAAAAGTTGGACATATTTCTGAACATTTTTCTGCTACCCACTTGCCTACGTTACCTTAACATATAATGTAGTGTACACCAAGATCGCTCCGGATTTTCCTAGTCCCGCAACTCCCGTCGGGTACGTAAGGTGGGGTGCAAACAAGCCGGCCCGAAAAACAGAGGAGGGCGTTGCAGGTTTCCCGCGCGCCGCCGCTGTCCCTCCACCCCCCCGGGGCGGCGGAGCGACGCATCGGGTCCATGCGCCCAGCCCTACGTCACTATGAGCAGGGGTATTTTCGTCCTTGGTTGACTTTACTTACTACCGCCCGTCATAAGCCATGTACCACCTACCTCAATTTAGAGTTTCCGCTGTCCAAGGCAAACGACCTTGCCTGGGCTCATGCCCCCCCCTCGGGTACTTCGTGGAGTAATTACTCTGTGCCTCACGTTCAATGACCTACAGCATCATTCGCTGTTATTAAGATGCCAAACTCGGAGTTGCAAAACAAGCCTGGATGCAGTAAGCCAACGGCATGGTTTCTGAGATGATGAAAGGATACAATGCCAATTTTGACAGCATTCCTAACTTGAAGACGTTCTCCCTAAGTCACTATGTCAAAAGGGCCTCCGGCTAGGCCTCCTCCTCCTTCTTAAGAAGCCATGCAAGGCTGGACCAGATCCCTGCTTTCCCGCCTTGATGCCTGCAGGACCTAGTGAAAGCAACGACGAAGGACCATCGTGCTCACGGATACAGTATGCCTAACCTTATGTCCCATTTCATTGCTGGAAAATTTCATGGATATACTCCCCTTCTTGACTCTCTTCTCTCGGCGACGGTCGTCGACCCTTGCCGCACGCAACCCGGCAGGCTCCTCTGCTTATGAATCTCAACGAGAAAAACAGCGGGCCGTTAAAAGAAGCGTCTAGACGTTTTCTCATGTTCCCAGAGACCGGCGCGGCGGGCCGTTCAAGGGAGGGTTGGCTGGGTTTGGCACGCACGGGTACACCTACCCTCCCCCTCCCCCTCTAGCTCCTCGTACCCATCATCCCGTATTGGGATATTCGAGTGACTAGCAGTGACGTAGATATGTGGTAGCTCAGTCTTCAGCCCAACGGCGACCTCTTTGTATGACTTTTTTGCATAGGTAGTATCTCTTCTCATGACTTATTCAAAAGTTTGTTCGTCGTCTCTTCCGAAACGCCCTCCTATTCATCAGCTTGCGTCCATCGGTTGCGGGCTACCGATGAATCCACATAGCATCCGGAACGATATCATGAAGCGACATCCTCTAGCAAGGGGCCCGGAAACAAGTGAGCTTCCCCGTGCAAGCGATGGGATCCTCTCGTACCCCTGGCCCTTCGCTTCTCGAGACGGCCGCTGTTGTGTTGCTGCGAATGGACCCGAGGGAATCCAAGGGACCCGTACTGACGTAGTGCAGGACAAGCTACCAGAGCTAACTTGATGTAGTAGCTCACGACTCCTTTCTCCTCCTCCATACCTGGGCCAGTAGCCTCATAAATCGACCATCCTCGTTACGCAGCGGCTGGCGTTGATGGATTCCCTCTCTCTCTCCTTTCCCCTTTTCTGCTCTTTGCTTCGAATGGTTGTCAGCTGGCTCCCCTGTCCCTTGATACTATTGCTCAAGCCCCCGGCTTGACGACATAACGCATATACCAACCACAATTTCCCTATCTCCTTGGACCCCCTTCGACACCTCGACTCCTCAAAGACCCAATGTCTTCGACCCAATGTTCAAACTACCAGTTGGCTTATCCAAGCCACTCACCTCCATTGACTGCTGTGTACCCCTCCCAGAAAGATTTGTCGTCTCGTCAACCTCGACACAACTTCGACAACTCCAACAACACTCACCGCTCGAGGAGGGCGTACCCTGTGGCATCGTCCATCAGCGAGGGGCTACCAATGCATCTTGGCAAACTGGGCCCAGCCCACTAGAACCAAAGACACGACACAGACGATTTAAAGCCGAAGCTCATCCAAATCTGACCCGGACGACCATTCGCCAACCGCTCATCGAATACGAAGTCAAATTGTCCTACGAACCAATGCCTCCATACCTACCTAGACGATTCGAAATAGTGTAGAGTACAGAAAAGATAAATCAGTCAACGGACGCCTAGTCTGATCAATGTCTCGGCTCACTCACGATACACCCACCAAGGGTCCCGTTAACGCAGCAGATGGTGTCCTCCACACACCGACCTACTTGGACCAAACCGGAACCCTCTCAAGATTCTCACTGACACGTTGCAGACAGTCGGATGTATCAAGTCGAACTTGCTCAACCAAGAGTTCGCTGTCCCATACACCCAACTCAGACAACGACCCGAGGCCGCCCTGCCACGAGGCACCACATTAGAAGCCGCCGTCCCACCTCCACCGAGCTATCAGGTTGCACGTCAGAGCCTTGCACTTCCAGTAAGGCTATGTCATCTGCCCAAATGGCATTGAGCCTATTTTCTTCTTTGTGAATATCATCATCCTGTGTCTATTCGAATCCCCTTTTGCTAGTCCGGCCTGTGGAATGCTTCACCTCAAAAGATGTACATACAACCCAAATGTACTCCAGGGTATCAGGTCTCATTTCCAGCTCCGGTCCTTTCGCTGGCGGCTCAGATCTTCCGTCTGGTCCCTTCTTGTCATTATCCTCTCAAGTCATTGCTCATAGCAGGCCTATGTCCCCAAACCCGCCCTAACTCCGAATATAGAAGCCCCACTCAAGACAGTAAGTGCTTCTAAACCATTTGGCAACCAGGAAGGCTTCGCTTCTCAAACCTCAGCGCTTTGCCCTTTAGACTGGATCGTCCCCCGCCAGAGCGCGCTACGCCTGTTCAAAGGCGCTGTCCGGCATATGGTCGTAGTTGATATCAGCATCACTACCAGATCTCGAAGACAGGCTCGTCATAGCACGCTCTGAGCGAGCTGGGGAGATTAAAGACATTTGGCCTGGCATCGGTCAACATCTCCAATATTGTGTCTAGGGATCGTGGATTTCCTTACTGTCAATTGACGGTCTGTAACCTCCCCTCGTGCCGAGTGGCCTGTTGCCAATCATGCGGCTGGCATCCAGACTTTGCTTCTTGACGCGCTCTGCGCTCACCTGAACAAATCGGCGGGCCTCGTTGTCGAGCCACAAATTGATGTTCGGGTCGTTGCAGTTTGCATGCGACATGAGTTCATTCTTCATTCGCGTAACTTCATCAACCAATCCGTTGTACTCCATCTGTAATTGTGCATGCTGGTTTTCCAGGCCCTGTTTGGTTTCCTGCAAGTCCGAGACCCATTCCTTTTTCTTCTGCCGACATTTACTTGCGGCGACCCTGTTTCGTTCAAGGAATTTGTCTCTTTTTGGGTCCTGGTCGGTCTGCGCAGGAGCTTTACCCTTCCTTCCCTTCTTTCTGGGTGGACTGGTATCCAAAGCGTCGGCCGTCCTACAAGATTTTGATGCGTAAGATTGCATCGAGTTATTGGAGTCGGCTCGCACACTCGACTGAAATGTCGAAGCCGAAGGTATATTCAGTATTGCCGGCCTGTCTTCGTCTTCCCGTTTCGTATCGTACTGCGCTTGGCCATGGTGACTGTAGAACGAGGGCATACCAGTGACCAGTGGATCCCATCCGCCCGGTACAGGCATATAAACGGAAGGATGGTGTTCCATATTGTCTGGTCCGTCGCTGTCTTCTGGCCGGGCAAAGTCGAGTGAATCTACCTGTAGTGTTCGGGGTTGATCGCTGGGGAAGTCATTGTTAGTCGGTGTTGCAATATCAACCGCATCATTGAAGAAGCTCGGAGGGGTATTCATCGTCCAGGCTATGGACCTCGCCAGGTCTGGAAAAGGCGTCGATTTCAAAATCTGCTGAAAGGGGGTGTATCGGCGGCGGGGGAGCGTTGCCTGATCCAGGGTAGGACAATGAACGTTGTGTCGTGCGCTGACCTACCCAATGCGTATAGACTACCAAGTGGTTTGCGCGTGGCACAAAGGCTGGGCTTGCTTGCTGGCTACGCTACGGTGACCAGAGCGATAAGGATGTCCCCAGAAACGAGAAAGAGCAAGGCAAAAAGCAAAGGCTGCGGTCGGGGAGGTGGGAAATCGAGAAAAACACACGATAAAGATTGCTGCAAGAATATCGGGCTGATCTCGACGCCTGCGTGTACTCGGCGATGGACAAAACCGGAAGTTGGATGCGCGGCGAGGACTCAAGGACTTGGGGCGGGTATCAATATGAGAACGTCGCCGCTGTTCAGAACGCGAATTTGATCCTCGTCGGAATGGAAAAGGCAAGAAGGCAAGCTACAATGCCCATTGGTCAGTATTTCGTTTATCAGTATCAAAGAAAGAGCAAGCAGGACTAAGAAGAGGTAGTATGAGAGAATGATGGATTCAGGATTGCGACAGGTCGATGATGCGGATGGGAGTGGGCGGCTCGGTGGAGCCGGTAGACAGACAGGCATTATCAAGAGCAACTGAGAATACCTCGATAGATGCGTAGAAATGGAGGGGCTGCTGGCAAACGGGGCACCGTGGGTAGTCGCACTCTCCCACACGCAGGAAACCAGTTCCACACACTGGCTCGAAAAAGGTTCTGGGATGAGGCAACCGGGCGCGGAGGCGTACGTTACATAGGAAGACTAGGCGCAAACGGCAAGGACGGGAAGAGCTGGTGAAGGGAGGTTGCGATATATCGCCGATATGAAAGTACTGCGGGGTTCTCAATGAAGGTTTGAAATCTGCGTACCACTAATGATTGGGGCAGCTGATCGTGCGTCAGTGGGAAATGACACTGTCGACGATCTGGAAAGCTGCCGAGCCGGACGATATGACGAGCGATACGGTCGAGGCAGGCCAACGACCGAACGTTTCTTGACAGAAAACGGTAGGCCAAATCTCAGCGGGGCGCCCTTCCAACAAGGCGAAGGACGACTGCTAGTATTCGGAGCGTAAGGTACCTGCGATGGTTCCGCGAAGAAGCCAAAGTGTTGCAGCCAGGCAAATTGGAGATTGATCAGTCAGAAGTCTGGGCTTGAAGTATTTCGTCGAGGTTCGCGAGAAAGAACAATGTCATGGCAGTCTAACGTCGTGGTGCCGGTTGCGGTGAGGTGAAGGCGCGGCAACGTCTTGCCATCAGCCAGGCAAGGATGCTCAGGTGGTGGGTGGTGTGGGCACTGGTAATGCTTGCAGATTGATGGAGCCGTCGGAGTCGCAGTCACACAAGGAAGATGTCGGCGGGAGGTCAGGGATGGGTCAGGAGTTGCCAAGCAATGGACGACGGAAGCAGGGCCGGGCGAGAGCTCTCACGGTGTCGAAGAGGATAGATGATGGAGATGCTTGAGATTGTGTTGTATGCTGCGGGCAGATCGGCAGAGGTCGACAACAACGGAGTACGCTCCGGCAATTGATCAGAATGATGCCGAAAGGTCGCAAGCTGCGACCGAGAGGCGCCGTGGTGGGATCCAGATGGAGCGGGATTGACAAAAGATGTGGAATCAGTGAGGCTCACGGTGGGCAGGTTGGAGCTTGAGAGGGGGGAAGGGAAGTCGTCGTCGGCGGAAGTTGAGTGAACAGAAACGGGGTGGGAATTTCAATGGCATGCGGCATACCACACGCGGGCGGGCGGGAAGGAGCTTCGACAATTGCATTGCCTCGTTCGAATACCACGTTTCTGCTTTCCTCAACAGCATTTCTCCGACTAGGAAAGGTAGCTTTTCCCCTTGGCTCGGGCTGGAACCACCTCACGCTATTTTAGCTCAGAGAAGGTAGCTAGAAAGGCGAGATGGTGCATCTACCTAAGACTGAGGTGCTCCCTCGGCAGAAGCAATCACATTGGACCAGCTCAAACAAAACAGCTAACACACAGGCACCTTATCTGTCAGAGACAGCGCGATGGTGGAAGTACACATGCAGCACCAACATCAACGCCAGCGCCAGCACCACCATTAAAACCATTCTATTTATGAGCTGGGCGCGCCGTCATTCACTAATCTCCCTTGCCTTGGCTGGGTATACAACAATTCCGCTTGCTGACCTTGGCTGCGCAACACGAGATGGCGGGGTAAGTAAGGTATGGCTTTACAGAGTACGCTAAGCATATTTGCCTCTCAGACGGTGCCATAGCTGTGTTGCAGAGCTGGATGTTGTTGCAATTACTACTGGACGAGCTAAGGTAGCCAGACGTCCCGTCTAAGCTTCATCCAACGCTCCGTCGTCAGACACACCGGACCTCTCGACGCAGTAATAGGTCCCTTACGTGGGCACGCACATCGCTGCGCAGGAAGTAAGGTAGCCGCTGCACGGCACAACTGGATGTCAAGGACTGGCGAGAAGGGCACCTCCACCAAAGTCACAAGGTACCTGCCCTGCCCTGCCGTCCCTTCCCCTCCCCCCTCCCCCTTCCAAGGTTCGCCATGGGGCCGTTGCCTTGGGGGCTAATTGTTGGCAGAAGTTGGAAAGCTGCGACCAAGTCCCTGCTTGTTCGGATGAAAAACTCCGTTATTTTTTGTTTGGACTCTGGTCGCTGATTACCACCTACCTTACCCTTCGTCATTGCGTCCAGTCCTCTGTACAGATATCCTCCAGTCTCTCCTCACCTTTCCGCACAACACACCGGTGACCGAGATGGACCCACGGCTCCGAACTGCCTACATGGTGCCGTTGCTTCTCAGGGCACTCGGCGGATGACCGGGGCATGAGAGAATGCATCGAATGGTGCGTCTGTGCCCAGGGTTCGGGCTAGTTGCGTTGGGCAACCACAGAAGAGGCACATTCAGCGACAGATTCCAGACGAGATTTTTGCTCAGCATTCGTCGTTACCTGACGACGCTGAAGAAGCCAACCTAAGCCGGCCAGGGACCAAAGGCTGGTAGAGCACAGGCCAGAGAGCGACTGGAACAGCGCGGGAGTGAGTGGGTGTGAAAGTCTGGGAGCAGGAGCGGGAGCAGGAGCAGGAGCAGGAGCATCAGCGTAGATGGATGCGACATTGACGCTGCCCGGGAGCCAATGGGATGCGTCCTCGGTGGAAGGTCCGGGCGCCGGGTCGAGCTTCCTTCCACGGGCACCTAATCATGGCGGCCCCGCCGTCGTTAGCTTCCTGCCTGCCCAGGGCCCTGCTTGTCTGCTGTCTGCGTCGGCACGCCGGGTGCCATGGCTGGCAGGCGCAGGCAGGGCAGGAAAACAGGGGGGAAGCGCGGGAACGCTTGGTACCGTGGTATCTTGATACATTGGGTGGGGAAAGTGAGGGACGCCCCATCCAGAGTGTTGCCAAAAACAGTCAAGCCAACCTCTGAACAGAGAACAGCTAGGTATGAGCTTGCCCATCTTGGACACTGCCAGCATCTCAGCAACAAGAAACAATGAGGGAGCCAGCTAAGCACTCGGGGTGCTTTCCCTCCCTGGAACTATTATCTACTTGCGCCTTTGTCGCTTTTGATCTTCTCTTCTTTCCGGCTCAACTTGTCCCGCCTTGGTCCCATCTTGGGAAAACTCCAGTATTCCAAGAAGCGACCGGCGTACCCGGCGGAGCCAGAGCTGCACACTAATAGGAGTAGGGGACGCTCAGACTAAGAGACCCAAAAGTTTCGGGGGTTGAACGACGCGCCCCAGGCTGACGACATCTTCCAGATCGATATCAACCGATAGTCTGGGCCGTCAGGACCGGATATCACGATACTAGATCGCCGACAAATGCGTGATGGGCCCTGGTAAGTAGCTTTGCCTGGCAAGCCGTGTTGCAATCCGTGACAACATCATCTCCGCTCGAGAAAAAACGGCAACTCCAAGCCTCATGTCACCCACTATTCCCGCCATGTCCGAATGTCTCCTGCTGCCGGCGGAGACTTCTCTTTCCGCGGCCATTGCAGAATTTTCGGGAGACCACGGCTTCCATCGAAACTCGAAAGGAGAAATTGCCAAGAATCCTTTCAGAACTACGTTGTTACAGCACACCGAACCTTGGGCTAACCACCGTCGTGCAAGAAAACAAAACAGCGGTTCGCGTAGAAAGTATGTCTAAGTTTCCAGCAATACCCTGTTTTCGAACAAGATCGTCTGCCCAACCCCGGTCAGGTGCCTTGGCTTCACTGGCCCCTCCCTGCAACTATGTGCTGCCGCCAAAGGACCCCTGATTTTGTGTTGTCGTCGCTGTCACCCGCCCTTTTCAGTCTTTTCTATCAGCCGCCGTCTGCCAGGAACCTAATCCGAAGAACGAGAGGTGATACAAACAACTCGATTCGCTGCCATTTCTGGCTTGTTGGATGTGAAGTGGGCTAATCTTTGGTCGCGGCATGGTAAACAACACGGAAGGTTGTTACTCATTTCGCGCACAGCCAATATTAGGATGGAGTGATTACGGCGTCACCATCGCCGACTCATGTCCCGCCTTGGTTCGGTCCCGGACGAGTCGTCGCGTTTCGATTGCCTGTCTGTCGCCGTCGGGATTCCAAGTTTCTTCCCAGTCTGCCGTGCACCGCCGAGACCGATAGCTCCTAATATGGAAAGAGATTGACGTCTCAACCCACGATGGACCTCGACACGTGTTGGGGGCTTAGAAATAAAATGTCGAGCGGCAGAGGGCCGTCATTTTTGTGTGCAAGGAATTGATATGATTGGGTGGTTACCCTGGAGGACCCTTCATGCGTCTGTGAAGTCAAATATAAACGAGCAATGTCGTCAGAGGGCGACATTGAAACATGCCGAGCAACAACGGAGCAGGCGCAAAACGAGATCGATACCAGTAAGCCAGCAATGTTCTAAAGTCGACTTCCTTTCGGTAACGAGATTCAACACGACGGAACCATCCAAGATGTCTTATCTGCCCTGGAAGTAGGGTAACTCGTAGGAGAGGAACCGCTGCCGGCCATCAACACGAAGCCTTTCTCCATCACGGGATGCTCGAGGATCGGCCAGAGCCCTGCAAACTCTTTCAGGATGAAAACAGGCAATAGGGCTCATATGACATCATATAGATGCAAGGAAGCCGTCCTGAGAAAACTCTTGTGTGGTAGGATGAGATCCACAGGAACCACTTTGGTGACTCGCTCACCACGCATCCGTCCGGTGGGTGGACTCGATACAGTCTTTCAAACCAATAGTGAAATGTCCGATTGGGTACAGACACCGTGAGAATTTCAGGCTGTCAAAAGTCAATTGTCCTGGGCCACGTCATGGTTCGCCAAGGAATGACATTCTATCTTCCCCTGTGAGGGGGAGATAGTGACTGAGACGGTTATGAAGATGGGACACCGTTCATATAACGTTTTTGAAGATCTTTTCGAACGGTTCAGGGACCAGCGCAGATCTTATAAGCCGGATCGGGTAAGGTCTGGAAGAACAGACCACCTGACAGGTCACCTGACACCGCGACAAGTGCTGGGCGAGGGTGTCTTGAAGCGCGTCTGCCCCTCAACCAAGACCAGATCCATCCCAAAGACCTCAACCAACCGATCCGCGCCCAATCCAATCGGTGCATCCGCCGCCTGCCTGTCAGCATCGTAGCCTTTTTGGGATCATCTCAGATTCTTGCCCAGCCAGCACATTGGACCAAGAACACCGACATACACAAACCATGGCCGAAGCGACCTCCACCCCGCGCATCACGGCGCAGTACCTCGACAACTACGTCGGCCGGAACGTCATGCTCATCGGCAAGGTTCTGCAGCTGCGCGGCGAATCTGCCGTTCTTGATGCGGATGGCAATGTCACTGCTATTCTCAATCGCGTATGTCTTTCCTGGGAGCTTTCCAGTGAGGTTTCATGGCCTTGCTCGAGCGACTCCGCTACCCAAGGCACCTTGGGTAGACAGAAACCTAACCCTTGATAGGATGTCCACCTCACCAATGGCAGTGGTGCTCAGATCATTGGCAAGGTCAACCCAGATCTATCAATCAAAGTCCTTACCTCCCGCGATCTGGGAGCCGGTGTCGGTAAGTACCACTTCTAGGCATCTTTCTGGAATTCCTATCTTCAATCAGGTCAAACGGCATTCTGTGACGGGACTGAAGAAGTCGGTTGAGACCGATGATTGTACCCTTGACACATCATCTTCTTGGAAGTCCACTCTCCCAGATCACGCTCAACAACACCTCTCGCAACCCCTAGCAGCATCGTGCATGATGACCAACCCGCCAAGCACACCGCTAACAACAGTCCAGACTACCAGCTCGCCGCGGCAGTGGTAGAGGCAACCCATCACTACAAGCACCTCTTCGTCTTTGACAATTGACGGCACCAGCCGTCCGGGCGCGTGTACGGGCGCAACCAAGTCACCATCCCCGCACCCAGTCAACCCGCTCACACCCCGCCTCGAGCTTCCGTGACCCGGCCGGCGACGACGACTACCACAATGGCGAACCCCACTCAGCCGTACCGACGGCAGCAGCAGACACCATCACCCACCCAACGTCAAACACCGCAATATATCCCACCCACGCCAGACCCGCCCTCCCCGGATTTGACGCGGCATCAATCAACGCCCCTCATCCCGTTAACTCATCCGCCGTCACCACAGACCCATAAACGCCATGCTTTCACTACCCAGGCATCCCAACATCCCCCACAGCAGCGCGATCGAGGCCATCGGCAATCTTCGGCCGTGAATCAGGATAAGAGAACAAATATCCCCCATGGCCCTTCGCAAACAGTAGCTTTACCTCCCACACCGCCATCACCCGATATACCCTCGCGACCAAGCTTTGCCACGTCTACCTCTACCTCTTCCTCTACCTCTAGGCATCCACAGATTGAGGGTTCTTCCGAGGGCTCCGAGAGTACCATCAAAGCTAGAAAAGAAGAACGAGATGTTGAACAACGCAGGCCTCGGCGGCAAAGGTCGAGACCAAAGGAGCTAGAAGTGGAGGACAAGGAGGTTATCGACGACTCGGAACTGCTGGGTGCTGTTCTGGACGGTATCGGACGTATGATGGTCGGCACCGTTGCCATGCGCATGGATGATGCAGGCCGGTGGAGAATCCGCCGTGGCCCAGGGGATGAGAGTGCTTAGTATCCCGTTGTGCTACTTTTGGGCTCCGCGGTAATGCTCAATCAGGGGCGTGCTTTACAGTCAACCCCCTTTGCATATCATAAATACAACAACTTCATGACAGCACCTTTATTGACTCGTCGGTGTAGGATATGTAAGACCATATCGATACACAGACTACTTTAATCTCTACAAAAAAAGCCCCAGCGCATACTGGAGACTTCCCAACGCCCATATCCTGACACAGCCGGCCTGACAACCTCCCGCGTCAATATTCAATTTCCGTCGTCCAATAGCAGCTCTTGTGCCGCCTCCCAAACCTGAAGCAATGCTTCCTCTGTTATTTTCGGCCAATGATGTCCACCAAGGCCTCCCGAATGTCGGGCGCCACTACCGTGCCTGTTGTCGTTCCACCAAGCCGCAGCCCGGCCATCGCTGCTTCTCGTTCCATCCATGCCCCTCATCGCCCTTCTGATTCTCTCCGCCACAATTTCTCCATCTTCTGTAGCCACCGTCTCGGTGCTCTCTCCCTCGCTTTGCAATGTTCCGTCAGTGTCGTTCTGCGCATCTCCTCCTTTGATACCCTTCAGTCTCCGCGTGAAGTGTTCGAGAACCGACACTCGCTTCTCTGCGGCTTCGGCACGGGATTTCCACATGGCACACTCTCGTTTTGCCACTCGTAGCTGTTCACTGAGTGTTCCAATGTCTAAATTATCTCTGGTCTCAAGTTGACGCCTAAGAAACGCGCTCTCCTCATTTTTAACATCTAGCTGCCTCCGAAGATTGCGAATTTGTGCATGAAGCATGGAGTTGTTGCCTGGGCTTCCTGCTCGTACTGGAACGACATCCTCACTCGGTTGAAGCACTGATAGTGTGGATGGGGGACGGGAAAATATGACATGCTGTGCGATAGGAGGCTGCTGGGCGGGCTTTGTCATTGTCCCAAGATTAGGCAAATTCCTGTCATCGTCCCGAGCAGTTATGTTTGGAAGAGACTTCTCATGCCTCGAGGTATCTGGCGTCCGCCGAAGTTGTGACAGAGATGGCCTGCCGAGGTGCAAGGCACCTCCGTGAGCATCAACTGCTTGAGAAACAGTCAGCGAGCCGGTGCTATCAGTGATAGACCGCAAATGATGGCTTATCGGTTGAAAACTTGCAACCGGAAGCCCGCAGTTTGGATCTGTGTTTCCATTTCCAAGACTCGCTGCCGAAGTCTTTGTCTTTGGCGTCTTAAGCGATAAGGTATCTTGCTTCGACCGGGACGGACCGAATACTGTCTCACTCTGCCGAGAGTGACGAGACGTTGTAGGAGAAGACACATAAGGCGACTCCTGGGATGCAATTTCAAACATGGCCGCCATGGCTCGCACTCCGACTGGTTTCGAGACAGATCCATGTGATGGCGTTGAACTGCCAAAGCTCCCACCAGAAGGGCGCGCCGGCGTCATGACAGGTCTCAAACTTGATGCTCGGGAGCGTTGTGCAATATCCCCTGCCATGGATGCTACGCTCTGCGGCCTTGAAAGAGTTGACTGAAGTGTTGGCGGTTCTCGGGGCTTAAAGTGATCCTGAGAAATACCATCGTTCAGAGCGGTCTGCTGAGGACCGAACTTATGTGCATGGCCCTTCGGACCTCTAGTACCGGCCGAACGAGAATGATTATCGTCAAAAAGATCCGTCGATGGCAGCCTTTCCTATAGCGCCTCTGGCAAAACTTTCACGGTAAATCGGGGTTGAGCCTGTGAATCGCTTTTGTCCATCAACTGTTTTGGGGTGATATTAATGGACCCATTGCTTCCAGATCTGGCATTTAATTTTGTAATTTGCCGTGGACTTGGAGAAGGTGGGTTCGAACTTGGGATATCTTCGTCTGGTTTCTTGCCACCTAACCGGCTACCATCGAAGCTGTTGCTTCTGTGATTCGCTCCGGCCAAAAGAGACTCGTCAAGAATGCTCCCAGTACACCTTGCGCCGCTGTCAATCTCACGACCGCCGGTTTCTACATATGGCACATGCTCTGACGTCGGTCCTGTGATGAAGACATTGTTGGATGGAGTGGGCGTATATGGGCTCATAGCGTCCGGCGATGTATGCCTTGACTTGGGAGTTTTAGGTGTTGGGCTTTCTGAACTCGCAGTTCGACTTGGGTTACTCCTAACAATTCGACGAAGTGCTGAGGAAACCATCCCGCTTGTCTTTGGCTTGGAGTTCTCCGAAACCTTCAAGGAATCGTTTCCTGGGTTGATTACATTTTTATGTACGGGCCAGACGCGTTTCTCAGATCTCGTGTACCCCGGTAACGGTTTAGAAGATGCCTTCGATGAGTTCCTTCCGGGCATCACTTCATCTGATACACGGGGGCTCTCGATTGAACGCTGAGCACGACGGCTCCCCAGTCTGCGGTCCATTTCAACCGACGTCTGATCCTTTTCGATGTCCCCGGATGAACGGATCAGACCTTCTTGAGGAGTCTTGTGGGATTTGATGGCGTTTGAGCATGATGGTTGTGGTGTATTCTTGGACCTAACCGGCGAACCCTTCTCTAATGCCTGGGTGCGCAGTGAAGCATCTTTCATGTCTGACGCCAGCTTGCTCTCCCTAAGGCTTCTATCATCTGCCATACTTTCCTCCGCTGTTGGGGACAGTGGATTGAGGGACTGGCGCAAAGATAATCTGTTTGAGAATTGCGCATGCGTAATTTTCGGCCGCAATCTTTTAACGTGAAGTGACTCGTCCAGATTGCCAGTGGTTTTCGACAATGTCAGACCTAAGGCCTCTGCAAGTGTGTGTCAGCCTTTTACCGTCCTGATACAACGGATGCACCTCTGCTTACTTGATGCTGGTGTGGGAGTGGTGGGTGATTGTGACCTCTGCCGACTGGTCGAAGACCGCGGCGAAGAGTGCTTGCTCTTCCAGCCTCTAGGCAATCCAACGGCGAGAGAGTCAGAGTTTGATGAACGAAGGAACCTCCGCCGGCTCGTGCTCTCCAGATCTTCATTTGACTCCCGGAAACTCGATAAGCTTTTCATATTCCGCACTACTTCTCTCCAATTTGAGATGAGCATTTCGGTGATGTCGTTCGCCACATGAATTTTGTCGACAGACATGGGACCTTTGTCGTTCTGTGCGGTGTCCTTACGTTGCCGTTCCATTTTCAGTCGCGGCGGAGTGAGAGGAAAAAGCAATAGACCTGAAGAAGGATTTGCAAGCTTCATTGCGTAGGAGTCAAGCAAGTCGCCGACGAGGAGGGGGCCAAAAACGATTCCCAAAGCTGCGTATCCCATCAAATCTGACGTTGGAAGTGGCCGGCCCTGTTCATCCTCACGGGCCGCTGTCTCGGCAGCTCGTCCAATGAGGGATAGGAGGCCAATTACAGCGCATATCAGCTCTCGACGGAAGTGAGACTTGATTGTTCCAATAGCCATGGCAATGAGCCTAGCACGAAGCTTCGTCTCTTTCGTCCTGCTGAGTTCCGGCTCTCCACGAAGCTGACTGTGAATCGCGACTAACGCGTCAAAAAGCGGGAGAGAGCCGAGGATACCGCCCGGAAGTACGGACAGTAGTTTCTTGAAAGCCGAAGCTACGTCTTGCGCGCCAGCGTTGATATGTGATGGTAGAGTAGGACAGCGTATGGTACTTGTAATTTCCTCTCCGGGTTTTTCATAGCAGTAGTAGTCAAAAATTGCATTGACAACACGCAGCGAACCGGGAATGCGGAAGACACCGCGTGTAACAGGCCCTGTAAAGCAACTTATCAGAAAAAGCTTTGACGTGTGTGTTGATTATTGTTGCATACCGTACTGGGCCAAGTATTGAGCAGTAGCCCGGAAGCAAGTTGGCACAACTAGTGAGCTGGGGGCATAGTCGGCAGGGAGATGGAAAAGGCTCTTCCCGCTCAGTCGAACCATAGTCTGGAGATCAAGTGCTTTAAGCTCAGGTTTGCGAGAATGAACTAAGTGCAGGGCAATATCACTGACGCTTCGCTTGTGACGGACTGCGTGGGGTGATCCTCGCGAAGTAGGCGAATGTCCCGATGACGTTGAACGGAGTACTCGGGACCACCACCTTCGTTTCTCAGTCATAACGGCTGGCAGTGCATGTCGCTAAACCTATGAGTAATGATTTGTGCCTCGCAAAAGGTGACACTTACTCCTCCCTCGAATTCATCCACCGCAAGTGCTCGAATCCCGTGCTGCCGATACATGTCAGCAAAACCTTGAAAGCTTTCTCAAGAATGGGAGCTGTTATACCCTCTTGGCCAATCGGTTATACTCCTGCACGAATCTTCGACGGTCCTGGATCTCGTCCGTGTCTGACAACATGGCCAAATCCCCCACAGAAGACGCCCATGTCGCGCTGCTCGGGAGAGCCCTGCTCCGTCGACCTTCTCCAACGATCAAAGCAGGAAGAGTGTTCGAACTGGCTAGCGGTTGAAGATTGACCCTTGATGATGGTATGGAGGCCACTATGGGTAACTGAGGGGCGGCAGTACTGGTCGGTGCAGTGCTGATGGTTTGGCTTTCGAGGGTGCCGGTTTCGAGGTCTCGAGACACCGCCGATGATAGAGATGGGTCATTATCGTAAGGCTGCATCACGAAAAAGAAATGGAATCTTTGGCCAAAAGTCGACAGTCGGGAACACTGGGGCCGCTGGTACTGTTTGAGTTTGAGGAGGAGAATATCGAATGTCGGGTGTCGAATAATGGCGACACGCGGGGCGATGGGAAACATTGGAACACCAATGGCGCTTGATTCTGGTTAGCTAGTGCTCATGTGAAGGATACCGTGCCTGCCCAGCGTGGCCGGGCGGGCTGTTGGTGAACTGTTCGATGTCATCCCGAGTAAAGAGCACTTGCTTCAGTATCTTACCTTGTAGGATGTCTATTGCTCCTGCAGGGCTTCCCAGCGATGATCTCGGTGTTCGTCAAGTAAGGTAAGTACGTGCTTGGAAACCCTTCACATGGCAATTGCTCGGTATTTTGCAACCTCTCGAGAGGCAGAGTGGCACACGGCATTGGACAGCATTAATTTGGGGGGCATGTTCTCATTTCGTAATGCATCCAGGTTGCCAACTTCTCCGCGAGCCTCCCGATCGTCTATAATGAAGAGAAAGAAAAATGATGAAACATGGGCACCGTCTGGTATTCCTTCCAGTTACGCCTCTTTACGCCTAGCACATGCTCATTACCAAGTCTACCGGTTCCCAAGTCATTCCAGCGAGGATCCGTCGCTCTTGGTTCTATGCAATTCCGTTTTTACTCCACCGTCATCGTCCCAAGACGTCGTCCTCTTCGCCGTGCAGAAGCACATACTTGAGAATGTCGGACAGGGAGATAACACCCGCAAGTCGGTTATCATCGTCCACTACTATCAGGCGATGTACTCTGGACTTACGGACGGTGTCGAAGATCGAGTCTAGTCTGTCCTCGGGACTGCAAGTGTAGATGCCTGGCGAGTCATCGGGACGCTTCACTAGTGCCTCTCCGATGCTAGATGATAGCTCTTCATAAACGCCGCCCTTAATGCACGGAATGATGTCGACGGCTTCGAAAACGTTCAGGAGACGGTTGTACTTATCAACAATCGGGACGCACGATATGTTTTGCTTGACCATCAGATCGACTACATTGAGGACAGAATCGTGCATCTGCGCTGTAGCAAGGTTGTTGTATGTGCCCAATCCGATCTCCCTGAGGGACTTCTTGAGTAAGACGGTGTTGTGCTCGTTGTTGACGGCGATGAATTTGAGAATTCTGTACTGCGTAATGACGCTCACAACCATCTCGCGCCCGGTCTCGTCGTCAAGGTCCACGAGAGGGATTCGGCGCGCGCGGGTCTTGAGCATGCGGCGGCAGGCCTCGTAGAGTGGTCTCATGGGGTTGACGGACACAGTCTCGAGTGGAGAGGCCCCGATGGCCTTTTCAATATCTGTCAAACCTCTTAGTATGCGACCAAAAGGCCTGGACGACGATGGGAGTGTCATTGACCTCGCAAGCTGCTGAGCCGGAACTGTTCTAGCTTATGCATCTCGTCAGGGAATTGACAGTAATATTGAATCACGTTGATGAAATCTGTCGCCGTCAGAAGGCCGGCGAATCTGGAATTGTGCGAATCCCATAGCGGCGCCGACACGATGGCTAGGACGGTGGTCAGATTAGACAGCTCGTTACGACGAGGCGACATGACTCGTACCGTTTTGAATGAGGATATTGAGACTCTTCTTGATCAGGAGATCGTTGTCGAGGACAATTAGGCGGAAGGAGAGTGGAAGGACATCGTAGCTGGTTCGGACCTTGAGGAAATCGCGAATCGCCCTCTATAAAGACGGGGAAAGTTAGTGACGATTCGTTGCAGTACAAATATGCCCACTCGCGACGGCCTCGAAGCAGAAGCACAACCCCGCATGCGATCGCATCTTGGGGCGCACCTGGGCACAGGCACAGAAGCTGGCGGTGCGCAAGATGACCGAGGGAGGGGCAAGGGGCACAGGTAGCTTACCAGGCCTTGAATCTGGTCCTTGTCGAGCGGGCTAAGCGGTTTCTCTGGCATTTTGCGAGCGACCGAGGGTGGTCTTGGGCGAAGGTATGATGAGGGCGTGACGAAGGGAAGCTCGTGACCATGTGGTCTCGCGATGGACGCAGCGGTAGCGACTACGGGCGGTTGTAGTGGACCATTACCGCTAGGCTGTTGTTGACCTGGATGCGACGTGGGCATGGAACCAGGACCGGCATTGTCCTTCGAAGCCGAGGATGAGGGGTCGTCCATTGCTTCGTCGTGCGAGGGCTAATGGCGCGCGTGGCCCCTCTGGACGTGTGGGAGGAACGGCGGGAGACGGGCAACGGGAGGCAGAGACAATAGGTGGGAAGGAAAAAACGGAAGGGTGGAATTCGTGGTTTGGAGAATGGGTCGGGCTGGACTGGACGCCTTGGTGATTTTCCCTTGCGCCGTTCTTTTCCCCTCCCAACTTGCATCAGGAAGCAACGAGATTAAGTCAGAGGCAAGGTAGGTAGTATGTAGTAGGTAGTGGCACTGATGGCACCGGCAGTACAAGTACATGGCAAATAACATTTATCTCAGCTGTCCCGTCCCTCTTGTGTCGTCTGTGAGGAAAAGTACCCACTGTAACTAGGTATATCTGCCTTGCCCTCTCTCTGACCGTATCTCTGTTTCTACCTATACTGTAGGTATCGGATATTCATCAGGTACCTACCCAGTGCTACCTTACCTTAGTTACCTTACCTTACCTAGGTGCCTTACCTCTTGGTAAGATAAGGTAGATAAGGATAAGGCACGGCAAGTTACCTCAGACCGGCTGGATTTCTGATGGGTTGAACTTGGGCAAACCTACCCGATTAAAGTAGTTGGGGGCGTCGACCGTCTGATTCATGGTGCTGTGACTTTGAATCCAAGCAAAACCTGGCGTGTGATAGCGCCGCCATACTCATAGCTAGTGCTTAGTGCTGCCGCTCAACCTGCGCAGCGGCGTCAGCTCCTTGTGATGATGATGGAGGCAAGCGAATGTGTGATGACGAATTTTTCGTCGTTTGCGATAACACATTCCTTCCGCATGAAGCTCCCATGCTTGGTCAATATAATGGAAACAAGTCCACAGGCAGGCCAAGAGGTACGGTGAAGTGCACGACAGACTGATACGTGCTCAGCTGACGGCAACCGGCCAAAGATGATGGGAAAACGAAGCAGCCGGCTGATGAAGGACTTGTCGTTAAGATGCTACTTAGCCAAAATAGTCATTCAATAATCGCACTCACGCGAGTTGCGGTGACTACAATCTCACAGGGATAGGAGACCGGTTCAGCAGATTCGTTCAACACTGTAGACTATCTTCCAACAGGGAAGCCGAACGATAATCCCCTCGACCATCATTGTCCGATACTCGCCTTGCTCGAGACATGCTGTCTGGCTTCGTCTCAAGCTCGAGAGACACATCATAAATCTTCGATAGGGCGTGACGAAGCATGCACGCCCGAGACATTTTCTGAGAAAAAAAAAAAAAAAAAAAAAAAACTACCTTCACTTCACCTACGCGACAGCCTTCCCGTTCGCGCATGAGTCTTACTTCATACAGACCGCATGAGAACGAACTACTTGTATTTCGTCTCTTTTGGTCTTGCATCGCCAAAGCATCACGTTTGTGACAGCTGCTAGTGAGAAGGTCTCAACCCGGGTGGACTTGGTACGGATAACCACCAGACGTAGCATCAAAGCCATAATCGCGTGTGACTGAACCCTGGATTTCCGGTCACGATGATCTTGGCTCCATATCGCCGGTTGGAAGGAAAGTCACGGCAATCAGGTAAGCTATCTTCGGCGATGGCTGATGTATGACGAGGACCTACTGACTTGGGGTGCTGTGCTCATCTGAAGCTTTACGTTAGTCTCGCATAGTGTCCGTACATAAGGTACTGGTAAGTAGATGGCACTGGCGGAACCACCGAAAGGGCAATCGTAAGGTAGTGTGTATCGTGGAGCAACGTAAACTTCTCGTGTTACATTTCAATGCGACCTCAGGGAGGCATGCGTTCCGAGATAAGAGCGATGTCACCATCTGCCTCAGGTGCAAAGTGTACTTGGGCTGATGGTAGGTGAAGGTTGGAAATAGTCTTCATCACAGCCCTCCATGAGAAGCCTATGGAAGCCTGTCACGCATTGCGATGGTGCAGAAAGATAGAGTCATGTCAAATTCAAGCCACCGCGTCGCTAGCGTAGGTCAAGGAATGCTGTCACCCTGGGTGGGCTAGGTAGCCGCCACACACCGCAGACTCTCCCATCTGGATGAAAGGAAAGAATGTCGATGCAAGATGGGGCGGCACGGCGGGTGCACAGCACAAGCTTGACAAGCTCCTCTCTTCATGGAAGGCGCCTATTGAGTCCCCACACATAAGGGCATGACTGGAAGGAAGTAGTGGAAAGGGAGCAGAATGGTCCGTGCCCTTACCGCCCGATCAAGCTCGAGGCTCTGGGGTTGGAGTCTCCCGCGGCAGGTCCGCCCGAGGGACGAGAATATAATGTAGGAGGAGGAGGAGGAGGACTGCAGCGGTGCGAACTTCGAAGAGTGAGGCGGCGGGTGGGGTCGGTCTCTTTTTCCACGTCTCGTCGGGGACAAACAACCGTCCACTCATATCACGATTAAAAGCCGGACGACGCTGCAGGTACACTCGATACGTACCTCTTGCTCTGGGTCCCTCAAGAGCCTCTAGACCGAAACGAGTTAAATGGCAGGTCCAAGGTCACCAGTCCCACACTGGAACTGGGTTCCATGGGCCTTGCTTCGCTGTACGAATACTGGAGCTGGTGCTGGCACTGCACCGCTGTTTTGTGCTGTGCTGTCTGACGCTTTCCGAGCAAGGCAGCGCTGCTTTCCATTTGCTCGTTGCTTGGTGACTGCCAGTACTTTTGCCAAGGTACTTGGGTACCTTGCCTCTTGTCGTTCCCGTCCCCACTAAGGTAGCCTCAGAAAGGCCCAGTGCTGCTGGTCCGATTGCTGCTACTGCGGGTTGCTGCAACCTGATCCTGGGTCAATGCTCCGCGAGACAACTGGAGCAGCCGTCGCTTTCTTCCCAATCCCTCACTTGACCGACTCTATCGCCCATCAACCGACCGACCTTCGGGCCCCTCCCACCGGGCAGTAACGAGCATCGCAATCCGCTGGCCATCGACTTCCATCAAGATTGCCTCTTCGGTTGGCTTCATCGTCAAATCGACACGGCTATCGAGTCGTCAGAGTCACCGCACATTCCGCATCCCTCTGGTCGTTGGGTGGCCAAAACGTTTGTGTTGTGAAGAGAAGCCCCGTCCAAACAAACAAGCCCAGCTTTCTGGACCACCACCACGACATCGAGTATCGATACCATCGACGTTGGCCCTTGTAGCCCAGCTCGGCCATGGGAGCCTGCCATTCATGCTGCGGAGGTACTAGCTTTCCGTCACCATGTCGACTGGATTGCCTAAGCTAATGGTGACCGTTTAGGGAGAGCCCGCGATGGGCTTTATGAGCCAGTTCTCGCCGATAGCGAAAGAGAAGCCGTTGCCGACCTTCTCCAGTACCTTGAAAATGTACGCGTATCTTCGCTGTGATTTATCTAGTCGACTTTTCATACTGACATTGTTTCAGCGGGGTGAAACGGACTTCTTCTCAGGCGAACCCCTTCGAGCTCTTAGCACCCTCGTCTTCTCCGAAAATATTGATTTGCAACGAAGCGCAAGCCTCACTTTTGCCGAAATCACGGAGCGAGGTTTGTTCCCGGCGTTCTAGTCGCTTGCAGAATCACATCGAGGATGCCCTTTGCGACTTAGCATATGACGACCCCGGTCCACATCGCCTAGATATGCTGACAAGCTGCCGTAGATGTTCGCGAGGTCGACCGTGATACCCTTGAACCGATCCTTTTCCTCTTGCAAAGCCCCGATATTGAGGTTCAGCGCGCCGCCAGCGCAGCACTAGGGAACCTAGCAGTCAATAGTAAGCTGGCCGTCGCAGGGAAGGTTGGAGGATAGATACTGACCCGATCCATCAGCCGAGAACAAAGTTTTGATCGTCCAGCTTGGTGGACTCACGCCACTCATTAGACAAATGTTGTCGCCGAATGTTGAAGTGCAGTGCAATGCAGTTGGATGCATCACGAATTTGGCCACACACGAGGAGAACAAGGCAAAGATCGCTCGCTCTGGCGCCTTAGGCCCTCTGACGAGGCTGGCAAAATCGAGGGACATGCGAGTTCAGAGGAACGCAACTGGAGCTTTGCTCAACATGACACATTCAGGCAAGACGTCTTTATTTTGTAGATACTGACCACGAGCTAACCCGTGTGATAGACGAGAATCGCCAGCAACTCGTTAATGCCGGGGCGATTCCGGTTCTTGTCCAACTTCTCTCCTCGGCCGACGTCGACGTCCAGTACTACTGTACTACGGCTCTCAGTAACATCGCGGTCGATGCTAACAACCGACGCAAACTTGCTCAGACGGAGTCAAAACTCGTCTCTTCGCTGGTCACGCTCATGGATTCATCATCACCCAAGGTTCAATGCCAGGCAGCCCTCGCCCTCCGCAACCTGGCCTCGGACGAGAAGTACCAACTCGATATTGTGCGATCAAACGGCCTTGCACCATTGCTTCGACTTCTGTCCTCTTCCTACCTACCTCTAATTCTTTCCGCCGTCGCTTGCATACGGAACATTTCGATTCACCCCCTGAACGAGTCACCCATTATTGAAGCTGGTTTCCTGAAACCCCTGGTCGACCTGTTGGGCTCTACCGAGAACGAAGAAATTCAGTGCCACGCCATCTCGACCCTTAGGAACCTTGCTGCCAGCTCTGATCGTAACAAGGCTCTCGTCCTTGATGCTGGCGCAGTTCAAAAGTGCAAGCAGCTTGTGCTCGACGTGCCGGTTACGGTTCAGTCTGAGATGACTGCCGCAATTGCAGTCTTGGCTCTCAGCGATGAGCTCAAGTCTCATCTTCTCAACCTTGGTGTCTTCGAAGTTCTTATTCCCCTCACTCATTCGCCTAGCATCGAGGTCCAGGGCAACAGCGCTGCAGCGCTTGGCAATCTCTCTTCCAAAGGTACGTTCAATTCAATCATCCTAGGTTAAACTCTCATCTAAAACTTCGATAGTTGGAGACTACGCGGTTTTCGTTCAAGACTGGAAAGAGCCCAACGGCGGTATCCACGGATACCTGACGAGATTCCTCCAGAGCGGTGATGCTACGTTTCAGCACATAGCAATCTGGACCCTGCTACAGCTGCTCGAGTCCGAGGATAAAAATCTCATTCAGTTGATTGGTCAGGCACAAGACATTGTCGACCAGATCAAGGAGATCGCCAACCGCCAAATCGAGCCAGACAACGAATTCGAAGACGACGATGAAGGCGAAGTTGTCAACTTGGCGCAGCGGTGTCTTGAGCTGCTCGGCCAGAGTGGCTCAAAGTCTCACATTGAGGGTTAATGACGATTTCGGCCAATGCATCTCGCAACATTAATTTATTCTCCAACTTCCCTTACGGGGTGCTACAGCAGCACCGATGGGCTTGGGGGTTTCGGTCGGTGGTGTTTCGGCGTTGGTCATGCAGAATGAGATTCGGTTGTTACGTTGAGTGTATATTTCGGCGTGGAAGCATCTTGAAGGAGCGTTTATTTTGGCGTGCTTACCCCGACTGGCGAGATTACGCCGTCAGAGAGGGGTTGGCTAGTTTCTCCTACTAGGAAGACCCGAACCTTTTACTTTGTATCAAGCATCATGGCTCGTTTGTCGGGCCATCCGTGTCTCATATTACTCGGCCTGTCATCAGGCTTGATGAGCTTTTCTCTGGTGCCATTGGCTCCGCTACCGGTTGTAATTAGGATCATACTTTAGAGGATCGAAGGGACAACTCACAATATGTGACCAGTTCAGTTTACGGAGTTCACCGTCCATATCTTTCTTGTCTTCCCCGTCTCGTATTGGTGTGACGCGAATGTTGTGGCATGATTGCTCTTAGCACTTGTGCATCATTCACTCCCAGCCAACTTAAACATCGCGAAGCCCGTTCCCGGCTGCCCCTCCGGATGAGAAGAGGGATAGCCACCATGGCTTCTCAACAGCTTTGCCCCTAATGAGAGCCAAAGGCACCGGACCATACAGTCGCGAGTCTCTAGATGCTTCGAGATTATCACCCACAACCCAGCAATGACCTTGAGGGACCTGCACATATATTCTTAGTAAGAAGGATCGGGAATGAATCAGATGTCATTACCTGAATCATCTTCGGCGTCTTTGCATCAGGGCTGCCGAGCAGGACGTAATCGCCTGGCATGCCCATCACGCGTTTGATGCCATCGGATTCTGGGAAGATTGGAATCTTGAAAAGAACCAAATCGCCAACATGTACGTTGCGGCCGCACCGAGAACGGTGGTCGACGAGAATGGATTCACCTGCGACTTCCAAGGTTGGAAGCATGGACGGCCCTGACGCCGGGCCCATGAACCAACCATATTCCATCATGACATGGCTAAGGGCCAAAGTTTTCCCTACGTTCAAGGCCAGACGAATGGGTCTTCCTGCCATTGTGCTGGCCTGCTGCGTCCGTGGATTTGCCGTGGATGGATTGCCTGAATGTTTGCTCTTCGCCATTCAGGGCGTTGAGACGGGACATGAAGTGACGAGACACGCGGAGCCGGCGTTCCGCTGGAGCTTGGACCATTGAAAGCTCGTCGCATTGTGATGCATGATTGGTGGAAGAGCTACCTTACCAAAGAACCCCATCTGTCATTCGCCTGCGTGCTTCTGCTCCTAATTTCTGCAATTTGCAACCACCGATTCAGCCCAAACCACAACTGTATAGCCGCACAACAACGGCAAGACCGGCGAATTCGTGCTCCAGCCGACACTCCTGAAACCTTGAAACAGGTCTTACACGAAGTGGCGGGGTCGCAGAGCAAACATGAGAATCACACGATGCCTGTACAACAGCAGGACGGCTCTGCATAGAGTATTTGTCTCGCCCTTTGAAAAGGTGGAAGCACTTTCACGACGAAGCGCTCTTCTGAACCCAGGCTCCAGAGCTCTACCAGCAATCCTGTCACCGCCGTTGCAAGGTTTCGCACGCCACGCCGCCCTCATCCCCCGATTCAAGAAAAAAAGGCCATCGCCATCGGACTCGGCACCCGACGCCGCTGCCCCCAAGCCAGGCCAGCTTCCCCAGGACCGGGCAATCTACGATCGTGAAGTCATGGTTGTCGACGAGAACAACAAGCTCACCGGCCCGCACAATACCCGCGCGGTCCTCAAGTCCCTCGACCCCGAGACGCAGTCCCTCCGAATGGTGTCCAGGGCGCCTGCGCGCCCTGCGCCAGACCAGCCACCGTTCGCAATCTGCCGCGTCATCGACAAGATTGCTGAGAAAGAACGCGAAAGGGCGCAACAGAAGGCCAAGAAGGATACCGCGCGCAGGTTGGCGAGGGTCAAGGAGCTCGAGCTCAACTGGGCCATCGCGCCGCACGACATGGGCCACAAGATGAAGCAGATGAAGACGTTCCTGGAGAAGGGGTACAAGGTCGAAGTCCTCTTTGCGAAGAAGAAGAACAGCAGAATCGCTACAAAGGACGAGGCCGACGCCCTCGTGCAGCAGGTCCGGGATGCCGTGGCAGAAGTTGCAGGTGCCAGAGAGTACAAGGAGGCCGAGGGGCAACCGCGCAAGGTCATGAAACTGTACTTGGAATCGCTGGCGAAACCTGGATCAAAGCCTACTCCTGCGGTGGAGGCTCCGGTGGCAGACGCTGTTCCGGAAGCATCGACCTGATGTGGGCTAGGCCGCCTGTAGAATGGGGTCCTCGAGCTGCGCTCGAAGACTTCGTGGGACGGCGCCTGCGATTCTGACAGAATCGGGCTTGACTTGTAAACCAGAGCTTCGCTGGGAGGCTTGTACCATAAGTGGTAAAGATGGGTGCACCGTCTAGAATAGAGCGCCTATGACACTTGTTTTCCCCTCTCCCTGACCCACACCCTATCTTCTCTGCTGAACGTGTAGATTGAACCGAGGAATTTGCTCTCTGTGGTGTGGTACGTAACAAGCTTACAAGGGTCTATACTGAGTATACAGTCTAATTAGTAACAAGACTTACTCGAGGACCTTTTAATTTGCTTGATATCTAGAAAGCTTTGCTGCCTCAACATCGCCGTCGGGACAGGAACTCTGAAGATACTTTCATCGTCTGTTCTCTCTTCTACAAATACTCTTCTTTGGGCTGCAAAGTGGAAGGAAAGGCTGTGCTTGTGGTACGACCCTAAACCTTTTTGTGGTGTGAATACCAAGTCCAACGGGTAAGTTTCATTCGAAATTCGTATATGAAAAATGCTTGGGGTTAGAGGAGAACTTCTTCCAGAGTCGATATCTGAATCTAGGTTGTCTGCTGCAAACATGTGCACTGCTGAGCAGTGATGGACACCGCAGCTGGGAACGTCATTCCCCGCACCATGCATGTAAGCTTTAGCGAGCTTTTAGCGCGGGGCACCCGTCGCATCCCGCCTCGCAAACCCCTGTGACTCAACCATCCAAAACTTCTCAGCCTCTTTGACTCAATCTAAAGAAACGCCGATCGCCAACCCGAAGGAGCGTCGACGACCACTCCCAAATTCAACTCCAATTGTACGATTTCCCAAACCCATCGGTCGAAATCGAAATAAGCCCACCAGAGAAATTTGACGAAACGAAACGAGGGATAGGGAAGGAGCAATGGCAACAGAGACACCCAGTACTGCGCCGCCCGGGGCCGTCGAGAAGAAGACCCAACAACCCGCAAAGAAAGATGGCGGAGCGCAAAAGAAGGACGCAGCAGCTGCGCCAGCAGAAGGAGGCGAGAAGAAGCTGTCTGGTGCCGAGTTGAAGGCAAAGGCAAAGGCCGAGAAGGCGGCGAGAAGAGCAAAGGCCAAGGAGGCGCAACCAGCACCACCACCTGGCCAGGGAGGAGCTCAGCAGAGCGGAGGAGACGCGAAAGGCGGAAAGTCGAAACCCCGACAAGATGGTCCCCAGAGCGCCGGTGCGAGAAGTGGTCCCGTGGCCAAGTCTGTTCCGGTCGCGGCTCCCAAAGATAACAAGCCCAAGGTCCCCGAGTGTTTCAGTCACCTGTCTATGGCCAAGAGGATACATATGACGGAAGTTGATAAGGATGTCCAACCGGCTGTTCTGGCGCTGGGTCAACAGATGAGCGCGTTTGCGATCACCGACAGTACTACGAGACTGGAGGCGACTCTGTTGGCATTCAAGAAGGTTGGCAACCCCGTCCCCCGAAACTCATCATATAGCGCAAATTTCCCTAACGTTGAATTAGGTGATTGAATCCTACACGACGCCCCCGGGCAACACATTCTCGCGGCATTTCACATCACACATCTTAAACCCCCAGATTGAGTACCTTTCGGCATGCAGGCCGATGTGCTTCTCCATGGGCAACGCTGTCCGCTGGCTCAAGCTCCAGGTCAGCAAAATCGATATCGACCTTCCCGATTTTGAGGCCAAGAAGCTCCTGCACGAGTCCGTGGACAATTTCATCCGCGAGCGCATCACCCTCGCTGACTTCGTCATCGTCAAAACCGCCGCCGACAACATTGCCGACGGCGAAGTCGTCCTGACGTACGCCCACCATCCACTCGTCGAGCGCGCCCTCCTCCAGGCCCACGCCGATGGCAAAACGTTTTCCGTCACCGTCGTCGACGATCCCTTTGAGAGCACCGGCCGCAACCTCGCGAAGCGGCTGCGCGCTCTGCAGGGCGTTGAGGTGGCGTACTGCCCCGACCTGAGCGCCATGCGGGACCACCTGCGCGATACGTCACGGGTGTTGGTCGGCGCGGAGGCCATGTTCAGCAACGGCGCCATGTACGCCCGGGCTGGTACGAGCGACATTGCCATTACGGCGGCCGATCAGGGTATTCGGGTCATGGCTCTCAGCGAGACCATTAACTTTACCGAGAGAGTCGCCATGGACTCGCTCACGTATAACGAAATCGACCCCGAGCAGAATACTGAGGAGGCTTTCAGACTGCTCTTTGACACCACCCGTGACCGTCATATCTCGGTGGTCGTTACGGAGTTGGGTATCACGTCACCCGTATCGGTGCCTGCTATCCTCCGGAAGTTGGAGGAGCTGTAGAATGGTGATGTAGAAAAGGGGCAGGTGATGAGTGTGACAACCATGGGGAAGGTTCGAAGGGATCGAGGGGTATCCATTGCCTTGATGGCCCCTTGAGATTTAGATACCAGTCATGATAGCTCGATTGAGATTGCACCGTAGGCCAATTGGGCAGAAGATTCAGTTCTGAAGTACGTGCAAGGCTTAGTTGACGATGGGCCTTCCCCCGGCGGTGACACTTTCAATATCAACGACTTTTACGGCGTCAATTACACCACTCTCTCTCTCTTCGCAGTATGTACAAAGGGAACCTCGCGCCCCACGGGGTTTCCCCTTTGGCATCCCAGCCAGTCCCTGAGAGGCTGCACGGCGCAACCCGAAATCTTCTTTCAGAGCGAGATGGTTCTACGAGGTCCCGAGCCGACCACATCCGAACCGCCCGACCATCATCGTCCACCCTCACTCAACGGCATCACAAGCTGTTCCCTCTCGATAGCCCTGGCGCATCTTTTTTTTTGCTGATCTTGTTTACAATTGATTTCGTTCCTTCACGCAGTGAACCAATTCTTTTAGGACTGGGCCTGCTCCTCCTCCTTGCGCGCCGCCGCCCTCGCGCGCTTCTCGAGCAGGATACTCTTGCGCTCGCCAAGAATGGACGTCTGCCTCTCGTCGACGCCCTGAAGCCAGTAGCCGAAGCTGCCGCCGCCGATCATGTAGGCCGGGTAGGCCCAGAGGGACTCTTTGTTGAAGAAGGGGCGCATCTCGATGCCCATTTGCCAGAAACGGACGGCGAAGCCTGTTGTTGCAGCGTCCAATGTCAGTTGCTTTGTTCTGCTTTTACGCAATTGGTGCAATACGGATAGAGAAGGCTCGTGACTATTCTCATCGTCTTGGTTGAGTGGACTCTGTGGCAGACGGGGGCACTGTTCCGTGGATGTCGTCTGAGGGAAGGGGGACTGGGTATCACGCACCGAAGCCGCTCCAAAAGAGGACCCTGCCGACCATTGTAACTGTAGTGGTGTCTGTCTCGGGCGGTAATAGTCAATTGACGAAGTTGTCGGGGGTGCTTCTCCGCCGGGACGTTGAAATGTAGGCAGTCAATTTCCTGATGGGCCGTACGTTCGGGATACAATGTGAAGCTCCCCGGGGACGGCTGCAAGGTGTGTGGCAGGTCCGCGTACCCGCCGTGACGCCGGATGCCCAATCGCTGGGTGATGCGGAATAATTGCAAATCCAGTTTTTCCGATTCGGTCGTTGGTGGGCTGGGGTTATACGGGCCATAGCGCTGTAGGCCCCTAGGAAAACGGGGGATTTAGGTGATCATGCGCTGGGTTACCGCTGAGACATATAGGCCCTGGGTCCACTCAATGTTTCCTACATACTCAATGTCAATTTCTCTACAAATTTTCAACAGTATCCGATATGGTGTAGTGGCCAACATGATGCCCTCTCATGATTTGAGAGGTTAGGCATAGCCCCGAGTTCGATTCTCGGTTTCGGAATCTTTTGCCATTTTGGCCACTAACTCCAGCTCGATATCCGTCTAGCTTTGTTTGTGACTGGCGACTTACTCAATAACTAGTTTAGGCTAAGCTGGCTTGCTGTTTATTCATTGATTGATATGCGTCAGTCACCACTGGTTCTCCCCTGGTTGTTTCTTGCATTGTCTCCCGGTGTTGAGGAATGGAAGAAAACACCCACGAAACACGCGAGTCGATTGCAGAAGTCACGTCCCAACGACGGGTGACAACCAAAGTCACGGGTATCTTTATTATCCAAGTCATTTACAAGCTCCCTTGTTGTAGGTTTTCTTGAACCCACTTTAGAGAGCTCCAAGTCTATATTACAAAGCTTTACAAGGCACCGCCCACCGCCTGGGCGATCCACATAGCTATCCTCACCTGGATGCCAACCCGCCTCTCATTCTTGGAAAAGTCCTCACGAGTGACTCGTTCAGCGTGATCTTGGAGCCACGTCTGCTCTTCGCCTAGGCGCTTCTTGAGGTCCTCGTCTTTTGTGAGGATCATGGCGCCAGCCTCAAGATCGTGGGTATAGCTGCGTTTCGTATAGTTTGAGCTTCCCACGATACTAATTGATGGATTTTGTTCTCCCGGCAGCGTAATCCAGAGACCCTTGGCGTGATATGTCCAGCCGCCGGGCTCGCCGATCGTTCCCTTGCGCCACTCCTTGAGGGCGATGGAGTCGTCAAGCTTGCGCTCGTGGACGGCGCGGACGAAGCGGCGCGCGAGGAGCGTGTAGGCGCCTGGCAAAAGTCCAGACACGCCTGGGGATTGGTAGAAACCGTTTGCCTGTTGGGAGGCGGTGATGACCACATTATTTTGTGATGCCGTGGATAGCAGCAGCTTGGTCAGTGACGGTGCAGGATTGAAGTAACCTGCAGTAAAGGTCCATGACGAGCCGGCATATTCGGGCTTGCCGAGGGTTGACAGCACGTGAGTGACGGCGGGAAGCTCTGTCGAGGTGTTGGGGCTCATGAGCTGTGTGAGTTGGGAGAGCATGTAGACCTTGGTGTCTTTGCCTGCGTCTGCTGAGGCTGCTTGCCTAGGAGATATCAGGGCGTCGAGGGCAGGAGTCGTGGTGCCGATAAACTGCTTCGGCTCTTTCAGGGGGGATGGCGCGGGGTTAGACTTGGGCCAGGTCAAAGCAAAGCCAGCAGGTTCTTTCGAAGGCTCAACGAGGAAGCTGAAGGACGATACACCATGGTGGATGTTCCAGAAGTAGTCGGTAACCTCTTTGGAAGAGAATAGGTGGTAGCGATCTTGTCGATTCGTGAAGTAGTCGGAGGAGAGGTTCGCCCTGCATAGGTGTTAGTCGCGACTCAGATGCCTTGCAACGGCTCCATACCCAGAGAGAATGATCTCATCGTCGACACCGTATAACTTCATGTGTTGCAGGCCCCACCCCTCATTGATGCGTTTCGGTATGTACTTCTTCCTCAATCCCGTCAGGTTTGGTGTGTGGTACATTCGGATTTCCACTCTATCTGCGCCAAATTCCGCTACGAGTGGTGCGAGAAGGGATGCGCATGAAGGGTTCGGCTCCTCTCGCGTGCCTCGCAAGGCATCCGTTAGAATGCTAAGCTTCAGCTCGGGGTTATTTCGCAGAGCTTCATGTAGGGTCGCAATCTAGTCATGGGCACCATCAGCGCTTGTTTCAACCCACGCGCATTCTATTCTAACTAACCAATTCTTTCTCTGTCTTTCCGATATACAAGGTTGACAGAAAGATCCTCCTCTTCGCGTTCCGTATCCGCTCCTAAATCCCGTATTAGTTCCCAAATCCTTAGTGGGTGGTGCATGTTTTCGCAAGGCACACCTTCAATGTCTCGTAAAAATCGGCCGGTGTTCGGATGATCTGAATCTGGGAACCATTGATGCTGAAAGAAGGTGCGATTTTATCGAGCTCATTTGCGAACGGCGCAAGCATGCCAGCGGCGCTACCGGAGCTTGAAGCCGTTGGGGTACCGGCGGCAGGCGTCGCGAATCGTCGGCATTGCGGTTGAGCGCGTGTAATATTCGTTCGTGCGAATGGAATCTTGAGCTTTGTAGAGCACCGTGACACGCCACGGACAATCATATCGTATTCGTCGATTGGAATACCACCACTCCTGCTGGATATCGAGTATCCTTTCCAGAAAACTTCATCCAAAGAAGGAGAGCTTCGAGGTTCTGGGGACATGGGTTCGTGCATGAAGCTCAGTCATTGGTGGCGGGGGTTGCCGCGAGCGCCAGGGAGTCCAAAGACCAATGGCCTTCGAGTTTATGTAATCCGGAGCTCCACCCTGGCACCAGCGTCGCTCAACCTTCCCGAACGTCAAGTCTGCAATCACATCGTCGACAGTATAGCTTCTGTAGGTCAATTGACCAGCCGCCACCATGTCGACCCCTGGAAGAACAATCGCCAACCTGCGCAAGGTTGGAATCAAGGCGTGTATTGAACTATCTGACCGCTGTTGCTGTGACCGCTAACTCTCGCTTCCAGAACTACTTCCGCCAATTGCTGGTACGTGGCCCCCCAACACCCCGAACGCAGTTGCCCCTCTTACACTCGAGAATAGTACATCGGTGACACCAAGCATGGCCGTCTCGTAGGCGAAGATAAGGCTGGCAACAAGTACTTCGAGAACAACGACGAACTTCCCCGTACGGAGACCCCAAGCGAAAAGCGCCCTCAATGAAGAAAGAAGGAACGCGGGGCTAACAAGGAGTTCATAGTGCGTACGCGCTGGGTGGACTTCAAGGTGCACGACTACGACTCGGCGCAGGTTGAGCCTGGCTGGCACGCTTGGCTGGGATACATGGTCGACAAGCCGCCTACCGAGGACGCCCTTCTCCAGACCAAGACTCGGAAGTGGGAAGTGCCACATGTGCTTCCCAACTTCACGGCTACCCCGGGAGCCTACAAGCCATACAACACGTGAGTGGCAGTGTTCTTTCTTGATATGTATAGGTGGAGATGCTGACAACTGGCGCAGAGTCAAGCCGAAAGTTCACGCGTGGGAGCCCAAGGCCGTTGAAAGGCAATGAGTAGCAGAAAACGGGGTGATTGTACATAAGCCAAGGTAGCTTCCCGCAATTTCAGGTTTTTGCTTTGTGATCAACAACGTTGCCAATGTTTTCCGTTACCAATGCGCGCCGAATCAAAAGTAATCAGCCAAAATGGACCAGCAAAGAAGAGGACCTGTAAGTTAGTTCGAAGCCCTTTCCATCCGCTTGTGTGCCGCCCCCTACCAGAATAGCCAAGCCAGCAACAGCAGCAAGAATATGCGACAGCCAAGCTTTGAGAAGATTGCAGATACAAGGTACTAGATCCATGAAAGGTAAATGCTAGATGAGACAAATAAGGGGCTTTTCATGACGATTCTGATTTTGGACACCTTCCACCATTCACGTATGATGATGAGGCTCATCAACGAAGGATTGTTTCTTGGCTTGTTCCTCCCGACAACCCCTCCTTAGCCATGGATCGCTCAGCGTCTTCGGAGAGTACGGGACGCTCGGCTGCGGCGAGTGGACATGGCCCTCTGGCAGATCTGAGAAGAAACAAAATGTAGTTAGCTGAACCTTTACGCGAGTGTTGGCTACACTCCTGAACGTGTGTTTCATAGCAGAGCAGCATGTGTAATTGTCTCTACCAATGGATTCGGCTGTTATCACCTTGTTCTTGGGAAAGACAGTCAAAGAGGACAGGGAGGAGAGAGGATGAGGAAGAAATCCATCTTGTGCGCAGTGTTTTAATTGTTTTACTACATATCAGAAATGCCTCTGTTCCGCCGGTATCGCAGAAGCAGTGTCTTGAAGACAAGTCACCAAGGCTACTACCGATCCATCGATTAGGCTCATCGGGCACATCATGGGCTACTTCCATCCGTTCTCCGGGACGACTAGTTTTTGCTAGCAACCTCAGCAAATCCCTTCTCCTCAAGTTCCAGCGAGCCCAAATCTGGCACAAGCGGCGTCTCCATACCCTCCGCCGCTGCCTCCGCCCCGTTCGCCTTAGCCGCGACACCCTCCCCGTCCGCAGCGAAATCGACCCACGCCGGCGGATTGATCCTGCTAGGATTCGCCTCGCCCTTGAAGTGGTAGCCCCTCGCCCTCGGTCTCGTTCCCGTACCCTGCGGCAGCTCCGCCTCGTACGCCGCGGTGAAGCGCTTCGACTGCTCTTCAAACTCCGAGGCGCCCTTTGCGAGGGTCGCCCGGATACCGGCGAAGAAGTCGGCCATCACTTGATGGTTGTGAATCTGCAGCAGCGTCCAGCCAAGCATCTCCTTGGCGTTTAGGAGGTGGTGGAGGAAGGCCTTGTGATGTGTCGTGCAGGCGTAGCACTTACAGCCCTCGGCGAGGGGTTTCACGGCCACCTCGTTTTCTGGAGCCCACATGTCGTCGCCGAGAGGCTCGACAGCATTGCTTTGGCTGTCGGGTGGGGGGAAAGTGAAGGACAGCGCTACACCTGCGTCCGAGATGGCATTGATGAACGGTATCGTGCAGATGTCGACCCCCAAGGAGATTTGTCGGAGAATGGCTTGCGGAGTATCAGGAATGTGCAAGGAGAGGCGGGGAAGAGAAACCAGGGGTTTGTATTTGTCCTCGATGTCGGGCAAGATATCAACGTCGTAGAGAGCCAGTCCCGAAAGTGATTCGATGACATCGTCCGCCAGATGGCGAAGGTATTCCCACTGCATAGGAAACGGCACCGCAAGAACAGGCGCGAAAACCGAAACGCCAGACTCCTTGAGAAGCTCGCGCCTCTTGGGCGTCAGAAATACGTCGGTCCATTCCTCAGTCCGCTCGGCCATGCGAACGAGCTTCTTTGAGGCCGGCATCGTGCTCGCGTGGAACAGATCAGCGGGGCCGATGGCGATGTCAGGCTTCAGCGTCTCAATGGCCGCACAATACTCGTCGGTGGAGAGGTTCCTGAAGCCGGTCGAGGTAAAGATGGCCACGTACTTTGCGCCATTGCCCACGGGAGTCTTAACCGCCGGGCATCTCCTGGCAGCAAGAACCGTAGCTATGCTTTCGGGCAGGCAGGAAAAGGTGTGGAGTGGCTTCTTGTTAGGCGAAGGTATTGAGAGCGCTGAAGGGTTCTTCTTCTCAATGACTTTCATCGCCGGTCAGCTTTCCCGGTGCCACATGAGACCAATAAAAAAAAAAGACTACTTACAATCCTCGAGCGCCATGTACGCTCCACTGAAAGAAGCATGCTTCTTCAAATTATCGGGCGTAACATGAGGAAGTACACCTCTCGAGGCGACGGCATAGTAATTTGGCGTCTCGATAGTATTCCGCTTAGGAATACTCAGTCTTCCAAGGCGAGCTGCAGATGTGCCATCTAAGGACTTCTTTAGAATTTCAAAAATCATGCCTTCTGCCCCGTCGACCGTTTTCGCATCACTCATCTTGACACATCAACGACCCCTCCAACGAGTGTATGAGTCAACCCTGATGCTGCAGTGTTCCGGTGTAGTCAACCGCCGGTCTCACAAGCCTGTTCTCGCAAGTGCTGGATCCTCTGAAAAAAACAAAATCTCACAAGACAGCCTTTGGTTGTCACTCGCTTACGATTGCCGTATCGCCATGTCGAGGGTTAGGGATCGTTCTAGCGTGCATGAAGGGAAAACGAAAAGGCAGCCACACTTGGCGTCGTGGGCGTGGCTTGACTCGTGGCTTGCACTCTTCCCACGGGGGGATGGTTTGCGACGAGTGGATCTGGCAGGTGTCCCGGCCCCCGGGCCAAGTGATTGCGGCGGGGTCCCGATGGAGGAGATGCTGCAGGAGTTTCTGGGCAGCGCAAACACATTTCGATTAGAACCAATCGTTAAATCCCATGTCTTGATCCGATCACATCCCATGGCCAAAGCATATTGAGACGTAACCGTATGTATGTGAGTCTAACGAGGAATAGCGTTGTTGCTGCTTTTACCCGCGACCTCAACATGTCACTCCCACAACAGTATCGGCCGGTACGGCTATCGGGGCGCTAAAACGCTTAGGGAATGACGTATGTTGACAGTGGCTGATGCAAGATTGACGACTTTGAGATGGAAAGCTTAGGAGAAAGAACCAAGATAAGGATCGATAGGTTGGTAGATGGAATGTCGAAGGAGAGTCTATATCCCTTAGCTCGAGGCGCTGTACGGCGGCCGTGGAACATTAACGTCCGAAACTATCATTGTATAACGACATTCACGTGGGGTGGTAGTGGACACCAAGGGTGATTTACACTATGTACATCACAAGGCATTCGAGTTGTATTAGGATCTTCGATTTATATAATAATAGGATCATGCAAACGTAAGAAGATTCCAGATCATAAGACGACCGTACATTGTATCCTCCCCAATATGTACCAAAATGTGATTAAGGATGATTAAATGGGCTCATCTCTGGGCTCAATGAGCACCTCGTTGACGGCAACATGCTCTGGTTGACACAAGGCGTACACAATCGAAGAAGCAACGTCCTCCGCGTCCAGAACCTTGGCACCAGTAGGCTCGCCGTATTTCTTGATTGCCTCTGCATCAGTAGAAATGCCCAGCAACTCTGTAGCCGTGTTGCCAGGTTGGATAGAGGTGACACGAAGACCCGTACCAGCCGTTTCGAGACGCAAGCTCTGCAGAGTCGCTTCCACAAAGAACTTGCTGGCAGAGTAGACACCCAGGCCAGGGAAGACCTTTCGGCCAGCGTCGGATGAGATGGCCACAATGTGACCCTTTCCTCGCCCGAGCATGCCGGGTACCGTAGATGACAAGCAGTGCAAGAGACCCTTGCAATTGACGTCGACAGTGCGCTCCCACTCATCAGTCTGGTTGTTCGCCATCATGGTAAAGTACATGACCCCGGCGCAGCTGACGAGGATATCGACCGGCCCAAGCTTGTCGGCTGCCGCTTGCATGAGCGACTCAACGTCCTCCTTCTTCGTCACATCCGTTTTATGGATGAGGACCTTGCCGCCGGTACCAGCAAGCTTGGCCTTGACACCTTCCAAGGCTTCCGTGCGTCTTGCCGCGAGGGCGATATGAGCGCCCTCCTTAGCTAGTCCGGCAGCAACAGCCGCACCAATTCCGGAAGAGGCACCGGTGATGACGGCAACCTTGCCAGCCAATCGGCCCTTGTTGACACGCGATGTGACCCCCTTGGCGTTTGCTCGGCGCGGAGGTCGAGAAAGCCAACCTCGGGCACAGAAGTGTCGGGTGTAGGTCTCGAGCAAATCGGTATCGATCTTGGGGCGAGGGAGATTGTATTTGAGTAGAGCGGGTGCTGTGGACTCGTCTTTGAGGACGGTCACAGCCTTCAAGGTCTCTGCAGTGGGCATACCACCGCGAAGAATGTCGACGGTGAAAGGGACGTCGCCTGCTGTACCGAAACCTCTCTTCTTGGTCCATAGCTCAACCCAGTCGTCCCAGGGCACACGCTTGGTCGGAAATCCGAGCTCATTCAGGGTGTCAAAGATGTAGTTTGCAGAGACAGGATTGGGGTCACCAAGGTGGTAGGTCAGCTGCTCGGCGTCGGTGTGGTTGGCAAGAGTCGTGATAGCTGCGCTGACGAAATCGACAGGCGTCATCTCGGCGAACCAGTCGTCAACATAAGGCGCAGTCTTAAGATGTAATGACTCGACGATGAGAGCATTTAGAAGATCCCATGCATTGCACGAGCCTGTCTTACTGTGACCACTGATCGTACCAGGGCGATAGACCTTACACGGCATTCCACGACGAGCAGCTTCGTAGACCAGTTTCTCAGCCACCCACTTGGTCTGTCCATACCCGTCTATCAGCTTTTCGGGAACATCGTCAATGTCAACCATGGCATCTTCAGAGTGACCCGCAACAGATGGCGTCAAAACACCGTTTGTAGAAACGTGGTGAAGGGTGGCACCGCTCTTTGATGCCAAGCGCAGGATCTCTCTAGTGCCTCCGACATTCGGGCTTCTCAGCGCAGCATAGGGGTAAACCAAGTTGACAGTTGCAGCAGCATGAATGATGACTTCAACGCGAGAAACGATATCGTCGTAAACCTCTGACGCAAGACCAAGGTGTTCGCGTGACAAGTTTCCGGGCAAGACCTCCATTCTATCGAGTAGTGAGTCATCCCAGATGCCAAGATCGATCAAGTTCTTTCGGATTCTAGCCATTCCGGCGGCACGCATCTCGTCGGTAGGATCCGTGAAACGAACAAGGCAGATAATATGTGCCGAGGTAGTCTCAACAAGGGACTTGAGAAGGAAGGCACCAAGATATCCGGTGGCACCGGTCAAGAGCACAGTATCAGCATCGTTCAAACGCCGCATGGGAGTGCCATTCGACTGGATGTCATCGGGCAGAATGGAGTCGGCACGAAGGACGGCAGGGAGATCCGCCTGCACGGCCGCGGTGTGACCGTCGCGAGCATCGCAGATTGCTTGCAGGTGGCCTTGCAGTGTTGGTGTGCCCGCAAGAGGGGCAAGCGGGACTGGGAATCCAAATTCCTTGGCGAATCTGTTTGCAAGGTCTGCGAGAATGAGGGAGTGGCCGCCAATGTCAAAGAAGTCGTGCTCCTCGGTGATGGCACTATCGGGCATGTTGAGGGCAGCGGCCCACAGCTTCTTGACGGTCTCGAGCTTGATCTTGGTGTTTTGCTCCTTCTCGCCGTTGACTGCAAGCTTGGGGCTTGGCGGCGGCGGCAAGGCCTTCAAGTCAGTCTTGCCAGAGACACCGTGAGTAGGTAGCTGCTCAAGTTCGACCCAGTAAGTTGGTATCATGTACAGGGCAAGATGCTCTCCAAGGACACGCCTAGCTGCAGGGCTGTATCCAGAATCGTCAATGACCACATCTCCCCGGCCCCGCTTGTCATCATTATCGCGAACAATATAGGCAACAAGTTGTCTCTCAAGGCCTTCTCCGTGAGAGGAGACTGCGCAGTCACTCACAGCCAGGTGCTTCACAATGGCGTTTTCGACAGCACCTGGTTGGACGGTATAGCCACGGGTCTTAATCATACCGCCTGCTCGGCCAGTGATCTCTAGGAGCCCGGAGGGAAGGACTCTGGCGAGGTCTCCAGTACGGTACATGCGTGCACCTTCCTTGTTGACGAAAGGATCCGGATGGAACGCCTTGGCAGTTGTTTCTGGTAGGTTGAGGTAGCCACGCGCCAGGAGGTCACCGCCCACGTAGAGTTCTCCGCTGATATTGTTGCCAACTCTGTTACCGTCTTCGTCCATGATGTAAATGTTCTCTGGATTCATCGGTGCGCCAACCGGGCAGACACGGGCTTCAAAGTCAATGAATGTGCTGATATCACCGGCTGCAACCTCGTGAGTCTCGCAGGCGCTGTAGACATTGAGAAATCTGGTTTCGGGCAGGGCCTTCAATCCCCTGCGGCAGAGGTCGGTTGTTACCACCTCGCCATTCAGCCAGAGAGACCGCAGCTTGGGGAGGCGCTTGCTCAAGTCAGGGTGACGAGACAAAACGGTAGCCAGCAAGGTAGGGGTCATGAGCGTATCTGTGATCTGCCGAGACTCAAGCAAGTTGACAAGAGCTGATGGGTCGTAACTGGCACTGTCCGGAACGGCGAAGACTGTGGCTCCGCGCAACAGGGGTCGAAGCATCTCCCAAACGAAGAACACATTGCAAGCTACACGGTCGCCCGGTTGCAAGTCGCTGAGACCAAATCTGAGGTCATACGAGAGCACCGCCGCTCTGTGGGGATTGCAGATTCCCTTGGGTTGGCCAGTGGTGCCAGAAGAGTATGATACGAACATGAGACGCTCGAGATCATCGCTGGCAGGCAACGGAGGAAGTTCGCCGTTTGCGTGCCCATTGACAGTCGTTTTGCTGGGTTCGTCAATAACGATGATAGGCACTTCCGCCTTGATGTGGTTGACGTGCGCGCTTTGAGTGATAACCACTGATGGCTTTGCGTCCTGGATGACATCGCGCAAGAGCCCAGAGGGATATGCGAGCTCAAGAACCAGGAAAGCTCCGCCAGCGCGAAGAGCTGCCAGAGAAGCGATTACGTAGTCGGCACTTCGATTCATGAGCACACCAACGAGACTGTCTCTGCCGACTCCATAATGCCGGCGCAATTGATCGGCGAGAGTCTGTGTCTCTTGGTCCAACTCAGCATAGGTGAAGGTTCGCGATTCATCCTCAAGCGCCACAGCGTCAGGAGTGACCTTGGCCTGCTGCTCAAAGAGGGCAGCGATGTCCTTGGTGACGTCGAGAATAGGCATGTTATCAATTCTCTGATAAGGGGTATATGGGAGACAAGATGATGAATTGAAGCAAAAAGGGATCACCTCTAGGCAAGCCGATGAAAGATGGTAGGGAGAAAAGTCACAGACGGTGAAGTCGAGATGAGAGACGACGGGTGTAGAGGAACAGAATAATCTCTGGCACCTTAATAATAAATGTGGCAGGGTAGCCGCAACGTTGAGTCTGGGAAGGAAGGAGGTCACGAGACAAAGTTGGTTGTCAGAAGCTCTTGCAACCACTCGGGCAGTTGAGGCAAAGGTATGACGCGGAAAAAAGCAATACCAACAGAAGCGAAAGCAGAGTGTGTACCTTGCTTGGCTTCAAGTCCCTTACCTGTTAGAGGTCCCTCAACCAGAACAAGTCCCCCGCCGACGAAGCGTACACGTGTAGGGAAGTAGCGGTAGCACATGCACACCGACAGCCGTCGCGAAACGATGAAATGTCGGTACGAGATAGCCCAGTCCAGTCCATAGCACCCACTACCGGAAGGCCATGGCCAATGAGGTGCATGGTTGCCAAGTTGACCGGTGGTTTAAATGGGTCGAAAGAAGGCGATAGAAGCCAGGGAAGTTGCTTCGTCCAACTCAGTCTAAGATGAAAGAGTGTGGAAGGCAAGGTTCAGCTGGTATCGTTTGTCTATGTAGCTATCAGTAACAGACAAAGCCCTAGCGCCATCAACCGCATTGCTCAAGGCTTGGACTACTCCCACTGTGACCCTAAGCACATAGGCAGTATAGGATGCTTCAGTTGAGAGGTTCACTCTCAATAATGCGGTATATATACACTGATCCTTCGAAAAGACAATGTTGAGGTTCTAAGCACATGTCAAAGTTGCAGGGGCAATGTCGATGATGAAAAAGTCTAAATGCTTGGGGGCCAGAGTGTCATTTTGAGCGTGAGCAAGTGAGAGAGTTGCAGTTTGTCACTTAAAGCCAGATGGGAGCGCGAGATCAGTCGCGGTGCGGTCAAATGACTCGCTGTGTTTCCCGACAGGCTGTTGACAGTTGGGGGCGGCGCCCAGGGAGCGCCATCAGCTCGGTACGAGAGTCGGTCCGCCATGTGGCTGAGACCCGGCGTGGGGTATCGGTGGCTGGACAACCGGGTCGCTTGCCCCTCCGACACCCGCCCGCCGTAGCTCCGAGGCAGCGCCCTTCTTTTCCGTTTTTGTTCCACTAAAGCGGCACCCCAGGTACGTACTCTTTTTTACCTTGCACTTTATCGCCACGCGGAACGCCGGAGGCGCGCAAGGATCACCCGATGCTCCACCTGCCAAGGCCAAGTCAGACAGGGAACAGAGGTGCTTCGGTGCCGCGGGATCGACTGCTTCAGGATCACCTGGCTAATGCGGTTCCTGAGCTGTCCCTCTGCCACAGCGCTGTCACCCATAGGCTGCCGTTCTTTTCGTCTGAAGTTACCGAAGCCAATGCGTCGACTCCGTGAGCAACTCGATAGGAGGCCAGCGAAACATTCGTTTCACGACCGAGAGAACCTCGTCACTTCATAGCATCGCATTGATACCACTGTTCTCTGCCATTCCGGTATGACCTCTCGCCCGATCCCAATGCCGAGCCTTCTCTTGCTGACTGATCGTCATGGCGTACCTAGCCGCCCTCGGTTTCCTAACCACTTAGGTCCTTAGGTCTCGCCCCTGTCCGATCCGCCGAATCGTCACGACTCACCTTACATATCTTGCCTAGCCCCAACGTTCACTCCTCCACTATGGATGACCGAAGACCTGAGCAGGAACCGCTCTTGAGCATCATGGAGCGACAACAGGCCGAAGAGCCTGCGAACCGGGCAAATGCGACAGAACATCCCGATGCGCCGCTCGAGGATAGCCCTCGCCGCGAGCTCGAAGTCGACGATGACTCTGGCCCATCGACACCCCGGTTCATGCAGGACGAAGGACACTGGAAGCGCTGGAGATGGGTGCCATTCCCGGTGCGCCGCATCCTGAAGGCCACCGCGAAGTGGTCCAAAGGCCCCCCAAACCCACACGATTACAAGATCAAGCCCATCTTTCCCCGAATCCAAGAGTTTCCTCTTGTGTTGATCGATCGATACCTCAGAAAATTCAAGCACCGAGTCGGTATTGTTTTCCTCTATTTCGCCATTTGGATCATCACATTTGCTTTGGTCAAGAGGAATGAGACCTTCGCTACCGAAGTTGAAGGATGGGGAGCACCCTCGCAGATTGGGTGCGGTGCAGCATACTGGACAAGGGGAAATAACTGCGGCCTCAATGGTGCCGACTGCCGCCCGTTCAACGGTAGCGGCTTTGCCTTCAGGTGCTCAGCCAACTGCGCTGGCTACATGGTTCTGAATCCAAGAGCGGTCGGAGACCAGGAGATCGTCTACCAGCCGCTTGTTGTCGGTGGACAAACCGACAACTCTAGTTCGCCGATCTATCGAGGTGATTCTTTCATCTGCGCCGCTGCAATCCATGCTGGTGTGATATCCAACGACAATGGAGGTTGTGGCGTTGTCCGCCTGGTTGGGCGAAACGAGGACTATCTGAGCTCGGAGAAGAATGGGATCGACAGCATCAGCTTCGACTCCTACTTCCCGCTCTCGTTCACATTTGAGCCTGGCATTCAGTGCCGCGCTAAGGACCTAAGGTGGAATCTGTTGGCGGTCTCTGTCGTTTTCACAACGGTTCTGTCTCTGTTTACGGCGTCACCCGCCCTTTTCTTCTTCTCAATCTTTACTGGCATATTCTGGCATGTCGGACTCGCCTCAGACCCTCCGAATCACTACTCAGTCGCCGACCTTGTGTCGAACATCATTGGCAAATACCTCCCAGCAATGTTCTGCGCCTGGGTCATGTATGACAAAATGGGAATCCGACGAACGCTCAATGGGCTCACTGCCCAGGTGGAGAAGACGATTTTGTGGCTCGGTGGATGCTGGGTTGGCGCGCTTACCAACTACACGTTCAGCTTCATTCCGATTCAGAGGCTGAATGCGCATGATCTCAATCAACAGCCGGGAGCAAAGGCGGCGTTGGCCATCATCATCATCGTCTTGGTGGTGATCATCGCCAAACAAATATGGTATTTCAGGCAGGAGGGCCGCCTCCTGAAGTATCTCAAGCTGTATCTCCTCTTCGTGGGGGGCGTCATTGTTTGCCTTGTCCTCCCAAACCTGAGTCTACGCATCCACCACTACATTCTAGCTTTGCTCTTGCTCCCAGGTACGAGCATGCAAACGAGACCTTCACTGGTCTACCAGGGCATTTTAGTCGGTCTCTTCATCAACGGCATAGCCCGCTGGGGCTTCGACTCTGTTCTCCAGACGCCTGCAGCCCTCCAAGGCGACGCCCAGCACGGGTCGGTCTTGCCCAGCATTCTCCCACCCGTCATCGACCTGGGCCAAGCCATGTGGAGCATCAACTTCACATGGGCGACCCCCCCTGATGGAGCGCGATACGACGGCATTAGCGTTCTCGTGAATGACGTGGAGCGCTTCCGTACCTATTTTGATGACGGGCCCGTCCCTCCGACGAGTTTCCTCTGGAGCCGCCCGAGTGACCTTGGCATGAACGAGTACTTCCGTTTTGGATTCATGGAAGGCAGCGAGAGCTATGACTTCACTAAAGCTGGCATTTGGAACACTGAAGGCAGATGGATAGACATGAAGCCGGGCCCTTCCATGATCAGGGGTCGGTCTTTGTTGCACGATGACGAGAGCGTGCCACGGTAATTTTGATGCGTGATGATCCTGCTTGCTTTAGATACCTAGAATAGCATACGAATTTTGAATATTATTCTTGTTCATAACTGCTAGTTGTTATTCTGGTGTCCAGTCCATCCTGGGCTCAGGGGTTCGAGCAAAACTTTGACTCTATTGATTGCAGTGGTTACTTCGGTATAAAGGATAACATGCTACACGACCACCATAGCCTGCTTGAGTCACCCCCTCCAGCAACAAGGTCACCCTTTTACGCTCCCTGCCTGCGGCGGCACAGGGGACGGCCACGCTCAAGGGTTTTCGGGTCGCAATCCAGCCTACTATCCTCGATGCACGTCAAGCTACTGCCACCTATTTACGCGGCCAGCCATCAGCAAGTGTTGATTATTGAGAGGCATATACTCTCAAGGGGAAAACTTACAGTTGTTGATGTTATCGGGGACACAGCGGCCGGTCTTGCCGTTGACGTTGCAGACGTCTTGCTTCAAGCTCGTGTTGGCGACGCAGCAGGCGCCGTTGGGGACAGGACGGTTGGCGTTTGCGCCCTGGCGTTCCATCAGGAGGACGTTGCGGCGGGCGGCGGCCGAGGAGGGGTCTTCCACTGCTGCGGCACTGGCGCCGATGGCCATGGTGAGGGCGAAGAGGACGGTCTGGAGTGTGAACTTCATCGTGTCGGGTTGTACGGTGTGGATTTGGAGTATCTAGAAGACTGACGAAAGCGAGAGTTTGCCGATGTAGCTGAAGTGTAAAGCTATAATACAGTAATAGAAGAAAAGAGTGTCCGGCCGGCGGGAAAGAAGCAGAAGAGACTGGATCGTGTGATGGAACCAGAGATAGTGCATGTATAGCTGGGCAGGCGGGTGTGGCCATTATATACGAATGCGTGGAACATGAGGCCCGACTACGCTTCCCCCTTTACCTGCCAAGTCTATAATTCATAAAGGTGGCCCACGATGTATCAAACGAAGCCCTCCTGACCTGAACCGGCTACTCTCAAACAAGCGAGCAACTCGACGCGAGGAGGCCGAGGTCTTCGGGCATTGATCCCCAGAATCAACCGACGGGATGATTAGAGGGTTTGGCAGGAATCTGACACGGAATCGGGGTTGGTTATCTCCGCTTCTCGGCTGCATCAGGTATAAGCATACTCTATTAAGTCTGTTAAGAGGGCCACTCTCTCGCTTATGTCAAGGCCGGAACGAGAGAAGACGTCTTGAGCCTCAAGGGACAAGGGAAAAAAAAAGGAAAAAAAGAGGAGTAGGGGGGCCCGTCGTCTCATGCGCAATCCCAAAAAGGGAACGAAACCCAAAGAAGCTCAAGTACGGATACGGATGAGACGAACATGGGTGAGGGCGGCTCTTTTTTGGCGGTTTCTAGTCACAATGCACATTCTGGATTTGGTTTAGTTCCAGGAATATGTTCGGGAGCTGCGGCGACGATGTGACGGTTTGGGATTTTGCTGGGTTATTCGCAGTTTACGACGGGTGGGGATTTTCGTCTGGAGATGCGGTGAAACAGGTAAGGAGGCAGGGGTCAGGGTGCGCTCCCCTGCCTTTCAGCATCCCGCCGTCGGTAGAGAAAGCCGAGTCTTGGGAAGACGGTGACCAACCGCATTCAGGAGTTGAGCTTGCATGGGAGAGTAAAATAGACTTTGAAGTCAGGTTCTTGGGGTGCTCGTGTAAGTGGGATGGAGAGAGCGGGTACAGAATTACGCAAGATAGAACTGGAGCCCCGTGTTGACTTTGGCGGTGAGTAAGTAGGCTACTTCGTACATCTTGTTTAGAAATAGCTTAAATATATGGCATGGGACCAATCTAGCAAGTCTCAGAGACCGTTGGTCTAGAACATGCTGGCGATCGGAAGGATCTGCCGAGTCTGCCACACTTCGTGGGGAACAGTAGTCCTGGCGACATCCATTGATACACCAAATGGCACCCATGCCGAATGATTACACCCTGATATCAGATGGCATGTAGATCGTCTTCAGACATTGGTGGCTCAGAAGTTGGGGTCAGGTACTCTCTCATCGCAAGTCAAACCGCATGACATGAGGTGCTCTGGATCTGCCTCGACCAAAACTGCATCCGGACTCTTGAAGATGTTCCCAGCAGATTGTCTGAAGGATTGGGGTTGTGCCACGACTTTCCCGACCAACCTCAAGAGAGAGCTAGGTTGCCTCAGTGTAAGGTTGCATGAGGAATGAAGTATACAAAAAGCCCAGGTTATCCACCTTTCGAATATGTCAAAGCACAACCACATGTAATCACAATCTGGCCGTTGGCGCTCAACTTGTACATGTTAAGCACTGACATTCCCCATAGAATCTGGGGCGTTGTAGAAAATTGGGCTGAAAGTTGTTTAAACATTGATAGAAAGTATCGCGAGCCACCAGACCCCAAAGCGGGTTCTACACCCAACCCTCCCCGGTCAGGCTCTCGGTCAGGCACAGTAATCCCAACCTCAACCTGTCAAAGTGCAGAATCGCATTCGACACAGCCCCTTCATCTTTACTCCTCTTCCTCCACACCACCGGCAACCTTGTCAGCAACCTCGACTACCTCAACAGCCTCGATATCGCTGCGCGCCGTCTTCTTATCCTTCTTACCCGTGCCCTTCGTATCCGCACCCTGGGTCGCGGTGCCATTTTTTCCTCCCGCAGCCTTATTGGATTGGGAGATGACATCGGCGGCCTTGGCGGCGAGGGTCTTGTCCTTGGGCACGTTGGCGGCGGCTGGGTTATCGGTGGAGGCGTTGAACTTGAGGGCGGTCGCGGGCTTCCCAGCGTTGGCGACGTCGGTGGCAATGTTCTTGTTGAGCTTCTTGGTCTCCGTGTCCAGCTTGGCCGTCACGTTCTTGCCCTGCGCCTGCTTGGCCTGCAGGCTCAAGACGCTGGCTGTGAGCTTGAGAACCTTGTTTTGGATCTTTGCGCGCTACGGTGGAGAGGATAAAAGTGTTAGTTATCAATAATGAGGGTAAGACCAAGTGTGACTGAGACAAAGGAGGAGTGTCTCTATCTTACCTGAAGAGCCAGGGCATCCTCGCCGGGTGCCGTCTCAGCAATCTTTGCATTGTAGGCGCCACGCTCGGCGTCGTTCGCAATCTTGTTGACGTTGCCGAGGAAGGTGAGATCCGCCTTGTCGACCTGGGACAGGTCCGTCGGCAGACCAGAGAGTTTCTGAAGGGCGTCCTCCTTTGCGGTGCCGGCGTTCTTGCCGCTGATGGAAAGCTCGTCATAGGTCTTGGCCGTCGCGAAGACAGCGGCGCGCTTCTGGAGCTTGCTGCCGGACGAGATGTCCTGGAAGGGTGCGGCCGAGGCAACGGCGATGATGGTGGTGAAAACGGCGGAGAACTTCATAGTGTCACTGGGGATCTGTGTTCAGGGATATGGAATAATTGTGGGGAGAAAAAGAGAGAGCAATAATAGACAGAAAATCGATTATAGTGTTTCTTGAGCGAAAGACCGGGTTAGATCGACAGCGCAGCTGTGGAGAAAGAGTGAAGTTATCGAAATAGGTAAAAGAGAGTAAGTTGATGAAGAGAACGGATTCCGGACAGCCGAAGCGGCGGGGTGTCTGGCGATCTTATAGCTATAATGGAGGCTTCTCACCTCCTTACACCTGGTAAACCATCTGAGCATTGTCTCTATATCCATGGAAGAGCATTGATGCTACAGGATGAACGTTCGGCGGCGCCGTCGGAAATGCCCAACTCTCGTAAGCGTGTAACGAAACCCGCTCCCTCGAACTCACTCGAAAGAGCTCGAAAGAGGCAACGAGAAGAGCGAGGAGGCAGGGCGGGCTGCGGGCGCGGAGGACGTTTCAGGGCGAGATTTTTCCGTCCCGGGATCTTAGGATACTGATCTTGTACAAACATAGAACGGGCCCTTCACTACCTTGCGGCGAAGACGCTAGTTCGGAAGAGAGGCAGAGAGACACAGAGTCTGGAGACCCGACAACCCGTAACCACACTCGTGGGTCGTCCCTCCAGATGTCTAAGGACGCGGGTGCCAGGAACTTCCCTGACATGGACGGAGGCTGAGCCTTAATGCCATCCCCTCCACATAGAGCCGTCTTGGATGTCGTCTCATGATGTGATGAGACCGAGTAAGTTGTAGCGGTGAGAGGGAGACGAGAGCATGAGGAAGAGCAAGAAAAGGCCCCGAGTCAGCGCATGTTGTGCGTGCTTGCTGCGACGAACATGCAACCACTTGGGCACGGCCAAACGGCCGCCGCCTGAACTGTGCGGAACTTACAGGACGACAGACAGCAGCACGGAGTTGCTGTGAGGGAGATGTGCGATCCTGGGAGAGGGGGGGAAAAAGTCAATCTTGAGACGAGTTTTGGGAATAATTTTGACAACCTGAACCTTGAAGAAGAGATGAGATTGGTGTCTGTGTGAAGGGCAGCATGAGCAATCGGTTGTCAAGGCGGAAGGGGAGAGTCGGGCACTCGGTCTTTTTAAACACACGGTAAGAGTCGTTGTCTAGAATTACTACCCAGAATCGACGTCCCGCATGTCCCTAAATAAAGTGAATATAGATAGATTGTAAGGTTATTTGGCTCCCCATATTACACGCTCACGGGAGACGAAATCGTACTGGGGGATACGGGAGGAAAATTAATGAAATCAGCCCTGCGGTGATTGTAAGCGTTGAGAAGGTAGGTAGGTAGGTAATCAATCCATCACACATGGCGTTTGAAGCTTGAACCTTGAATCTGTCGGGGAAAAGTGGGGACGACTCTTATTTTCTGCCTCCTCTCCTCCACCCACACAACACTGCCGTCGCTGCGTGAGCAAGGTTCATACTCCCAGCAGAGGAGCCGTGTCCTGCCCCACTTGGAGATAACTTCACCTCATCGACTGCCAACCCCCATACCCCGATCCGCTCCTCTCACGCCGCCTTAATCTCACAAAGTCAACCCAGCCCGTAAACATCACGCACATGCGGCTCGTCTGATTCTTCATCGCTCCGCCTCAAACCTGGCCGAAAGATCTCTCCGGGACCGCAGACTTTCAACGCCAAGAACATCTTCATAATCCCCTCGACTCATATTCCCCAACAAAAAAAATCATGCCTCCCCGGATCCCAACCCAAGAAGACTTCGAACAAGTCCAAAAGGTTCTACCCCTAGCCCTCGCCTTTCCAAACCCCCCGGAATCCACAACCGCAATCCTCCTCCTCTTCCACGGCCTGGGCGACTCCGAAGCGCCCTTCGCCTCCTTCGCCCGCGCAATGTCCCTCCCCGGCGTCCTCTCTATCTCAGTCCGCGGTCCCTCTCCGCTGCCCCCGTCCATGCTGCCCGATGATGGCCCTTCCTCCACCAGCTCCTCCGCTGGCGCTGGCGCGGGTCACTTCCACTGGGGCGACGACATTACCTTCGTCCCCTCGACAGACTCCCTCGCCCCGGACCCGGGCTTTTCTAAATCCTCCACCCTCGTCGTGGACCGCCTCATTCATGAGACCCTCGTCGCCCGCTGCGGCTGGGAGCTCAGCGACATCATCCTTTTCGGCTTCGGCCAAGGAGGGTCCCTGGCCTTGGGCATCGCATCGCAGCTCCGTCTCGGTCAAAAGGTCGTTGATGTGACAGATGTTCCCAGCCCTGCTGCTTCTGCATCCAAACCCAAGAGGAGTGATGGCCACTTTGACGAAAACACGCTCAAGGGCGTCCTCTCCATCGGAGGTCCCTTGCCGCACTCCATGGTTCCGACAGTCAGCACGCGGGGGAAGTGCAAGACGAAAGCGTGTCTCGTCCAGCTTGATAACGACGCCTTCGATGCCGTAAAGGAAGAGTTTCTCGACGTCAGGCTCGTAAAGTGGAAGAGGAAAGACGCGGCTATGCCCCGCGATCGGGAGGAAATGTTCCCTCTGATGAAGTTCCTCGCAGAATGCCTCAAGAGTGGATGGTGAGGCAGTCTCGGGATCGAAGTGGTGCAATAAACCACGGACGTTTCGTACTTGACCAGCCGACGACTCTTCCCAGAGTCGATTGCTTCAGTGGAAGATCCCAAATTCGGCCCTTTCTTGCCAAACTGAGAGAGGGGTTTGATAAACCCAGCATCGGCCGGCACATATAGCAGTGACTCCAGATGCGTCTTCATTCCTGACCATAGGCAAATCTTGAAGGCATGTCACCCCTCATAAAAGCCTGCATGTTCACGAGGTAGCCAAGAGCATACGGGATACTAGCTATTAATTCCTAAAACGCGGCTCTGAGGATCGCAGCTATGGGCTATAATCATAAGGCTATTCAACGGTTTGCTCTCTTCTCTCCATCACCTCCTTTTCGCCTCCATTTCTGTGGTCGAATGGACGTCATCAGCTGCGCGTTATTTCCAACGGGGCCGGAGCTGTCGAAGAACGGCCAATGTCTCCTATTAATGGGTGTGGGGTCGGCTTCTTGTTCTCGGGGGCCAGGGTTGCTGCGCTAGAGTGCATTGCATGTTGCTTTGGTTCGCCTTTATCAACCTTGACCGTGGGATCTCCACTGAGAGGGTGCGAAGCTGGCTGGCCGGGCCCCTGCATACCCACCGTCTGGTCGTCGTGGACACTGTGGGGGACGGCTTGCGTGCTCACGGGCGCTATGATGTCCTGGCTAAGCCTATGATCGTGAACAGGACCTGCCATCTTGGTAGTCAAGTCATTGTGTACCGAATGTTGCGTTGGCTCTCCGGCCACGTTGACTGTAGGATCCTGTTCAACGTTGTGAGGAAGGCGGGTAGTCGGTGCCGCTGTTTTCGAATCTATATTAATCTGATGGGGGGAGAGCCGTCGGGCCACTTGGACCATGGGATCCTCGTGGACAGTATGCGGATGAATCTCCTCGGCAATTCCAAAGAGAGGGTCATTGTGAACAGTATGTGGAAACTGTTTGGCTCCAACTGGCCTTTTCTGGTCATGACTGAGCCGATGGGGCTCGGCAAAGTCAGCCACTGTGACGCGAGGATCTTGTGAACTCAAAGTCGGACTTTGACTTTGCTGGGTGTCCGGAGTTCTCACAGGAGTGTCTTTACGTTTGCTACTTGTAGCAAGAGGCGGTTGCTGGGAACTGGTCTCCGGGCTAGTCTTCGTCGGCTGAAGATTCTCTGGCATTGATCTCCCCGTTGTACAGCCAGATTCTGGCAACTCGACGATTCTCGGCAGGCTCTTGTCCTTCATTTGCATTTGCGCAGGCGACTTATACGGGTGATTCGGCTGAGCCTTGAAGCGGCGAATCTCAACTGGCGGAGGTCCCGGGGAAAAAGGATAGGTGTTGAACCTCTTACAAATCCTTTCTCGTACCAAGACTTCGTTGTGATTCCCCATTAGAGTCCAGAATGGGTGGGCACAGGCATGAAGTTCGTCGTCATCCGCGCTACCCGTGATGGCATAGCGGTTTCGAATGTCACCACGTTGGTTGCTAAGCGGCCTCTTCCAGTTGCATACTACGGCGGTCAGATGATGCTCGCGGGCTTGTCGAGTAACTTGACTTACTCATAGAGCTCAGGAAACACGACCAACATGGACTGCTGCAGCCACTTGATGGTGGAGTCAAGGGATCCTCGCCGTAGGCAGCTCGCTCGAGTCTCTCCGCGGTGCGAGCATACACTACGCATGGGCATAGTGCTGCTTCGGTAGTAGTCTCTCGTTGCTGTGAGAGCCATTTGTGCGACCGAACCTGTCCCATGATGGGCGTTTTCTCTGGCTGCTGTCGTTGAACTGTCTCTGTTGACTCGTTCTCGCGGCGCCGTTGCCCTGCGCTGTTGGGTGCTCGCGCGTTCTTGGATCGGTCCATGTTGATATAAAGGTGAAGAATGCAATCCGACGAGAGTAGTCGGTAATCTAAATGACGTCGAACAGCATAAGTGTGCAACCACGTTGGCAGGCGATGGCAAGTCTCCTGAAGGGCGGATCGCTGTAGATGATACCGATGGAAGTCCAATGTATGGGGTGATCCGGGAATCGAAACAAGTTCTTCTCACCACGCCTCAAGCAAGCAGGGAGCACTTGCAACAGGTGGCAGGCTGCAACTTCTCGGACTGCCGTCGCGGTCGCTGACTCCTGCCAGAGATGTGTACGACGTGGCCCTGTCTAGGCCAGGCTTGGAATCCACACGGGGAGATGCCTTCCGTCATTTCACTGCTCGTTCACGACGGAAAGAAGGGAGCAACATTGCGAGCCTGACAAAGCGCACTTCGATCGAGTATGTGTCTTCCCGTTCATTGGCAGCAAACAAGGCCCGAAGCAGTGGACTGTGGATACCAATACACCAGCACCGCTGCGATGATAATCTTGATATCGGGGACGGTAATATAACATTGATCGTTCTAATTGTAGTGAGCCAAACCAACCCACACATGGTGACATCCACGTACAGCCCCTGTCACCTCACTCTTGTACCATAACCCAGAATGCGCCATGACACCGTAGTATGTTGATGGAGAGGATTTAACTCGATTCCGATTCCAATTCCAATTCAGATCTACTCCGCCATGAGTCGAACCGCAGTTACCTATTCCTCAGCACGCCCTTCCTCTCTCCAACCATTCGAACCTCGGGATGCGCCATTATGTAATGATCTGAGAGCTGTGCTTCGAGTCTTATTCGACCAGCTACGTGGTGTTAGCCATAGCAAACGACAATGATGTAGCAAGCTTACATTTTGACCTTGCCGTCGTCACCGCACGATGCCAACATGCAAGGCTCTGCCGGATTCCATGTAACGGCGTTCGTCCGAGGCTGGTGTCCTTCAAGTCTTTCCACTGCAGCGCCGCTATTCTTGTGCCAGATGAGGATGTTTCCATCTAGAGCCAGTAAATCAGCGTCTGACATCATCCAAACAAGAGCCAACTCACCTTCGCTACCGCTCACAACAAAGCTCTCGTTTGCGCCGCCAAAGGCACTCCGAATAATGAAATCGCCTCCAGTGTGACCTAAGAACTTCTGTACCGATGTCCGATTTACCAGGTCTATCAGTTGCAACTCTCCATCCTTTTTGTTGAGCAGCAAATGACGCGAGTCTTCGCTGATGCTCACGCATGTCGGCCGAGACTTGACCTCCATTTCGTACTCCAGCTCGCGTGTGAAGGCATTGTAGACATGGATCTTTTGCTCATCGTCGACAGCCACGAGCCAATGACCGTCCGGGGAGCCGCAGATGTCCTGAACTCTATGCTTCTTACCCCATTCGCACATCATCTCCCCCGAAATGCTCCAAGTGCGCAAGCCGTGTTGCTTGTCCAGAGATCCGGTGACGAAAGTCTTGCTGTCTGCTGCCCATACGCAGCCACTGGCTGGCTCCTCGAATCGCTCAAGCTTCAAGACTAGCTCTCCAGTCTAAGGGAATATCAGTATTGGCGTCGAGGGAAGCACCATTGAAATTACGCACCGTGGTATCCCACAGCCTAGCATACTTGTCCTGGGAGCATGTAACAATCATTGAGTCATCGGGGCTCCATGACAAACCGCCGACACCTTGAGCATGCGGTCGCAAAACTTGGGAGATGGAGAAAGAAGGCAGATCCCAGATAACAACAGCTTCACCACTTCCACAGGCAGCCAGTCGCTGGCCGTCGTGAGAAAATAGGACTTGCCAAACTTCGCCAGTCAAGTCTGTGAGTTCCAACGCGACCTCGGTAGGGAAATGACTCCGTTCGCAATAGTGATCCGAGTATAATGAGGGTGATGACGCGGTTGTATGCCAGAGGCAGCTGTCTATTTGGCTCTGCTTCACCTGCTGTAAAAGAACGGCGAGTCGGTTCTCCGGCAGCATGACCGAGGGCGAAATGCATTCTATTCATGTGTGAGTACTACATAAATCACCTGAGGTGGCATCGAGAATACTTACTTGACAGTTCTGACAGCAGAACCTTCCTCGACTGGCCGCGGGCACCATCCCACTCGGCCTTGGCTTTCAGGTCTTCCGTAGACTGGCACATAAGAAGACTGGAGAGAAAATGAAGCTTCTGAGTATCTTGGTATAGCGGTGTTAGTTCAGTTCGCAGCACCATCAGAGCCCGGGAGGTATCGCGCTGCTCCAACAGCTCAAGGAATTTTTGTTGCCGCAGCCAAAATCGCATGACGTTCCGGTCGGAGCCAGGAGCCAAAACGAGACCGTTTCCTGGTTGGCCTCGGTCCCCAGACATGACGGCTCCAAAGAGGAGCTCCTCGGCCTCGCCCCAATCGCCGCTGACAACGGCGCTCCGGAAGGCGGCGACCGTTGGACTCTCCAATTCATAGCCACTGTCTCTACTGACGCTCTCGGCAGCACCCTGGTATCCCATATCGGACAGAGCCTGTATGAGTATGCGAGTGACCTCTTCTCGATCATGTCCATAATAAGTTGAAGGGACGGGTGTCTGGGCTTCCTTGCCAGAACGGGACGATCCGTTCAGGGCAGCGGCTTTGCGAGCGCCGTTTGTCGCCGAGGCAGTCAGCGGCGCCTCCGTCCTCGCGCCGTTTGAGTACGTCCTCGACGTTCCGTTTGAAGCAACTCCATCGCCGTCTGAGATCATGTTGGAGTTTCCTCTTGTGCGTTTGGAGCGATGAGAGCCGGGTCGACTGGCGCCCGCGGACGTCGCAGGAGAGTCTCCCCGATCTGAATCGGAAGTGGCTCGTCGTCTACGGCCCAAGACCTGACGGGGCGCCGAGGGAGATGTTATCGCTTCAGGGACAGCCGAGGAGAGTTGAACAGCGCTCGCTTGGTAGGGGCTCGGAGTTGTGGTATCGTCAGAAAAGGAGGGGCGGGAAGCCGCGGGGGCTGGGGGTAGAACTGTGGTTGAAGATGTCTGGATATCCGGCGGGGTGGGCACTTGTTGGTTGGCTGAAATAAGATGGGAATTGGAATCCGGGCTGTAGTTGGGGTCCAGGTCGGCCTATGTTACCGCGGGAAGGCCCCGCGGTTGCTCTCGTCGGTCGATATTTTGGGAGAGACGGCGACGCCTAGGTATGGTAGGAATGTTGTGGCGAGTGCTTTGTCGCTGGACGTTTAATTAGAGAATAGCTCGAGAGAGGGTCGTGGTGCGGACGCGGATGCGGACGGACGGACTTGTGGGCGTAAGGTACGGTGCGGTAGGGCGGAGGAGGTGAAGGTGCGTGAGAAGGACGAGGTCTGGGAGCCGGGAGAAGGTGCGTGAAGAGGAAAGAGACACGGAAGAAAAGAACGTGGACAGTGGGACGTAAGATGGTTAGATAGGTATGTGAAGCTTTGAGGTTTGGAGTTCATGGGTGCAGGTTTCGGGGTTGCTGCATTGCAGAAGTCATAGGTAGACGTCTCCCTACGATGAGCAGGCAGGTGCTAATTCGGTAGCAAGGTACCTCTGCAGACGCAGCCTACACTTGCCGTGGAAGATCGCTGTGTAGGTAGCCTCCCAGGAAGAGACCCGTGGCCGGCAGCGGCGCACTGCTGCAGTACCCTGACTGGGCAAACACTGGGACAAGCGGGCAAGCAGATGACGGGATGCCGTGTGATTGGGCGTGCGGCAGTCCCTCCGCACACGAAGGTGGAGACAGATGACCTGCTTGCTGGGGTGGTTGGAGGTCCGGCTCACTGGACGCGCTCTAGGACAGTGAAGCTCACTAACACACCACTATGCACCACGCCAGAAGGATCCCAATCTACCTACCTTACCTTACCGAGCATGAACACAGGAGGGGAAGAGGGTCACATGCTCAGCTAGTGTCTCTCTCATGAATCAGAGAACATGAAGTGCGGGTTACAAGAGATTATCTATAGCATCGTTTGCATACACTTGAGAACACTTTGAGAGCCTTGGGGAAGCTTATCAGCCGGCTCCGTGGACATATCCGAGAGAGCACGAAGGCTACAGGTACCTGACCAAACAGAGGCAACACCCATGCGAGAGACTTTCCAAGACTGCAGCCGTCGTTGTCGTCGACATGACGAGATGTTCATCTTTCAAAGTGTATCGGTAACAGGTATGTTCTATGTCTTTATGAAAGTGCGGATGAACATGCAGTCTGCCGTCTCGATCGAGGTTGCACGGCGCCGCTGGCCGCTGAAGTGTAGCTGCCAGAAGGTCTCAATCTTGAACATATCGCCTCGCCAGAGCGGTCCGGCTCTTTACCGGTCCCTTACCACCATTCGTCGTTTCGGTCCGGGCGTTGACGCAGCGGACCCTTGTCCAGATGGCATGCAGTCACTGCAGTATCTTGCGTTTCGCTGCAGAAGGCACCTGGGTTGCATTTGGAGGCAAGACAAGGCCGCGATCGAGAGCTCGTAACGATAGCCAGTTGTTGATGGTCTTCCCAAAGGCCATTAAACCGCTCCCTAGTAAGCTAAGATACCTTAATATCAACTTCCACTCGGAGCGAATACACCTGGAATTAAGGCCAAGTACCACGTTATACTGTTTTATGAGTTGCCACTACCAAGAACACTTCTAGGTAGCCCAAACGTCGTGTGTTTCTGTCTCCAGCCTTGCTGTACGTTACGGGGACGAAGCAAATAAAGAAGCAAGGCTTCCGGGAAGCCGTAAATGGCTGAAGATGACTAAACTCTAAGCGTCTCTAGATCTTTTGCCCGATAGGCGTTTGCTCACTTCGCCGCGAACAACTGCTCCTCATTGGGTCGTCCGGTCTTTGTTGTGTCTCCTAAGCAGTGGCGGAGGAGGGCGGTCCAAATGAGAAGAGACAGTCTCTGGTATTGCGTGTTACAATCCGTACACTTCAGTACAGTTTGTAATGCCACTTGCATGGCATTGCGTGGCGCGAGTGACGTACGCTTAGGCAGCGATATCTTGCTTCAACATGTCTGAAAGTGGATGGAGGAGCGCGACGTGCTGCCGACACGATCAAGGTGTGTCGAGAGCTGCCGCCGGTGTATGTGACCCGGTCACGTGTGGTACTTGTGCCCAAGTGGGAGAAGTGGGAGGTCGCCCACCAGCCCAACGCCCCGCCAACTGCTGTCTCGCTGCTGTCGCTGTCGGCAGAGTCGCAGGGGACTACCTACGACACCGGTGGGGACCGGACGCATGTGGCTGGTGCGTCAGGGATCCAGGGCAAACTCTCGGGCCAGCAGCAACGTGTGTACGGAAAGGTAGGCTCTTGACATCTGTGATCTGGGCCCGGTGCTTGCGACGTCCGCTCCCACCATCCCCAACCAAAACACCTGCAAACTTGCAACCTGCTCGATACCTCGTATCTTTGCTGATATACATACCCGTCGTCGCCGACACATAGGGGGTGTTACGGCCGTTCTCGATCTGATCCTCACTCCGGCCATCGTCCTCGCTTCCGTCTCGAACCCCAACCCCCCTTTCCGGGAGCTTCCACGTATTCCATAGGTTGCGATCTAGGAGCCATCTTCGACACGATACTCGACTACAAAGAAGTCTGTCCTCGACTCGACTTTTCCACCTCGCCCAACTCACCACCACAATCCCCCAAGAGCACCCGGCCGCATCGCAACAATGAGCGCGCCCCCCGCCTCCAGCCAAGGTGGTATCTCGGATCCCGCCTTGATCACGTAGGTGATGCCCAATACCCCTCGACGCACGTCGGAAGCTGACTATGCGCTGCGCCCCAGCCTCGTGAACAAGCTCCAGGATGTCTTCACAACGGTTGGCGTCACCAACCCCATCGACCTCCCTCAAATCGTTGTCGTTGGTAGTCAGTCCAGCGGTAAGAGTTCCGTCTTGGAGAATATTGTAGGAAGAGACTTGTGAGTGTGACAATTGCCCCGGCTCCGCCATCACATGTCTCCCAGGCCTCGAGGCATCTAACAATTTACCTCTTACAGCTTGCCCCGAGGCTCTGGAATTTGTACCCGTCGGCCCCTCGTCCTGCAGCTCATCAACCGCCCCGCGACTTCACAGAACGGCGTCGAGGAGGTGGAAAACAGCACCGACAAGGCAGCCAACGCCGATGAATGGGGCGAGTTCCTCCATATCCCTGGCCAAAAGTTCTACGACTTCAATAAGATTCGCGATGAGATCAGCAGGGAAACCGAGGCCAAGGTCGGCCGCAACGCAGGCATTTCGCCCGCTCCGATCAACTTGAGAGTCTACTCACCGAACGTTCTTACACTGACCCTGGTCGATTTGCCGGGTCTGACCCGAGTGCCAGTCGGAGACCAGCCCCGCGATATCGAGCGCCAGATCCGCGATATGATTCTCAAGTACATCTCCAAGTCCAACGCCATCATTCTCGCCGTCACAGCTGCCAATATCGATCTTGCCAACTCTGACGGTCTCAAGCTTGCCCGCGAGGTCGACCCCGAGGGCCAGCGAACGATTGGTGTTCTTACCAAGGTGGATCTTATGGATGAGGGCACTGATGTTGTTGATATCTTGGCTGGACGCATCATTCCTTTGCGGCTGGGATACGTCCCTGTGGTCAACCGTGGCCAGCGAGATATCGACAACAAGAAACCGATTATGGCAGCCCTTGAGAACGAGAAGAACTTCTTCGACAACCACAAAGCATACAGGAACAAGAGCTCTTACTGCGGAACTCCCTACTTGGCCAGGAAGCTCAACCTTATTCTGATGATGCACATTAAGCAGACCCTGCCCGACATCAAAGCTCGTATCTCGAGCTCGCTACAAAAGTACTCTGCCGAGTTGGACACCTTGGGGCCTAGCATGCTAGGAAACAGCGCAAACATTGTCCTCAACATCATCACCGAGTTCACGAACGAGTGGCGGACGGTATTGGACGGCAACAACACGGAACTCTCAAGCACAGAATTGTCAGGTGGTGCGAGAATCAGCTTCGTTTTCCACGAATTATACTCCAACGGTGTCAAGGCTGTGGACCCCTTCGACGTGGTCAAGGACGTTGATATCCGTACAATTCTGTACAACTCTTCTGGTTCCTCCCCGGCTCTTTTCGTCGGCACCACTGCCTTCGAGTTGATTGTGAAGCAGCAGATCAAGCGCTTGGAAGACCCTAGTCTGAAGTGCGTGTCTCTCGTCTATGACGAGCTGGTGCGCATTTTGTCTCAACTCCTGGGCAAGTCGTTGTACCGCAGATATCCGTCGCTCAAGGAGAAGGTTCACACCGTGGTTATCAACTTCTTCAAGAAGGCTATGGAGCCTACTAACAAGCTAGTCAGAGATTTGGTGGCTATGGAGGCATGCTATATCAACACCGGTCACCCTGACTTCTTGAATGGTCACAGAGCTATGGCTATGGTGAACGAGCGCTACAATCCTTCCAAGCCCGTTCAGGTTGACCCCAAGACTGGCAAGCCTCTGCCGGGAGGTACTCCTAGAGCGTCCAGCCCAGTCGTGCCTGATGATGCTGCGAACGGAGGCTTCTTCGGCAGCTTCTTCGCAGCGAAGAACAAGAAGAAGGCCGCAGCCATGGAGGCTCCCCCGCCAACACTTAAGGCTTCTGGCACGCTCTCAGAGCGTGAGAACATCGAGGTGGAAGTCATCAGTATGTCTTCAATGCCCACTTTGCTCGAGACGCGCTGACCGGAATGTACAGAGCTGCTTATCTCTTCCTATTACAACATTGTGAGGCGAACCATGATCGACATGGTTCCCAAGGCCATCATGCTCACTCTCGTTCAGTGAGTAAACCGACCAGGTTTTGCATGTGACGTCTTGTCAGCTAACAATATGATAGATTCACCAAGGATGAGATGCAGAAGGAACTTTTGGAGAACATGTATCGCACTGACACTCTGGATGACCTGCTCAAGGAGAGCGACTTCACCATCCGCAGAAGAAAAGAGTGCCAGCAAATGGTGGAGTCCCTTGGCAAGGCCAGCGAGATCGTCAGCCAGGTCCAGTAAGAGACGTGAAACGACATACACAGTGGCTTCTGAGAAGCACTCAAATTTTTGCCTGCTGAGATGCTGGCCGCCTCATGCTTCTGGGGGCACGAAAATTAGAAAGAGCGCGGCGTTAAGGCAGTAAAATCTTCCCAAAAATCGTCGGCGGAGTCCCTGGAGGCGTGGAAGGCAGTAGAGAATCGGACAGCGGCAGTTGCGGTGATAGTCCTTTAATGAGAGTGGCATACATTTGTTTCTTGAGATGAAGACTGATTCAAGATGGCCAAAGAGGATATAGCAAGAGAGAGACAGCAATGAAAGATGACGTTTCTAATTCGCTTGTCCTACTGCTTTACATCGTGCCTCATCTTTGGTCGCAAGCTGTCCTGATCTGGCGTGTGGTTGGTTTGCGAGGGTTTGCAGGACGATATTCATCATTCTCTCGATATTTAGACGATCTCTCAAGGCGCACGTTCGTCCCTCGTTAAGAACTGGCTGGCTGGCGGTTGGCTTCGGAATCAAGATTCTTCCAATGTGACCAAGACCCAAGACCCGGTGAATCATGCATTCATAATTTAGCTTCCCCCAACCTGGGACCTTCTGGCAATATTCCGTCCGCTTGGTCTGTGGACGGAAAGCTGGCGTGCTCCTGACCCGGCTTCTGGGGCGGATGTAGGCGTCAAAGCGACATTCATACTTCCAGACGCCACCAGGGCATAAGAGATGGGACATAGGTACGGATACGCCTTGGAGACACGTATGCGCACATAATGGCCCAGTACTGTTACCTTTCTTTTGATTATTCACCTCATGTTACGTCGCGCTAGTGCGCAGGTGGTGTTCCACGTCGGTCAATGCCTGCTCGCTGAGCTTGGTGAAACATTTCCCGGGTAGCATCAGGGTAGCTTCCGTGCTCTATCCCTCTTCCTCTCCCCCGCAGCGCTGAATTGGGAAAGCTTGAGCTCTGGGAGGGGAGGAGTAGACAAGGTCTAGACGGAAAGATCGGGGGAGGGAGAGGGGGAAGACGGTGTTGATAAACTCACCGGGCCTCCCTCCCTTATCTCGCTTCCTTCGTACATCCCCCGCGCGCATACTGTTTCACCCTCGCCTGCAACCTCAGACTTGCTAGAAGATCATTGAGCGAAAACGACGCTCTTAGTCTACTGTAAGGGAAACAAAGCTGCAGAGCTTTCGACTTCGAACCGACGGGCAACGCAGTCAGGGAATTCAAAGTTTCGACAAGAACGAAAACGTAGTAGAGCCGCAAAGATGAAGGCAGTAGACTTCCTCCGCTCTCAATTCAAAAAGCTCCCTTACCCGTCTGACGACTGCACGGGCCGCACGATCATCGTCACGGGCTCCAATGTCGGCCTGGGTCTCGAGGCGGCGCGGCACTTTGTGCGGCTCAACGCGGCGAAAGTGATCCTCGCGGTGCGCAGCACCGACAAGGGCGAGGCGGCCAAGACGGACATTGAGCTGACGACGGGCCGGCGCGACGTGCTCGAGGTATGGCCGCTGGACCAAGCGTCGTTTGAGAGCGTAAAGGAGTTTGCCGCGCGCGCGGACAAGCTGCCGCGGCTGGATTTCGCGGTGCTGAACGCGAGCATCGCGATGAGCAAGAGGGTTGATGCCGAAGGGTGGGAGAGCCAGATTACGGTGAACGTGCTGAGCACGTTCTTGTTGAGTTTGAAGTTGTTGCCGGTACTGCGGAGGACGGGCAAGACGTACAATGTCACGCCCAAGATTGTCATTGTTTCCTCGGATGCGAGTCAAATGGTGAGTCTTGTCAATCTGCTTCTCCCTTTTCCCTAACCCTCGACCAAAATAGAAGATCTAATAGGGGGGGGCTCTGAATACTTACACATGCACGCCTCCAGGCCAAATTCCACGAACGCAACGAGGAGGACATTTACAAGGCGCTCAACACCAACAAGAGCCTCTCGGACCGGTACAACACGTCGAAGCTGATGCAGGTGATCTTGGCGCGGCAGATGGCCATTGCGGCGGACGCGTCGGGCAAAGGGCGGGTGCAGGTGACGACGCTGAACCCGGGCCTCTGCGCGACGGCGCTGTTCCGCAACGTGCCGTTCCCGTTGACGATTGTCGTGAAGGTCGGGCTGAAGCTGTTGGCGCGGTCGGCCGAGGTCGGTTCGCGGTGCCTCACGGCGGGGGCGTTCGCCGGCGAGGAGGCCCACGGGCGGTACATGAGCGACTGTGTCGTTGTGCGGTTCCCCAAGGTCATGCAGGACGAAGAGGGGGAGCAGATGCAGGGGCGGGTGTGGGAGGAGACTGTGGAGCTCCTGAATGGTGTTGATCCCGGGGTTTCGATGAACTTGTGAGGTTTTTGGTCAGCGGTGTCTTTTTTTTTTCCCCTCCTTTTGGGGGAATGGTTCAGTGTGGTGTTTTGTTTGAGAACAAAATTTGTAAGATACCTTTTTGAATATGTCATTTTAGTTTTTGCAGTCTTGGCAGGACCAGGAATGGCATTGTTTTCTCGTGTGAATCTTACAGACGCTAAATTACAAAATACCATGTTGTAGTAAAACGAACCAATATCTACAAGGCGAAATGCTGTAGCAACCCTGATGATCTGTCCTTCCATGACTGTGTGACTCCCTATCCCAGTTGATGTATAAGAGAAGATGAGCATAGCCCAGGTATTACGGATTAGACGTACTCTCAACGAGAAGTCACTTCAACATTCCGACTTTTACATCTTCTTACTGCACAGAGTTAGGCATAGCTCAGTATTCCAGGCCGTATGAACTGTATCACATATCACCAAATTAGGAAGAAGAGACTTCAGTAGTAGGTGCTGTAACTACGTTACTTGTTGATATGCCTTCTGGAGCGTTTGACCCTCTCAAAAGTGATGGAAGTATCCGTGACTAAGGCGTCAGCAGCCGGCGGGATCAAATCCAACAACGTCGCACAACCCAATGCGTCCATCCCATCGGCTCTCTGTTCATGGCCAATTTGAGCAACCTCCTCACCGTCAGTGACCCCACACCGAGTGCTTCGTGCACCGGTGATGCAATGCATGTCCGTGTTCGAAAGGTACTCACCGAACCCACAACAGCTCCCCCGGCCCCCCCGGGATGCGAGGAGGAGCTTACCTTATGTTCAACAACTCCGACACCCGCCCACAGGCGGACGCTGCCTCGGCTTATTTGGAGCTTCTCCAACTCTTAGTTTACCGGCCATGCCTTGGTCACAACTCACAACCGCCGTCTCTTTTACAACTTTGCGTAGCATCTTTTCATTTCCTCTTCGTGTATCTGTAAAAAAAATTTATGACAATATCAATTTCATAGAAAGAAGTACATTAACAACCCTGTCGTCGTCCCAAGTCTCTGAGTCTCATCTCCCGACATATCATCATCTAAGTGAATTTCTGCAAACATGGTCGGCCCTCCGCCTCTGCACGGCGTCAAAGTCCTCGAGTTCGCCGGCCTCGCCCCGGGTCCCTTTGCAGGAATGCTCCTCTCCGACGCGGGCGCCTCGGTCCTCCGCGTCGACCGCGCTCTCAAGGGCAGCCGCACACCCTTGCCGACCGAGGACATGCTAGCCCGCCACAAGGCCAGCGTCGCCGTGGACCTGAAGTCGCCCACCGGCCTCGCCTTTGTGAAGCGTCTCGCGGAAAAGGCCGACGTGCTCATCGACCCATTCCGTCCTGGCGTGCTGGAGAAGTTGGGGCTGGGCCCCGATGTCCTGGAGAAGGCGAACCGGGGCCTGGTTTACGGCCGCATGACGGGGTTCCGGAGGGACGGGCGGTACAAGGACATGGCGGGCCATGACATCAACTACCTCGCCGTGTCCGGGGCGTTGAGCCTGCTCGGCCGTGAGGGGGAGAAGCCGCACCCGCCAGTGAACATCCTGGCTGACTTTGCGGGCGGAGGGGCGATGCTGTTCCAGGGGATCTTGATGGCGCTGCTGGCGAGGGAGAGGAACGGGGGGAAAGGGCAGGTCGTCGAGGCGAACATGGTGGACGGGTCGGCGTACCTCGCCACCTTCTCGCGGTTCGCGCTCAAGACCCCGCTGGGGGACAACGGGCGGGGGCGGAATATGCTCGACGGCGGGTGCCCTTACTACGACACCTACGAGACTAAGGACGGCAAGTACTTCGCCGTCGGGGCGCTGGAGCCGCAGTTTTTCGCGGCTTTCGTCAAGGGGCTCGGGTTGGCGGGGCAGGGGTGGGAACAGAAAAGGTTTGACCGGGAGAGGTGGGGAGAGCTAAGGGAGCTGTTTACCAAGATCTTCAAGACTCGAACGAGGGGCGAGTGGGAGGGGGTGTTTGATGGGACGGACGCGTGCTGTACACCTGTTTTGGAGTATCACGAGCTCGAGACGGAGGCGGCGAGAGAAGGGGACCTGAGGCCGGCGGTGACCTTGGTGGAGACGCCGTGTCTGGCTGTGGCGGAGAGCGAGAATGAAGATCCGAGACGGGGGCAGGGGCCTGGTGTTGAGGGGGGAGGGTATGTTGGCGTTCTGCTCACGCCTGGTGATGGTGGTGAGAAGGCGCTTGAAGAATGGCTGGGGTGGAAGAAGGGGAGAGAGTTCGAGGTCAAAGAGGGGACGTGGGTGCTCAAAGAGAAGTCCAGGCTATGAGAATTGGGCCCAGATGTTGATGTTGTATAATCATGTCTATAATGTTCAGGGTATTCGGTAATCTGGCACGTCTCTATTACACCACTCATTTCTGGTGTCGTTGAACACAATCAAGCTGCTACCAAGACCTAGTCATATTCATGTATGCTCCGATGATTACGCAAATGACTATACACACGTTAGTTCTACTGACTTGCTGGTATCATTCAATATCCAATTGATATTTGCCTTTCATGAACCGGAGCGTGAAGACGGATGCTTTAACTCGGACTTGGCGGTGGGTTCGGAGGTGGTCGAGGAGAGGGAGGGTCGGTCCTTGACATATCCGTGATGGTGACCGAAGACGCTGCTTTGCGTATCATGGATACACACGGGCTTGGGCGCCACTCTGTCCGAAACATTAGCTGATCCTTCCAAGGGGAACTCTTCAGCATGCCAAACCTCTCTGCGGATGTAGCTGCTTGTATTCAATTGCTTCCCATAAGCCTGAACAAGCGAATCATCTGAGAGATATTCAAGCTTGACATGGCATTGCAGTCCGTTTTATCAGAGGACAGCGTCCCTAGAGAATCATCCTTCGAGCAACGTCGGCCTCTCTTCGTATACTCACTCGTCGGCCACTGCGCCCTCCCGTTCGCTGACCGCCACTACTGCCTCCTTTTTTTTCCCCCTCTTGTCGGTGATGAGATGGAGTAGTTGAGGTGTTTTCTTGACCGACGGCGCTGTCCATATGCCGGAAGCCTTTCCCGCCTGTGCCGTCCCGGGGAGCGGAAAGAGTCACCCCAGGATGTCAAAGTGGCTGTAATCTGTCTATATCCCAGCCCATCGGAACCCGACGGCTCGCGCTCCCCGGCAGATTGAGGGCCTTTCTGGGCTCACCTATCAGACGGGATGGCTGGTTGAACGTGGGGAAAGGCTTGGTGGCTTTCTGTGCTGCGTGTCTCTTGTTGTGCAGACTGTCCCCGGCTCACCGCCACGAGTATGAGTATGGTTGTCACAGAGTATGCGGGAAAAGCAAGTTGATCCTAACACTTGTGTACCGGCATGGATGGCGGAGGCCTGTGGTGCATTGTATCTTTATTTGGGACTACCTCCTACTCGTGAAGTCGTAATAGAAATAATGTGTTTCCCTACACCATAATGTAGAGCCTTCGCAGACAGCTTGTTGCCGGTCTCTACTAGCTGGGCACACGGGAAACGACTGTTACCAAGGCTAATCGACAAAGAATCGGAGCGCCCTGCAGTGTTAGATCGGCTGAGCGCCAAACATAGGACAAAGTATTCATAACGAGGTAGCAGTGCCTTCGAGTTTTAGGCGCCACTTATTCCTCCTGAATTGTCCCGAATTGAACCATACCCCTATGGTGGTGTCATTTGCTTTTCTGTATTCGGTATCAAACATGCCAGCCATTCGGTAGGCGAGTCCTCAAGCGTGAGGACTACTGATTTCATTTCGTGCTCCCATGATGTACCAGCAGTGGCGGCTAGGTTTGATCCCAACAAAGGTTACTCGACTTCCGTCAACGAGATGCTTTTCAGTCGAGGCAATTTCTGGTGATAGATCGGTCGCAGAAACGGCTTTCATCACCGTGTTATTTATTGACGTTATTTGCCGCATTGTTCAATACCGCCTCATAGGACCTTTTGAACCAACTCAACCGTGTCGAAGAAAGCTTCCCGCTCAGTGTCGACCTTGGTGAGCCCCAGTCCCAAAACGAGCGTCCTGCGATCCTCAGGGTCTCTCGTGGACATGAGACTGGCAATCTGTGCGGCATAGAGCTGTCCCAGAGTTTCTCTCTCATCACCTCCACCGCCGAGAAGCGTCTTGGGTGTGAGATGGACCGAAGGTAGCAGACCCCGGCTACTTGAAGGCAGGCTGAGGTCGACCATACCGCCTGATGAAGCTTGCAGAGGCACTTGGATCTTGTGAGTTGGTCAGTATGGCCAATCTTTATCATTCTTAGCTAGATCAAGAGGACATACCCATTGTGAGAGCTTGCCATCTTGTGAGATTGTCAATACAAACTTGTCAGAGAAGGAGACTGAAGTGACTTCTGTTGGGACGCCGTTCACTGTCCCCGTTTCCTGCCTGCTCCTTGCGGGGAAGGCCTCTTCTCGGATGCCTATGGAATCCATCCTGTATTGAATTTTCTGGACTGAAGATGTTTGGTATAAGCGGGTTGTTTTTGGGAAATGGCTTTACAACGCGGTTGAGTGGGCGTGTGATGTAAGGTCGTTTGTTGTATTGCTGGACCTCACAGAGGGCCAACTGAGGGAGTGCAGCCAGTGGGCACTTGCTGAGGGTCCCGTCAACTCCACAGGACCGTGACAAGGGTGTGTATCGCCCCGCACTAAGCTCAAAATAGCGGAAAGACTGGCGGTCAGGGCGGCAGAACCTTTTCCATCCAAAAATTTACAGAATTCGGCAGCGGATCTCAGCGACTCCCAGCGTTGAAGGAGGGAAACGTCAGATTTACTTCGTGTGCATCTCCCAACATTAATACCCTTTTTTACAATGTCAAATTTTCGGAGGCACTAACATCGATTTTACAACGCATTATCCCGCAAATTGAACCGTTTCTTGGACTTTGATGAATTGACCTGTTCTCACCTGGACCATCAACGGAAGTCAGTCTCATCCACCTAAACTTTTTCAGTGAAGTGAGAGGGAGGCCGCAGCAAAACGGCAGCGATTTTTGCTTCAGTCCACAACAACACCATATACCACGAGGAATCTGCATTGTAAAACACCGGGGCTTTCATATTCTCAAAATGGGCAAATTTGTCCCAAGACAGCGAAAGCACAAGGTGCTCGCCCGAGAGAGGTCCAAGGAGAACGGTGTCATCCCCCAGGACTCGAACGCGGATGAGATTCTCCCCGAAGACCAGAAGCGTCTCCAGGACAAGAGGGCGCAGCTCAAGGCTGAATTGCAGGGAGACGGCGCCAAGCCCAGCGGCAAGAAGGCGAAGCGGCTGGAAAAGTACATCACAAACAAGCTCCGCAAAGATGAGAATCGCGAAATCCTCGCCAAGCTCGCGCAGCAAAAGGTCGACACGAGCCTCTTCACGAGTACCAAGACTCTCGGCCAGGGCAAGGAGTCCAAACGCCAGGCTTTGACCAGGGCACTGCGAGAGAAGAACGCCGGGTTGGAAGTCGACGCGGATGCGGAGGAACTGCTCTATGAGAAGAGAGACGAGGCACCTGAGGCGGATTCTGAAGACAGCGAATACGAGGCTCCAAAGGCACCCAAGCTGCAAGCTTCCATGGTCACAGTCAAGGCACCTGCACCAGCACCAGCACCAGCAACGACATCAAAGTCAACATCAGAAACATCATCACAAGCACCAGCTTCAGCACCTGCACCTGCACCTGCACCTGCGTCAAAGCCGGAACCAAAACCCGCCGCATCTACAGGATCTGGTCTGAAGCGCCCTCTGGATGTCGACGAAGCGGGTCGACCAGTGCTTCGGAAGCGTCAAAAGAGGGGCGGCGTTGTTTCCAAGTTCTCCATCGCCGAACCGGAGAAGGCAAAGGATGCGGAGGACGAATGGAATGGTCTCAGCGATGACGCAGAGGGAAAATCCAGTGATGAGGAAAATTCGTCTGCGGAGGAGTCTGAACAATCAAGCGAAGGTTCTGACGAGTCGGAGGAAGATGATGACGAGGACGACGAGGACGGGTCTACCAGCACGAGGCAGTCTGCCTTCAAAGCCTGGGCACTCGCTCAAAGAAACGAAGCCCTTGGCTTTGAATCAACAACAGAGGCTTCCACAGCACTCGAAATCCCTAGACCGGAGAATTTTGAGCCACGGCCGCTTGAGCAAGAACCACTGCCTCAGGAACTACAGCCGACAACGAATCTTGCACGCAAGGCATACAGTGTTGCCGTGACGCGGACTCCGGAGATCCAAGAAGTTCGTATGAAACTCCCAGTTGTTGCCGAGGAACAGAAGATCATGGAGATGATTCACAACAACGACATCGTCGTCGTGTGCGGTTCCACAGGTTCCGGTAAGACAACACAGGTGCCGCAGTTCCTGTATGAGGCTGGTTATGGTTCTCCTGGCTCCGCGACTCCGGGCATGATTGGTGTTACGCAGCCTCGACGAGTTGCTGCCGTGAGCATGTCGAAGCGTGTCGGGCAAGAACTCGGCGACCACTCGGACAGGGTCGGATACCAGATCCGATTCGAGGGCACAGCTTCAGCCAAGACGGCCATAAAATTCATGACGGATGGTGTGTTGCTACGAGAGATGGCGCAAGACTTCTCCCTGAAGAAGTACTCGGCAATCATCATTGATGAGGCCCACGAGAGAAGCGTCAACACAGATATCCTGATTGGAATGCTGAGTCGTATCAACAACATCCGCAAGGGCAACGACAAGGTCGATCCCTCGATCAAGCCACTCAAGATCATCATCATGTCCGCGACGCTGAGAGTCGAAGACATGACCAACAATACCACACTATTTCCCACCCCACCCCCTGTGGTAGAAGTTGAAGGACGGCAGCATCCCGTCACGATTCATTTTTCGCGGCGCACACAGTCTGACTTCGTCGAGGAGGCCTTTAACAAGATCATGCGTGGTCACAAGAAGCTGCCGCCCGGAGGCTTTTTGGTGTTCCTCACAGGTCAAAACGAAATCAGGTACCTGAGCAAGCGACTGAGAGAAGCATTTGGTGGCTTCACCGAAGCAAGTGCACCCAAGGTCCAGATCTCGGCTACCGACGCACCTATGGAGGTTGAAGATATCGACTTTGGCGAGGTCGACGATACGATTGCTGCCGACATTGACGATGGGCTCGACGAAGATGAGGATATGGAGCACGAGGACGACAAGGAGTTTGACATTGAAGGAGAGGAGGGAGAGACGGGGCCTATGAAGATGCAAGTCTTGCCTCTTTACTCTCTGCTGCCAACCAGGGAACAGATGAGAGTGTTTGAGGATCCCCCCGAAAATCACCGTCAAGTCATCCTGGCAACCAATGTGGCAGAAACCAGTTTGACGATCCCTGGCATCCGGTATGTCTTTGACTGCGGCCGGTCCAAGGAGCGACAATACGATCGCTTCAGCGGAGTGCAAACCTACGAAATCGGCTGGATCAGCAAGGCCAGTGCCAGCCAGCGTGCTGGTCGTGCCGGTCGTACGGGACCCGGTCACTGCTACAGACTATACTCCTCAGCCGTCTACGAGCGAGACCTGCCCGAGTTCACAGATCCCGAGATCCTGCGGATGCCCGTCGACGGCGTCGTGCTCCAGCTGAAGGCAATGAATCTCTCCAACGTCGTCAACTTCCCCTTCCCGACACCGCCGAATCGCATGGGTCTCCGCCAGGCTGAAAAGTTGCTCACCTACCTCTCAGCCATTGCGCCGGAGGGCCAAATCACAAAGATTGGATCAACCATGTCCATCTTCCCGCTCTCGCCCCGCTTCGCCCGCATCCTCCTCGTCGGACACCAGCATGATTGCCTGCCGTACACCATCATGATGGTGGCAGCGTTGTCGGCAGCCGAGATCTTCGTCCCGGAACACCAAGCGATCCCCTCCCTCGCCGCGCGCGACGAGTCCGAGTTCCGCCGCACTGCCGACATCATCGCCGAAGACCGCCAGGCCAACATCAGACGCCTCTTCAACGCCGCGCACAAGAACTTTTGCTACCTGGACGACAGGTCCGACGCCATCAAGCTCCTCCAGGTCGTCGGCGAGTACGCCCACGACCCGACGGAGAAGTGGTGCGAAGACCACTTTGTGCGGTACAAGGTCATGAAGGAGGTGACGCAGCTGCGCCAGCAAATCACGGAGCTCCTCCGGGCCAACATCCCCGCGTTCAAGAACCTAAAGTACCAAGAGCGTCTCGACGCGCCGTCGGACAAGCAGGTCGCCTACCTCAAGCAGATGGTGGCCGCGGGCTTCATCGACCACGTCGCCCTCCGCGCCGACAAGTCCCCCGTGCCGCCCGAGGTGACGCGGAAGCCCGGCCGCGCCATCGACGTGCCGTACATCCCGCTCTCGCCGCTCGGAGTGGGCCACGGTGCCGAGAAGCTCGTCTACATCCACCCGACGTCGCCGCTGGCGCACCTCAGCCCGCAAGAGTGCCCCGAATTCGTGGTGTACTCGCAGCTCCAGCGGGCGACGCAGGGCGCGGACGTGAACAAGACGCCCAAGACGAGGATGCTCGCGCTCACGGACGTCACCGGCGGGCAGCTCGCGAGCTTGGCCAAGGGCACGCCGCTTGTCAGCTACGGGAAGCCGGTCAAGGAAATTTCTTCGACCGCGAATACGCGTGAGGTGTGGGTCGTGCCGTACCTGAGGGCCGAGGGTGTTGGTGGTCAGGGCTGGCCGTTGCCGATGAAGAAGGTCGTGCAGCGCAGGGTTGCTGGTAAGGGATGGGTCGTTGAATGAAACGCGGGGAGTTAAAAGTTGGTATAGGCATATTTCAATAATATAAAATGGACACGAGGCATTCAGTGTTACTTCGGTGCTCTCATCTCGCGGCAATAATGAATGGCCTGTTGGTTGACGGGAAGAGAGTTAGTTGCCACAACTGGGTCAAAACGTACTCGTTCCATCGACTTGAACCAGAAGGAATTTTGTTTTGCTAATGATTGAGTCTTTCACCAGCCCTACCACGAAATCGGGTATGTCGGTACGTCTGGTAGGAAACACCTCCTTGCCCAACGCCAAACCTCCCAAAACAAGAGTCCAAACCGGCCGGCGGTCTAAACACGTAGCGAGTGGGCGGTAAATCGGTTCACAATCCGAACCTTCTTCTCCTTCATAGGGTTTTACTCAGTATGGACCATGTGTTCTCCTTCCTCTCCGTCTTCCGTTCAATGTTTTGGGCGGTTTGTTTGCGAGTGTATTGGGAAGGGGAGGCAAGTCTGAGAATCAGGTAATACACGGGACAGACACACAACACACACGGACACGGGTGGCCCTGGGAAACTTCGGACGAAGAAATATGAAGCGGGTAAAGCTGCAGATGCATGCCCGTGGCCGGGCCCGAGCGAGACTGACTTATGCCACTCTCTTTCGAGAGAGAGGATGTTTTCCATTTGTTCTAGTGTTGTTGTCGTCAATTCTATTCGCCGGTGAGACTTTACTTTCTAGAGCCAACGCAAACACTCCCACACAGGGTTTCGAGTCGACTTTCGTGACGATAACGACAAGCTTTAGTTGTTGCTTATTCATACATCAAACCTTTTTGTGTGTCTCTCGCCCTAGGTTGGAAAATCAGTCTTCTGCCTAGGTGGTCTGAAGCTCGAACTGACTCGCAGTCCTGCACCATCATATTACCGGATCATTATACTTGAAAAAGACGGGTGCCCCAACGCCACGCGCCCCCTCCGGACCGGGCCCCGATGATATTGCAACAGCAGAGATCGACCTGGAAGGAAAACGAAGCTCTGATTGACGAATGCATGAGTACTCTCCGCGAAATTGAGATGAAAATGACACTCTTCTCAGGCGTTGCCGTCGTCACCGGCGCTGCTTCAGGTAACGTCACATAAACCTCTTCAAGACTTGGGTTCATATCTAGACGCGGCACGTTCAATTATGGGAATGGGAAGGGAGTAAATGAGTAAGATTCCGAACTAGACTAACAGAGTAAAAGGTATCGGCCGCCAGGTCGCAATCTCGTTCGCCCGCGAGGGCTGTAAGCGCATCGCCCTGCTCGACAGAGATGAGGACGGCGCACTGGAGACTGCTCGCATGTGCCGGGAAGCCAACGGGGAGACGCGCACCTTTGTCATGGAGATTGACAACCGGAACGACGAGGACATTTCTTCATGTATGGAGAACGTTGTGGAAGAATGGGGCAGGATCGACTACGCCGTCAACTGCGCTGGTGAGTTTTCCTCGATATGTCTTCTCACTCGACGCGAGTCTGTCCGGGGAAAGTCTAGCTTTTTAGGGAAAAACAAAGACAAGAGTAAAGAGCTGTATTAATGAGAAGATAAAAGGCATGTTTGGACCCAAAGCGCCATCACACCTCTTGACGCCCGCCGAGTTTGACGAGATCACCAACATCAACTACCGCGGCACCTGGCTATGCTCCCGGGCGGAGCTCACCCACATGATCAAGCAAGAGTCCATGATGACGCACGATGGAAGGCCAGGGAACCGGGGCGTCATTGTCAACGTTGCGAGCAACCTGAGTTTGGTCAGCCGGCCAGAGACACGTGAGTCCGAGCCGAAACGACCATTCCTGTGTTATAATCGTGGTAGTTGATCAACCTTTTAGCGGCTTACAATGCTTCCAAGGCGGCCATCTTGAGTCTGACAAGGAGTGATGCTATTGATGTGAGTTTCCTTCAACAACGAGAGGGAAGACCGGGCCTCAGTCTGACAACTAGCAGTATGCAAAGTACAATATCCGCGTCAACTGTGTGTGCCCGGGAATCATTGAGTAAGTTTGGGAAAAACATTGATGAGGATGTTGGCCACGAGGGCTGACCAACGCACTCAGCACGCCGATGACGAGCGAAGTCTCGCCAGACGACCCTATAATCTCAGTAGCCCCCATGAAGCGGAAGGGAACACCCCAAGAAGTCGCCGATGCCGTCTTGTTCCTCTGCAGCTCCAAGGCGTCCTTCATCCACGGTGCGTCGTTGTCCGTCGACGGTGGCTACGTTATCAACTAGGTAGGCCTCGTCCCCCTTTGTCGGACGGAATTGGTTTCTATGTATGAGCAAGATGAGAGAGACAGACAGAGACCAAAAGAAATTGTTGATAGAAAAAGCGTTTGTGGAGTAGCCGGCCGGCGAGTAGACCAAGCGTAGTGTAAGGATATCAAGCAAGAGAGACCAGGAGAGACCATCGACGCAAAGTCGCTGTGTGTGTATTTAGTCACTTACTTCAATCAATAGTAAGCATATTGAATTCGTTTTTTGAAATTGCTTAGAGCTGTATCCCTTGCGTTTTGGGATCATCAAAGTCGGAGAGAGGTGAAGTATACGCACAAATCTCGCAGACTTGGGAAGCAAACAGGGGGAAATTGAAATGCGAATGGCTTCAGAATGCTTTGGAGTCGTTGAATCGGGTTTGGTCCGTGATCTTATCTTGATGGAAGCCATTTTTGTGATAGAAGAGGAGACTAGTGGTGCGTGAGATGACGCCAGCCAAAGTGTCCGAAAAGTCTCCAGATCAACATTTCTACCAGACCGTACTTAAGACGCCCTTCTCCCGCTATCTTGAGATCACAATCTCAATACACATCAAAAAATACCAGTTGCCCGAAAATGGAAATCAGGACACCAAAAATCCTTATCGTCGGCGCAACCGGTCGGACGGGAAGCGCAACGATCGCAGCCCTCGCCTCAGCCCCAAACCGGCCCGCAATCCTCGCCCTCACCCGCTCCCCGTCCTCCCCCAAGTCCCAAAACCTTCTCAAATTATTCCCCGAGTACTCATCATCGCCACCATCATCATCGTCGCCTCCCATCACCCTCGTCCAAGGAACGCCCGAGAACCCAGCACCAATCCTCGCCTCCCACCCAGACATAACGGCAATTTACCTCGTGACCGTGCCGCCCGCAGACGAAGCGCAGGCCATACCCTTCATCGACGCAGCAATATCCCACAAGATCCCACACATTGTCTTCTCGAGCGTCGACCGCGGCGGCGACGAGCGCTCGTGGGTGAACCCGACGTCCGTCCCGCACTTTGCGGCGAAGCACCGCGTCGAGATATACCTCCGCGACACGACGCGCGGCACGGCGACGGCGTGGACGATTCTCAGGCCCACGGGGTTCATGGACAACTACCACGCCTCGGCGGGGGCCCTGGGCGCCGTGATGGGCGGGCTGTGGGCGACGATGCCGGCCGGTCTGGGTGGTCGCAAGATGCAGCTCGTCAGCGCGCGGGATATCGGGCTCTTTGCCGCCAGGGCGCTGATGGATGGTCCCGATGGCGAGTGGGGTGGCAGGGCGCTGGGGCTCGCTGGGGATGAGATTGGTTTCGCGGAGGCGGCGGAGGTTTTTGAGAGGGTCGTTGGGCAGAGGATGCCGAGGACGTGGGGGGTCGTTGGCAGGGCTGTGAGGTGGGCTTTTGAGGATGCCGGGAAGAGCATGGAGTGGTTCGAGGAGGAGGGGTACAAAGCTGATGTTGAGAAATTGAGGGGGATGGAGCCGCGCTTGCAGAGTTGGGATGCTTGGCTGAGGGAGAGTAGCGGGTGGGTAAAGGGGGACGAGGAAGCAATGTGAAAAAGAGGTTCAGTAGATCAAACTCAACAGAATCAACAGCTGACAACCAGGTAGGAAGTCGTGAGTCCACGACCATACGAGAACAAGAAGCCACAAGCTCTCCTAAGCAGAAAGGGGGTATCATTACTAAATCAAAACGCTATGAGTGAGCCATATCCAACCTTTCCTCTCCTTGTTCTCCTCAGGAACAAATTTCACGAAGACGGGCCGGGGGTTGTGGCCGGCGTCGCAATCTTGCTCTTCTTCCTCTTCGGCTTCGGCCCATTGGGCGTCTTGGGACTCTTGCTCTCCTTCCCCTCCTTCTTCGCCTCCTCGGCCAGCTTGGTATTGATAACCGGCTTCGGCTGCGCCTGCGAAGGCTGCGGTGGCGGCGGCGGCGCAATCTTGTCCTTGCGCCCCGTGCTCGCAAAGTGGAAGTCACCGGGCCTGCCCGTGATCGGGTTCTCGTCAAAGTAGTCGCCGCCGTGGCGCATGTGGATCGCAAAGGACTCCTCCGCTAGCCTGTCCAGCGCATTTGCCGTCGTGTCCTTTTTGCTGGTCGATTTGGCGACCGCTGAGGCCTTGCCGTTCATTGCGCCTTCGGCCGCGGGCGTATCTGCCGCTCCGCCATCTTTCGATGCCGTCGCGCGAGCGAGGGCCGAGGGGGGCGTCGGTTGGGTGTAGACGTGGCCCAGGGAGGGTGTCCACCTCCGTACGCTGTCGGCCGCGGGGAGAACCTTTCGCATCGATTCGGCAATCGATTCCTGGTGCCGTGTTAGACTCCATTGGTGATCAACAGGGGTTTCATCCCTGCCCAGAGAGAGGGACTGGTGCGTGAGACCTACAATCCTTGAACTGAGAAGGTCGCCCAGGGTCGGCGCCTGATAAATATTCTCCCCGACAACAAAGTAATATGCAAGAGGCTTCGTCTCCATCCGGCCACGGTCGATATTTTTCTGCCTCGTCTGCTTCACAATTGTCCACACGCCGGTGCCCATGACCATGTCCGCCGGCGCGTGCAGGACCCTGAACTCGAGCCCGGCCATCTTATCGAGCTCGCTCTCAAAGGCCTCGCGCGTGGCCAGGTTCTTGAGGAGGGCCGGGTTGAACATGGCCTGGTTTGTGATGACGGCGTTGTTGGACTGGCGGTCGAAAAAGGGCGACTCGGCAAAGTAGAAGAGCACGCTGTTGGAGTGGATGCCCTGCATTGTGGCCGCGATCTCGGGCGCGCGCCATTGGATCTCGTCCAGTGGTGGGTCGCTTGGGTTGGCCATCGTCGAGGGCGCAGCGGTCGTCGAAGGAGTTGTGCTAAAGATTTGTCGGCGGTTCGTTCTGTCCTCTGTACAAAAGGTAGGTGTGGGTGACGTTGGAAGGGATGATTCCGGAGCTTGCTGAGCCGCAATGTTGCTAACGTACGGAGAAGCTCTCCAACTTTTGTATCGTGGGGCGTTGGCCAGTACCTTAGCTTGTTCCATTGCAGGGGGTCACGGATCGACAGGGGTGCTTTGCGGGTGCAATCACGTGACACGATTACCAGCCGACAAGCTCCAAAGACCTTGAAGTTTGAATGGGTCCGACCTGACAACAACCATCATCAAAAACCCCAACATTATAGAACAAACAAAACCACAAAAACAGTATCGCCACGAAATCTCAACGGGAGAACATATGACACCCATATAGCCCGATACCCAGATTGAATTAAACCGCCAACTATGGACCTCCTCTCGAGTGTCCGCAAATCCGGCTCCCGCGGCGGCGTAAACTTCAGTTGGGACGAGGTCGCCAACTCGTCTCACCGCGAAAACTACCTCGGACACAGCCTCAAAGCCCCCGTCGGTCGCTGGCAAAAAGGCCGCGATCTGAACTGGTACGCCAAGGGCGACGACGATGCGGGAGCGAGGGAGGGCGAGACGGACGAGGAGAGGCTGGAGCGCGAGCGCAAGGAAGAGCTGCGAAAGATCAAGGAGGCTGAGGAGGACGCGCTCGCGCGCGCGCTGGGCTTACCGGTGCCGCAGCGGGACTCTTCGGGCGCGAATGCGGTTGAGGTTAGCGGGAATAGGGGTATCGGCGGTGCTGATGCAGGCGGCGGAGGCGACGCGAAGCCGTTGAAGGAGGAGAGCAAGGGCGGGCTCGTTGTCAGTGAGAAGAGGGAGCGGAGGGATCGAGGTGAGGACAAGGATAGGCGGCGGAGGCGGAGTCGTAGCCCCCGGCGAGATAGGAGGAGGGAAGGCGAGAGGAGACGGAGTCGGGACCGGGAGCGCGGGGAGGAGAGGCATCATCGCCGTGGTGAAGGGCGGGAACACGGTCGTGAGCTGAGGGATTATGATCGGGATCGTGATGAGGGGCGGGAGAGGCGGTACCATCGAAAGGCGAGGAGTCGAAGCCACGAGCGCGAGCGGAGAGAGCATCGGCGGCGGAGCAGGAGCAGAGAGGGTCAACGAGCCCGGTCGAGGGACCGCCGGCGCAGTCCGGACAAGCGTCACTGATGAACGCCACCAGACTGTTGGAAATCCGATTTGATGAGAGAAGTCAATGATACCCAGGGCACATTTGATGCGCGGTGCAAGCGCAGTATATAACAACGAAGAATACCTATGAACATCCACTCTCAAGATGGCGTTGTGACCGACATATCAATATTCTACCATTTGAATGACTGATACTCACGAGATTGTCGGTTGCGAATCCATAGCCCCCATAGGGCAAAGGCTCATGACGGCCTCACAGAAACCTTCTAACCCATGACTTTGCGAAGACGAAATCCCATTCCAGGTCTCAACTTCAGACTGATCTGCAATTTGATCCAGCCCCTGACCCTGAAATAAACGCCACTATCTGCCTCACCATGATTTTCATCAACCTGAACGCCAGTCCCATACAACTCCAATGCCGACAATGACAGTCCAAATTCGCCAGATAACTCATGCGCTGAACGACGTTACGTAGTACTGCAAGTGGTCAGTCAGTATTATTCCTCAACATCGCATGCAGGGGCACTCTTACAGTTAGTACGGCATCGTCCGCTGTGGCATCGTCATACTGCGGCACGTAGACATACAGAATCAAAGCGTGGTCGTCTGCGAAAGCCGCAACAACCCTGCCTTCGAGCCGCCCTACACTCAACACCCGGCTCCAATCCTTCCCATCCACTCTCACCGTGGCCCATTTCTCCGGGCCGCCTTCCTTGAACTTGACACTCGGGTGCTCTTCGACGGGCATCTCCAACTGCGTGGGGTCCAGCTCCGGGTTGACGAGACCCGACCACGTACTCGAGACGTCGACTGCCTCCGTCGCGATCCGGAGCTTCAGGTTCCCAAACATGTTGGCGCTTAGCTCCAGCTTGGGACTCACGCGGGAGTTTGTGCCGGACGAGATCGCGAGCTTGGTGAACCGATCCGAGATGGCTTTGAGCTGGAGCAGAGGGGGCATGGTGATATGCACGTCTGTCTCGCGCACCGTGGGCTGCATGATGGTCTCTACCGTCTCTGGGTGCAACACCCGCACGGGGATGTCCTGGGTGATGATCTTTTCGCGCTCACGCCGCAGAGACGTCTCTAGATGCTCAGCGGCGAAGCCTTGGTCGTCCTCGTCAAAGGGGTCGTTTTCGAGACCGGCGTAGGCGGCGTTGCGGCCGGGCAGGCCTGAACCTGAGGACGTGTTTGTCGTCGTGGTGATGGTCATGGACAGCACAGGGATTCCATCCTTCTTGGTAAGGCGCAGCGAGGCCGAGGTGCTGTTGAGCGCAGAACGCAGGGCACGCTGGAGGGGCTGAAGGGGCAGCTCTAGATTGATGGTGTTGTGCTCTTCTGCGGATTGGATGTGATAGCTATCGAAGATGAAGTCCATGGGTAGAGAACTGGCCATGATTCAGCAGCCATGCTTCCAAGACGCAATCAGAGTCAGAGTGCAGCAATCTTACGACCAGACTTGAGAACCCGTGTCGGGTATTACTGTGAAGCGCGCCGTTTCATCGTCAAGGCGAACCCATGCAATTTTCTCGAGCGAGTTAAGGGCAGCTGTAAGCTCTGTAAAACGAAGGGAACGGTCAGAGAGTCACTGGGCGAGCCCGAGGTTGCAGCGACCAGGCAAAGGATAGTAGTTATGGGTTCGAACGCACTGGAAAAAGTACGGATGTTTTTGAGCTCCGTCTTGAATCGCATTTTCGAAACCTCGATCTCTTCAACGGCTGACCGTCCGGACGGGAAACTATGCAGGGACAGGACACATGAACAGAAAGAAACTCCCGACGGCAGTTGAGGGGCGAAGGGGTGGGGGGGAGCTGATTGCCTCTTTTGGTGTAGACGCGTAAAGTGGAAAGAGAAACGACGCGATCTTGCCTTCCGAGGTGTGGTACGCCGTCGTGCGTGGTGCTGCCACTGGCAAGGAGACGGCACCGGAGCACAGGTGGTGCATGCCTGCCGCCACGCAGCCCACGCAGCACTGCAGTGCGGATGGCCTGCAGAAACGGCATGGAAGTCTTTAGCGCGGGGCATACCACCCCTGTTAGCGTACCCGGATTAGGAGACCTCACCCCATTCACAGTTCACGACTACCCCGCTATCACCTGAGGTGGACAGAAGAGGGCGAGATCGATCTACGAGGCGGCCAGTAAGATAACGTCGCGACCGGCTTCACCTTCCCTTCCCTGTTGATTCAAGATTCCGGGAGTAGGTAGGTAGGTACTGTACCAGGTTTGGACGTCAGTGGGTATGTCGACTCTCCAGAGTGAAGTCGATGGACGCGAAGGGCAATCTTCGAGACTACTCTTGGATTGCAGTGAAGCAGTCGAAGTGGGCTGTCTATTAGGTTTTCATAGGGCTTCAATGTGTTTGTTCGAAAAGTTGACATGATGAAATAAAGGTGTTTAGAATTACTGTCAAAAGCTGGAAATTCTTTACAGGTATTGGACAAATGAAATCCGTCAGCTATACCATCTGCTGTCTCATAGACTCATGAGGCTTCGCCCAAGTCATCATGCTCCCATCAAACTCAAGGCCTAGCTTGTTTGTCATAATGCCAGTCCTGCCATCCGCTGTGATACCATCGTCTATTAGGCTCTCAAAAACCACCGCCGTGCACAGAGCCGCCCATGGCTCGGGTTCCCATCCATCGTGTATACATCGCTAGTGAAGCAGAACCGTTCAAGGCAGAAGAAGTCGTGTAACGTTTCTGCGGAGACCTCCCGCAGCAGTAATATCTGCGATACCTGCGGGTGTTACTTTTTTGGTGGTTTCGACCCTGAAGCCTTCCGATCTTCTTGAATGAAGTGCTCGGTCCACTTCTTCCTCCACACTTCGCGGTCCTCCCAGGGCTCTTTTGTTGGTGTTTCTTCCTGTTCTTTGGGAACCTCTTGAGGGATGGACGCCATATTGTGATCGAGTGAGTGGATGAGAGAGTTGAGCCGTGGCAGGAGTTGGCCGCGGAAGTATTTCGAGGTTTTGCGAGTACGTTGCAGTTGAGTGTGGCATATTTCGCACGGCATCCAGCCCCAGTACATGTAACTGCGCGTCGGCTTCGTTGTTGGAACCACGGGGTGTCCGCAGTCGCACCGCATGCTCACCCGACACCAAGGGCAGTGCGGCTCATCGACGCTGGCGACGCCAAGCCAGTATTGTATGCAGTCGCCGCCGAAGCGGTGACCGCAGGGAAGATATCGCCAGATCTCCTTGTCGCCCTCCTCCTTGACCTCGCCGACTTTCTCGTAACATATTGCGCAGCAGGTATCGTCGGCAGCGGGATTCGAAGCCATCTCCTGCTTCCGCATAACAGATTTGAAAATATTCATCGTCTCCAGCAGGAAGGGGACATGGAATTCGCTAAAAAACCAGCCAGCGACAAGCGGCGTCGAAAACTGTTGGCGATTCGAATCCGGATAAACCGATGGCTTTGTTGCTAGACCGAAAGGCGGGCGAGTAGTAGTGTACAAAGAAAGTGAAGAACGTGACAAAGAGGGAAAGTACAACACCCGGACAGGACGAGCCACTGACTTTAGGAAAGCTAATCGTGCCTTGCAGATGGCCCGACATTGACCTCGTAGTTGGACCGTTCCGGATTCTCTACCGGGTCAACCATGTCTTTCTCACGAAAAGGCATGGTGCACGGAGCCATACCTTGGGGATAAGGTGTGCTGCCGACTCGCTGGGCTATGCTTGACATGTGCGCTGGCAGCCTTTAGTCTGACCTTTTTGGGAACATCGAGAGCATTGGCTGGAGGCGGCGTGTGACGCTTGACGCTTGTCAAAAGGAGTGTGTGCCCCTCCCCAGGAAAGAAACTGTTTCGACGCTGCTGACCTCCATCCTTTCATCCCACTCTTTCATATCGAAGAGAGTCAGGTATGATGCTGAGGAGGGGTTCATGGGGGGGAAGGATAGGTACCGCCGTCTCCGATAGCGAAAGAGAGAAACATGACGGGCCAAATTAGGTAAGATGTAGAGACATGCAGGACAGAAACACGGGCGCCTGAGCGGTGCTTGTTTCGGACATGTGGTTGCGCCTGACCCTCACTCGGACCAAACAAAGCCAAGACAGAGCGAGATAGTCGACCATAGTGAGGCAGGTTGGCAGGCGGCATAAAGTTCAGCTGATGTTGATTTCAGCATTGAAATGTATGCAGTTTTAGCCACTCCTGATCGCCACTTAATTCCCACGTTTGCCGGCCAGTTATGCAGGACCAGAACTTGGAGTGGGTATGAGATCCGCGCCGCTTGACATGGAGACTCCCCTGGAACAACCATTGCCGAAAGACAGATCGCGATTTAGCTTCTTCGTGACAGCCTGATTAGATCGGCCAACTCGGCTGAAGCTTGATACCAGTTCGCGTGTCCACATCCCGCGTCGCAGGGCGGAAAAAACGGAGTTTTGTGCAGTAACAACGTGTGTCTGATAGAAAGGCATTCAGCCTTGGTATCCTCGTGGTCGGCAACGGGATAGGCGTCCGGTTCATGGAAGAGGCTGAAGTGCGTATTAGATTGATGACTACCGCCTATTACCAGCTCCATCACCTTCATCGTCACTGTCATCTCTAAAGCCCTCTTCAAGGCTGGCACGGAGAGATTCGTGTTAGCTGTGAGGCCACGAAAGAGGGAGTTGGGGCATTGCTCGACGACTCACTCTCTACTCAAGCGTCTCGTGCTGTCATGTCTGTCCCGCCGAGCATCTTCTGACAGAGCTCGCCGGGTATCTTCACCAACCTCCCCAAGCTCCTCGCCATCTCCTGACGAGTACCCGTCCTCAGTAGCGTCAGTCGCTATGACGAGGCGTTCATGAGCATTCCGCCGCCAAGTTGACGGGACCATCATCCTTGCAATGGCATTTTGCACGCGGTGTCGTATTGATACAGTCGAGGTTGATATGGTATCGAGAGGCAGATATTGGCTATAACGACTGCGCCATCTGCGCCAGAGCGGGAGGGCGACGTAGGTCGAAACGAGAAAAAGAATGAGCGAGATGATGGCAGGCACGATCAAGGTCTTGACGTATGCCGGCAAATGGTCAGCTCAGGGATGTATCGGGGAAACGGTGGCGAAGAAAGAGTCAGACGTAGAGGGAATTGAAGCGCACCTTAATGACTGACATTGTGGTGCCCATGGTAGGCCTGGTGGTGATGTCGCGTAAATATTTGTTGACCTTGCGCCCTGGTGGGAAGAGATCCCAAGGATTATGTGTCGCGCGAAATGAAGGCAACCTGGAAGGCTACTGTTATCAGCAAGCGCAGCTGAAGACTGCCGCCGACGAGCGCGGACGAAGCCAAGCTCAAGCCAAAAGAGGAGGCCCTGTCAAGCTACCTACCTACCTTAGCACCCAGCATGCTATAGTGCCACTTGGCCCCGGCCGGCGCCGGGCATGGCACCTGGAGACACAGGCCAACCTTGATGGGCCCGCTAGAAAAGCTGTTGCCCGCACCCTGCCAGGAAGCGGTCGGACGCTTAAGCACCTGAGCCCAGCCCGGACCTAACACTGACAGAATGGAAGCGCTCTCTACCTTATAAGGTAGTTCACGGATGATATTAGACCGAGCTGCAAGTCCGGAAGTATCGCGAGTGACTGAGAATCGACTCCCAACGCAAGAGTCTCCTCAGCACAATATTAATCTTTGATCTTCTTGCATTTTGTTCTGTCAATAAACTGCGAATACATACCTAGGTACCTGGGTAGGAAGGTGAGCACTGAGCTCCATCGTTGGAAAGAGTCGGGGTCGCGGAATGACTTGAGCGCGGACTCCCCGGGTTCCTCATCTGACGTGCTCAAGCGAGAGCCGCAGATAAGACACCTTGAGAAATGGCACTATGAAGAACCACCGTGCTACTGCAGGATTGCTTGTCGATGTTTCTATTTCTGCATCAGCAAAGCAACGCTCAGAACCAGGACAAAGGGGGAATGCCAGTCTCATACGATGTTGACAGGGCAAGCCGTGAAGGAGTAAGTACTCAAGGTTTGCAGCACTAAGCAGACGGGTCGTCGTAATACATTGTAGTCGAGTCTCCAGAGTCCCAAGATTCCGATTCAATATCGCTTAGGTGCTGGGCCTCAATGGTGGACACCCGGGAAGCCGTCTTGTCTCCCCACCGCCACCATTCCATGTGGAGGTACATGGTTCGAAAAGGCCCTCTGGCTCAAAATGGACAGACAGGGCAGGCATTGTAATTGGGCCCCAGGGTTCTTGTCGCCATCTTTAGCATCAGCACCACCGCGACGGAAGGTCTAGAGAGGGAAGGAGGGGACCAGCCCGCCTATAAGGTACTATACCTTACCTTAGGAACCCGCCGTGCCGCCCAATGAGGGGTAGCCATGAGATCCTCGCAAGGAGAATGCGAGTTCTCTCCGTGGTGGGCGTCTAGAGACGGACGAATACGAACGATGGATTCCGAGGCGAAGAAATCAATTACAACTGACAGAGTGACGGTCCGTAAGGTACTCTGAGATATGGATTATGCGACTGGTTGAAGCCCCCAAATGTCCTTGGGCGATAGACAACGATAGAGTTCTCTTCCGACCGGCCGCTTGACGTATCACTGGCGAGCCCAGCACCTGACTTGCAGATGCCGAAGGCGATCTTTGGCGCATTTGATTTGGCTCAACCCACGGACTTGGGTTACTTGTCGCCGGACTCCCTTCGCGCCTTCCTGCAGTCGTCCGAGTCCACGTCCTTTGGTCTCGACCCCTGACGGACGCAGCGGCGCCCCGTAGCATCGCATGCCAATACTTATTAACCATTCTATTTTGTTCAGTGCCATTGAATACGGATGGATATCGAGCGCGCAGCGGGAGCCTTCACCAGTCCAGTCCCACTAGATAATTGACTCCTGGAGGCGTCCTGCCTGAATAAGTAATCCTTGGCCAGGTATCCGTACTCAATATCGCGCAACTGGACTCGCACTCAAGTCAAGCGCGCCAACAGAACATCCCCACCTCCCAACGCCAGCGCCGCTTGCGTTCGACTTTCCTCTCTTTCATTCTCTCCCCTCTCGTCATTCTGCGTTTTCGTGTGGTTTTCTCTTCGTCCCTTGACATCTTCTCTTATCTGTGCCGTCCCTCTCAGCCCGCCCGCGCGCTCATTCCAGTCCAGCTGTCACCACTGTAACGCACTAAGCTGCCCGGTAGCCCAGACCTTGAGGCTTCCAAGTCGCGCCGTCCGGCATCCCCACTGCCTATCCTCCCACGCCCTCCTCCTCCTCCTCTTCCTCCACCCCAGAACGCTCAGGCAGTTTCCGCAAAAGAAATCGCACTTCTGCTGCCATTAAAGTGTCAAGTCAATCGCGGCCCCTTGTCGAGCCCCGTTTCATCAGGGAACTCCGCACTTGCGACGTCGTCTTCACAGCGACGACACCACCCGCCCAGAAGCAAACCTGTTCGGCTTCCATCCCATGGCATTGCAGCTGCAGCTGCTCCGAATTTAGTTGACCGCCGCTGCTGGCCACTAATTTGGTAGTCTTTTGCTCAACTGCCGCCTAGCCAACGCCCTGGATTGCCTGCTTAGCTACGGATAGAGCCTAGCACGACTTGTGGAGGAACGGTTCTCGACGGAACGCCGAGAGTGATCACCCAGCTTCTCGTTGCCCCTTCCCTCCCCCCCTCGCGTGGGAAACCTGGACCACGGCCACAACATACACACGGCCAAAGCCTATCATCATCTTCAGCCCGCCAGACAGATCTGCAGTTCGTCAGCCTGCGAACCAGCCGTGGCATACTTCGGATACCCGTTCCGGCTTTGCTTCATACCCGGCAACCCACCACACACTCTTTGTGACGCACCACTTGCTTTTCGCGATTCCATCTTGTTCATACTCCAAAACCCCTGCTCCATCCAACGGCGTTGCAGCCTCTGCAACTTTTTCGGCGCTCCCTACCTTACCCAGCAACATATCTGTCCGAGAAAGAAAATAAGGACCGACGGACTCATCAGCCGCTTCGCCTTTGTATACACCATTGTCTACCTTTGTCGCATTCGAGGGCGGCAACAGAGGTATGTTGTGGTCCCCAGGGGACCCCCTCCTTCGGTCCCCGGTCTCAAGTCCCAAACCTCTGTCTGCTTCGATCCAAAATTGGGCAGAAGACATGCTAAAACATCATCGATTCATGCAACCAGAATTCCAACGCGCCACATTGCAACTTGCTATCCCAACTGCCTCCGAAGGGCTCCACGTCGAACGGGTAGAGGAATTCAATCATGCGACCGGCCTTGGCCATCCTCCTCGCCCGAACTATTATCCAGATCCGTTAGTTCTGAATTCGAAGACACACCATCGATCGAGCTTTACGTGAGAGGGCCAGGGGTTTCACCTGCC